AAAAGACTGAGAAGAATATTGGTTTTATAAAATTCAGTTATCTTATTATTTTTTCTTGCATTTATGCATTAGTTCCCAGCATTTATTTTACAGAGGAGACAAGGTATATATAGTATATATCATGTTCAATACTACTCGTGTATGTAATACCTCATGTATCATCAGTGATCAACCAGATACAGAAAACCTGTTCAAAGTAAATATGCTATATAAGGACAGTATAAAAATATCATATAGAGAGGTATTCAAAATATCTTAGGTGCTCACATTGGCAAAGATTACGCACATACAAAGGTTTAACTGCACTCAAACTGCACAAAACAGTCAACTTGACATTTATAATTGATTGGGGAATTCAGGGGATATGCTCCATTGATTGAACAGGGTATTAGTCACAATCATCCATTCATGAAAATATAGGCAACTTGAAATAAACCTTATCTACACTAACGACATCTTATCTGGGTTTGCTGTACTAGAAGCATAGTCCCATTGAACCCCATTATATAAGATTATCATAATCCTAATCCGAAAGGAATGATTAAAATATTTTAAGTGATGAAACATACGGTATGGTACAATGTAACTTTGCATGAAAAATTGTAAAAAAAATTGATGGATGATGGTGAAAATGATGCATGAATTTTGAAAAATGCTTGTTAATGGGTGGATTAAACACAGATTATGAGATAATCCAATCCAATTCTTTGAACTTTTCTTAAAGATGACACATTGGACTTTCACATGCATTACTACTCGTAAAAAAAGTATGAACTGTCAAAAATCTGTTGCACTAACTTCCGTCATCCTTTAACTAGACTTCATTTTTAATGGCTCCAAATTTTCAAAAATGATGGTAAAGGATATGTATCGATATGGTGAACTGAATTCAACAATGTTTTTCTCTTAAACCAATTATTGAAAACATTCTGTAAAAAACACGGTCCTTTATGTAATGTTGACTGATTGGCAACAATTTAATGCAACAATCATTTATAAATATTTTGTTTTTGTTAACATTTTTTGCTTTTTAGTGCAATTGTTTTTTGTTCCTTTCTACAAATTCTTGAGAATGAAATAAAATGTCTTTCCGAACCTTGATTGTTGGAACAAAATAGCATATACAACATTTTTTACAATAGGTCAAAAATGATGATAAAGGATAGGTATCGATATGGTGAACTGAATTCAACAATATTTTTTTCTTAAACCAATTATTGAAAACATTCTGTAAAAAACACGGTCCTTTATGTAATGTTGACTGATTGGCAACAATCTAATGCAAAAATCATTTATAAATATTTTGTTTTTGTTAACATTTTTTGCTTTTTAGTGCAATTGTTTTTTGTTCCTTTCTATAAATTCTTGAGAATGAAATAAAATGTCTTTCCGAACCTTGATTGTTGGAACAAAATAGCATATACAACATTTTTTACAATAGGTCAAAAATGATGATAAAGGATAGGTAGCGATATGGTGAACTGAATTCAACAATGTTTTTCTCTTAAACCAACTATTGAAAACATTCTGTAAAAAACACGGTCCTTTATGTAATGTTGACTGATTGGCAACAATTTAATGCAAAAATCATTTATAAATATTTTGTTTTTGTTAATATTTTTTGCTTTTTATTGCAATTGTTTTTTGTTCCTTTCTACAAATTCTTGAGAATGAAATAAAATGTCTTTCCGAACCTTGATTGTTGGAACAAAATAGCATATACAACATTTTCTTAGATCTCTCAATATTATATTATACAAAGGAAATTTTGGTTGATTTTACAAAAAGTATACAAAAACTCAAAACAAAACCTCCCAAAATAGATAACAATTAAGATAAACCTTTTATTTCGCTAACAAGATACCTTTTTAAAATCAACCAAATTTTCCTTTGTACATTTACAATATTGACAGACCTAAACACGTTGTGTTTATGTCGTTTTGTTCCAATGAGGTTCGGATAGATGTTTCATTTCATTCCGAACCTATGATACCAAGAACAAAAGAAGTGTCTGATCTGTTTTCTAAAACAATATTGAGAAAAGTATATGTTACCATCCAAAAAATGACCATTAAATTGACGATGTGTAAAAATTTTCAGAATGTTTTGATGACTGGTTTAAGAGAAACGCGTGTTCAAAAAGTTCACCATATCGATACCACTCCTTTGATGATTTTTTTAAAATCGTCATTCCCATGTAAACCACTGGGAAATGGTGGGTTCGGGGCAAATCTAATTTCAAGATATCTATCCAGTAAAAGATTCACCAAAAATATTTTTATATAGAAAATTGAATTGTCTAACTTTTTCGTCCGCTAAGTGTTCAGTTTACTTAATGAGTACTATAGTTACAGAGCTTCAAAGTGTTTTTTGAAAAATATTTTTCGCCTCCTGTGTTATTCCAATGGGAAGAGTTTTTCTGAAAAATAATTTTGACTTTGAAGGCCTATAACTTTTTAAACCTGAGAAACATACCAATTTTGAATTAAATAAAGTTAGCATATTCAATTGACTACAGTGTACCTAACTTTCATTTTTGCAAGAACTCTGATGGATGCATATTCTGTGATATGACTTGTGGCAAACCTACCATTTCCCATTAGTTTACATGGGAATGTCGATTTCAAAAAAATTCATCAAATTTATCATCAATTTTCGACCAATTGTAATTGAGGAAAAAACTTTGAAAACTTGGAGGCATTAGAAATGAAGTCAAGTTGAATATTCATCAATATCATTAGTTTTTTCCTCGTAGGTTATGTAAATAAAAATTCAAACATAAAGAGGCTTAACACGAAGTTCAATGAGGGAACTAAAGTTGCCAAACTTTTGGAGGGGAGTGTAAATCGTCAAACGATAAAACCAGTGATTATAACATCTATTTCGAACTTGAATCCAATAAAATTGTAACTCATAAATCATTGATTGTTACATTGTTTCTGATATTCTAGTTAGAAAATACCAAAATATGAAGATTGCTCTGTTTGATAAAAATTCATTTAGCATATTCTCTTTCCAATATGCTTTATTTCATGAAATTGATAATATATATTGATTGATATCAAAATATTGAAATCAGACAAGAAATAAAAAATCGCAACTTAGTGTTATAAAACATAGCAGACATTAGGGTTAATATCGAACGATCCATCATTTTCTATTTCATGGACAACTCATTTCACAATCAATAGAAAGAATTCATTAATAGAAAGGGTGACGTTCTTAAAAACAAAATACATGTAGGCATACCATTATCAATTAATGGTGAAATTGCAGATTTTATTGATAATGCTATACAGCGTATTCAATGCCTACCAAAATTCTCAGATAACATATTCGCCACCGAGCCTCTGTGTTGGTTGAACTTTGAATTTAGAATTGTAATAGACAAACTGATGTTTTTCTTAATGCTAATGAAATTGCCGATCAAAAATATTTACAAACAAATCCTCATATTTCGAGCCACTGAATTAGAGCATAATGGTAACATTGGAGTTGTATCACCCATTAATACGATTTGGTACTCTGATAAGGTTCAAATTATTGGACACGGCAAAAAACATATTAAACACTGGAATTCATCCTTCAAAACCAGAGTGGCACAAATTAGTATTAGGACGGGTGAGATACACTCAGAATTTAATAATTAACTGCACTTTGAAATATTCTACACATTTGTATGTTCGAATAAGTTGTTCTTTTGCTCTGCAACAGATATCCTGATAAATGTATGAATTTTAAACTTATGGTTAAGCTATTAACAAATCAAATATTGAATGGAAACAATAAATGGGGCAAGAAAAATGCCATATTTGTACATGTATTTCCGGCGATATTGGAACCTTAGAGCATTTTACTCTATTTTGTAGTTCTTGATATGCTGAAAGGGTAGCTCTATTGGCTCGATCTTTTCTAAATGGGAGAAAATAATGTACTCCAGATTTTTAAAGAGGATGATGATTTTAATATGATTTTAAAGGCTAAGGCAATTTACTCTATGTATAAAATCGCAATCTTTTGATGTAAATATGTTTTTACCAAAACAATGAAAATTGTAATTGTACACACATGGAAATAATTTGGTTAAAAAGGATACAATACAATAGAACCTGCCACTGTTCTATTCATATTTAAATGATTTTGTTATCAAATGGTATGTTTATCCGAATAGTATGTTAATCGCGAATACAAGATTACATCCCTGCATGTGAACCATGCCATCTATAGATACTTAAAACAACTAACATATAACAATTCTCGTTAGTGATTAGCCGAGTGGATACTGAACAAATATTTCACTCTATTGAGGTGAATATTTACACTGAACGAAAACAAATTCTTTGAAAATTCCCGGGAGCGTGGGATATCGCTAGATATCTCACGGTTGTCTTATCTGAGTAGCATTGCCATTGAATATCGCCAGATATCCCACGACATGTGACCCGGTTTTGACCAATCATACTGTCGCTAGCTAGATAGTGATATAATAATGATGCATATTTGATGTTATATTAGGCTAAATGTATCAAACCTAGTACATTAAACCACACTCAAATCATTGAGAAATGGGCTTAAATCCTTTCTTAAAGCATTATATAAATATATCTATAATATATCTAAATGCCAGATCTTATCCAGAATATGCACAGTCACTACGATTTAAAGAAAACCATTGGATATTGAGAAGAAACTGCGTGACCTGGGAAAGAATCATCCCTCTAAGCAGGTATCCAGAATCCGTACCTCCTTCTTCCCCCTGCTATAGCCAATTTGGAAGCGCCCGATTAAACTGAATCACGTGATCTTATTATGTGCAATGACTTATACATGATTTCTGTCGCAGTGTTGCGACAGCCAATCATATTGCAAGTTCTTATATAATCGGGGAAACTGCTTATCGCAGGGGGTAAAAAGAAAGAATATATTCTGGATTTTGAAGCCCTGTGATCGGAGGATGGCAAAGAATAAGCAGCAGGAATGATTTTGGAGAATCAACATACCCGGTGGTTTTTGGCACATAAATTTCTTCCTCACATTACAGGCTGAAGTTCTCCATTTGAAGCCCGCCATAGCCACGACCTCGACACATGTGTTTCCTGGATCGCTGGAAGTACATTGGGATTGTATTGACACTATGAATACAAATAAAATCCAATACATCGATTTAATTAAAAGCTATTCTCAAATATCTGAAGAGGCAGAAGCACATAATATAATTCCGAAAGCAAATTTCAAATGCATGCAAAACTTACACGTTCTTAGGCATCCCGTCATCCCAGTTTGTTATAGTAATTGGTGATCCGTCAACCCAGATGTATGTACCAGGAAACCCGTTCTATGAAATGAAGATGTTTATTGGCAACATGATACAAGCAAGCTAATGTAATTTCATACACCAGAGCCAGAGTATCAATGCTCTAAACCATGTAGGATAGTTCATAATTAAATTAAAACTATGTTCCTTTTAATTACTTTTTATATAATAATTATATCATATGTAACTGTCTTGTTTTAGAGTCAAATAATACATATATACATACAATATATTTTAAAGACGGACTAGATGGCTCTGTCTTCAACTTTCAAATAAAAACGTACCGTATCTGACAGTCCAATCCAGAGGCTTGACGATATCTCCTGACATGTTACGCTGTCAGTTAAAATCTGTAATTTATCCGGGGTATCCACTATCAAGAGATTCCCATCATATCCACTGCACGTGTCTTGGGCATCAGAAAATGTCGCTGTATCCGTGAAAAACTTGTAACATCTGTCACCGAAACCATGCCAACCGTCCTCCAAGTCGCACCTGTCGATGTATTCTGTGGACATAACAATATACGTTATAATTCTTGTAAAGGGTCGCTACGTACCAAAATAATGGGCATCATCGCAAATTTTTTATTTTGGAAAGTATTATCCAAATTGACTGTAAATGCCTTGGGGCATTGATTTTTAAATTCTAAGTCATCCACAATGGGTAAAGTCGATCAATATGATAAAATATACGATTCAAAAATGAACAAAATGAACAGTTCTTCAAACTCCAAAGGTTTCGAAGCTTAAGGTGCAGTGGTATTTAACAAGAAATGACAAAACAGGAAGTGACAATACCATGCTTGATTTCAAACGTTTTTTGAAACAAGATAATAGAGTTCTGTTTTGACCTCCAGTCAATTTAACTAGTTGCACATATCATTTACATGACCAGGATCACAATGTTCATGGTCAGAATGACCCCAAACATGATGAAATAACTTTTTAAGCCCTCTAAAAATGTGACCGAAAAATAGCTAAAAGTAGGCGGTTAGGAAAGGTCACTGAACAGAATCAAAAACATTTTTGAAATCAAGCATGGCATTGTCACTTCCTGTTTTAGTCATTTCCTGTTAAGTTCTACTGCACCTTAACATATTCTATTTCCGATGAACCAATTACCACTGACTCGATGCGTAGTTTTGCATTCTAAAATCAAATCTATCCTTTCGATGTCATTTTTGTGAACAATTGATTCTACCATAAAGTGTTATATACCATCCAGATAAGAGTCCCAAAAGCTTAGTCTCATTTCATAGTCGTAATTTTATTCATGTAAAGGACATCTACCTTTATGGTTAAGGACAACTGACAACGTTTGGATGATCTTTATTGGATATGAAACATCCCCAAACCACAGTTTGGTAACAGTAAATTTCAATTGGACGACATGATACGATGTCTTAATTTCGTTCCTTATTGCATGACAAAAATTATTTTTATCGCCTAACAGAGAGAGTGAGACTGTGATACATAACGATGCAAATGGGGATTTCAGTCAAACTTATGGAGGGGAGTTTGTCGCAAAACAAATCTATAACAGATAAAGGCTGAGGAATCGATAAATTAAACAAAGAGTTATTCTGAACAAGAAAACAGGACTTTATCTAAAACGCCATGAAGTACCCTAATATCATTGACAATCGGTACACATTTCTTTTTAAACTAGATAACATTATCATATGAGATGCCTCTTAGTCTACTTATCTCGTTTTTACAGTTAACACACTTTTAATGACATTTATCAAACCTACTGTATGTTTTGTCCTTATTGGTACAAGCTAGAGCTTTTGTTATCTGACATAATTTCTACACTACATTTCTTTTTGCATTATGTTCTGAGACTTCTTGTACTTGGATATTGAATATTGTGTCAATTTTTAGGTATACATAGCCTACATTTCACTTGTGTTTGTGTTTTCAAATGCCGCCAAATTACTTGTACAATACACGATGCGTAAAAAGTATCAACTGGCATGGGATTTTGAGTAAATGCGTATTACCTGTTGGTCTCTTGCATATGTAGCGAAGGTTCGCAGTGCAACCAATGTCGTTCCAATCGCCATTGGTGCGGGCCATGGCACAATGTTCCTTATCGTTCCAGTTATCCGGCTGACCCTTCGCCCAAGATGCCTTTCTGAAGATGAAATAAAAATAGGTAACAAAATATAAGATATATTCATTTTTTGTTTAATAAATAATTCCTGACTCCTGCGCATTCTTATCACAGGTCTTTTGATTGGCTACATCATCTTTGTTATGATATACCACATTCATAGATTGTAACACTCCTAAATCACTTATACAACACGTCAAATCATCATGAAGTAAAGTTACCAATAGTCTTATTTGCCGTGAAGATATTTAAAAATGCAATACTTACGCGAGGGCGGGATCCCATGGTTTCCCATCCACCCATCGCCAGTTAGCTTCGTCACCCTCATCAGTTGCACCGATCCAGAAATATTTTTTTCTAAGCTTTACCTGGGCTTTCACAAACTCCTAAAAATGAGTAAGCGGAACAAGCGTTGCAGAGATGTTACCTGGTATCCAAGTAATTTTCTTTGTCTTTAAATATCCAAAGGTATGAGGTTGGAATCTGAGAATTAAATTGCTTTTAACTGAAATCGTTCTTCTTTCTCTTTCGTCAAATATATTCAAGAATTTTTGATGTGAAGCATTACAACACACCTTTTTTGCAACTTGAACACTGTCTCTTAAATTTAATGTAATATATCAAAGCAAAATGAGTAACATCAAATTATACACGAAATTTTACCAAAATTCAAAATAAATCCTTAGTCGTATAACGTATAAAACAATTACATATTGAGAGTATATTTGATTCTTACCCATTCTGCTTGGTCGACAAGGCTTGGTAAATCACCTCCCCTCTTTTGACAAACTGCCCTAGAGTCATTAAATGTGTATGGTGAGTCACTGAAGTAGTAGCAGTTGCTATTGTACATTACCCAGCCCTGTGGACATCTCGCAGAGGCTAGGAGAAACATAAATATATAATTTAATGAATATATTCAGAATTCGCTGTTTTCAATTGAGAAACTCTAAATAGCTCTGTACATATATACAGACACGAAATTGTACACCAAAAAGGAGGCGTTCTTACAACATATCCAATTATATATTATTATTACATTCATAATTTACTCACATTATTTAATTTGTAAATCCTATTTTGAAAATAGATAACGTACCTTGATGAATAACGAATAACAGTGAAAGTATTAAGAATATCTTGTGTAACATTGTGATGAGATTCTGCTTGCTTACGCAAGGTATATGCAGTGTTCCATTTGAGAATTAAAATCCGCTTTTGATACTGTTTGGGCCAATATGTCAGCAGGATCTTAAGTTATGAACATGTTGTGAAATGATTGGTCTAGAATTTCAAGTATCCTGTCATTGTACGTTCAAGACTATAACAAGACACTTTATGAGATAACGAGAAAGGAGAACATTTCTAAAATGGTATATAAGCAATTCTTTAGACGGGATTGTCGTGGGAAATGGGGAAATCAATTTGATTGCGTCTTGTAGTAAATACGTGATATACAAATAATATAATAATATGAAAATTCACATAATAGATATTAAGTAAAAAAATGAAAGAAGAATCGCCAATAATGGAAGATGTGTTTGAAGAGTGTTTCAAAATGAAAATAAAAGTAATCTTCACATGAAAAAGAGTGAATATAAAGTAAGAGTGTATTTGGAATATACAATGTACAGTGTCTACTGAAAATGTGGCTATGTTAAGAGGTGCTCGGATTACAATGGTGTTCAGATATATAGGTTTTGATTAATTGTACGAGTTTAAAAGATTATGCAATATACAGATCTGTTCATGTTACATATCTTAATATTTTATTTCGTTCATTTTCATCAGATTAAAGGAAATTTTGAAAAAAGCGCGCATGATCGAGAGTAAAAGTGAAAATTGCACTTTTTGAAATTACAAAAGGTTTCACATATCACATTTTTATAAAATTCGGTAAGACTACAATTATAATGTAGTTTAAACTTTACATGAGGCCTTTAGGGTAATTGTATCCTGGTAGTAAATGGTTCCATGCATAGGAGCAACGATTTGATGAGTGTTTAGCTTCAGGACATATGAATTTCGTGATATCAATCTTCTGGAAATTGAGTATTTTACCTCATAATGTTACATAATTTTGTTGTATATAATGAATTATATTCAGTATTGGCATTTTGAAATATCTTTGTTGCGCTTTGACCATTGACAAAAACACACAAAAATTGAAAAATTGTATTTTTCAAAGAGCAATAACAAAGAATGCCTTGGTGTCTATTGGTTGAGTAAGTTACATATCATAATAAACAAAGATAGTTTGGGATAATTTTGTATCACAATTCTGATACTGCGAGATATAAACAAACTCTAGGCATTCCCTTTAAAATTAAGAGCCAATTAATTGCACGTGTCGGTATTTTGTCTACAATTGCCAAATGCAAACAATGAGATATTTCATAAAGATTATATTTGAAATTCGGGGTAATTGAACAAATCTAACAGCTACATTTAAGCTTTAATATTTTGTTTCACATTATATTTTATTGCTTTACTTTATACATGAATAGGCAGGACATGTTCATGAAATATGTACATAATATAAAGATTGATATACAGTTCATTTGTTATCGATTGTCTGTGATGGGAGCCTTTGCATAAAGTGTCATCTTTTATTGGCTCTTTAGATGTCATGGCATAACATATAAGTCAAGTACAAAAATAAAGCTAGCTACACTACATTAAACTATGAAATCATTTTAAAAATACGTACGTAAACGTACATTATATGCAAAAGCATGTTGTTTACATATATTACATAATACTTCGAGTAATGGGATACATCCAGAATAGTCTTCAGGCAAGTTCATGTTTTTGAATGTTTTGTTAATAAAACACCATACTTGTTTTAGACATCGTTTTTGAAGACATTAACATTAAATGAATTTTCTATTTATCGGTGCGTTTTGCCAATTAATCACGAAACTGATTCCATTGTCTTTTTCTCCACAAAAGTTACATTATCGTTCATTTTCAGGTTTGCCTTGGTTCTACATGTCTTCCCAGCTCTATTTGCAGTCTATGCGAACTTAATCTCAATCAGGTAAAGGATTGGCTGTGCTTTTTGTTCTGGAGGCTAAGATATTATTGCATGCTGATCAAAATTTATCAGAACTGGATACAATTGTAAACCACACTTCCATTTGTCCTTTCAATTAGTTAAAACGAGTATAATACAGTCATATAGTTAGCTTCAGCTTCAGAGGAGTATTGTATTAAACAGTAAAACCAATAAATTGGAACACTATTTAGAGATCGTGGAGATGCTCAACTCACACAGGTTTTACTTCATCTCAGATTTGTATGATCGTGTCAGATATATTCTTAATAATTCTCTTCACCAAGGTCGTACATGTCATACACATCCTCATTCGAGTAGTCATCCGCGGTTATAGTTGTAGACTTAGGGGTTGTAGGTGCAGCAGCTGTTGTTGTCCTGAAATTGACAAGGGACCACAATTTAAGATCGTTGATGTATGAACAACTGAAAGTGCTCAAAAATGCTGGACACTTTCAGTGAAACTAATCTATTGAACTGTGTACCGTCTGGTGAACTGTCTCAAGAAAATGAACAATAAAAACTAAATAAATGTAATATTTTCGGTAATATAAGAAGCCATTTTCATGACACTTCAAAGCAATAACGTTGATAAACAAATAACAAAAACAAGAATGAGTTTTGTTTGGCGATATTACATAATGCTACATAATATATTTCTAAGTACAAATTGAAATAAATGATTATACCATAACTAATTGACTAACTACCTAAAGATTATATAATAAGTGTATATGTAGTTATGTAATTCAAAAAACTTCCTCTGATTTTGAAATGTAGCTATGAATTCTGAGAAAACAAATCTCTGCTTTTGGTTAATCAACAACATGCTACTAAATGCTTAGTTACGACAATTCCAAAATAGACCGACGTTAGTTCTTTTTTAACTTACCTCGGTTCATAACTACAACACTTTTTGAAGCTGAAGAAACAAATCCTCTTTGCGAATGGTCCAACTCTCTTTAGTCTCTTCAAGAAGCCAAATGCATCACTCTTGCAGACTGCTATCCCGTTGGTATTCTTCTTTCTGGCCTGCATGCGTCCTGCTCTACAACATTTTCTCTTCAGAAGAGGTATTTCTGTAATATAAATTGTTGTTCATTGATTGAAAGACCTGAATAGTATTGCATTGTAGATTTACATAGGATACTGTACACAATAGATTCTATGGGTGGCAATTGTGTTTCAACCAGTGATTATTTGCTCTATCAGATATTTCTTGATTGTAATTTATCAGAAATTATCATTATATCAGTGTGTGTCAGACTCGACATTATGTCCTATTATGAATTATTGTCATTTCTTGATTAATTGTATCATTCTTTCAAAATCTTACTTTTTCCTTTACGTCTACGATGTTGTTCTTTCTTATGTTCACGTCCCGTGTCTTTCTGTATTCTCTCTTCTTCCTGTTCGTCATCTGTGTCATCAGCTTCCAGCTCAGCAACACTTTCCTTTTCTGCCTGCTCTATATCGGCATCACTGATCTCACCTCCGGAGAACTCTATTTCAGAGATTTCATTGGCAACTTCCTCTAAATCTTCTTCCTGATTAAAAGAAAATGCAACTGTCTACACGGGCTTTAATTAACAAAAGGACTTTTCAAATTGAATAATCTGAATGATATGTAATGCTTGAAGAACTGTTGTTGTCTAGTTCATTGAATGCAATTCTTCCTTGGTGGTAATGATGATTATATTATTCACATATAGGTATTTTATATCAATACACCTTACCTCTGTGGTAGTCTTGTACATTGCCGTTGTGGTAGTGGCTGGTTTAATTGTTGTTGTCGGTAGTCTGTAAAAATAAAATTCAACCATTTTATTCATGATTCACTATAAGAAGGTTGCCCAGAAACATTACGTGATAAGATATGGTTAAATAATTTGCAATAGTTAGCCTGAAAATCGTTAATTTCAACATTGCAAACAAATTCCCAAATGATGATTTTCTTATCACTAATATGCCAAGTTTATATCATTTTAGTGATTCTTTACATTTATCGGGAAGAAGTTCTAAGTTTTTTTTAAATAGGATAGAAGGGCCCAAAATTTACAAATGGATAAATAATATTCATGCATCATTTTGGTGATAAAAAACATTATCGAGTTCAAAATAATAAAGCTTACCTTGGAGGAGAAATTTTGCTGCAGCATTTATTGAATGATACGAAACAGATTCTCTTGGCAATTCCTGCCAACTTTCTGAACTTCATGACAAAATGGTTGGCTCTGTTCCTACACACTTCAGTCCTCTTGCTCTTCTTTGCAATGATGAATCCTGCTCTGCAGCAGTAATGCTTCAATACCATTGCTGAAATGAATATGATTATATAAAGTTGATTTAATCGGAGTGATGGAATATGAATTTTTAGGGAAATGTGATATTGGCCAAGGAGAGTATCATATTACCATGCGCGCAGAGTCTAGTCATAAACTACGAAGACGAAGCTCTCTTTTAAGAAGTGAAGTCGAACGAATGCAAAGGGTAGTATCATATCAATAGGGCGACAGGATTTTGACTTGAATATCAATTCTATTTTCTGCTTATTTCCAAGGAGAACACGTTATTATGGAATGGATACAGTTATATCGTGTCATATTTCCTCACCACCTGAAAGATGTTATAATTTTAATTGCGTTATAAGTATTCAACCAAACCTTAATGTTTTAACATGAACCTTTCCAATAAGCAACTTATTAATAAGTAAAGGTTTTTTGATTTTTTAAAGCTGACCCTACTCACCTCTCCCTCTTCCTCTTGGGTGGTTTTTATGTTTTCGTATTATGCCTTTTGGTTTCTTCACTTCCTTACTAGAGTCAACATCATCACTGTCACCATAAGTGGCCCCAACACTCTCATTAAGTTCATCAACTGTGTCATCTTCCGCTTCTTTTAGATCATCTATCGTTAGTTCATCCTCGGAGAATTCTAGTTCAGCAATTCCACCCATAACAATGTCAATGGAATTATATAATTCTTCCTTGGAGCCTGATAAGGATATTTCTGATGAGGATTCTGATGTCGTAGCAGTTGAAGGCATATGAGTAGGAGATGAAGTAGGTGTTGTTGTCCTGAAATTGTCAAGGAATCACTTTAAAAGTGAAAATAGTTGAAACGTTAACCGAAACGACTCGGGAAATTCTGATACATAGCTAAATGCATTGGTTCACTGAAAGAGTGACCTATTGTACAAGACCAGGCTGAGCAAAGGTACTCTAACTAAGTAAGATAGATTTCAATACGTTTTCCAACATGTAGAGGTTTAAAATTGACACGATTGTGTCGTTTTTCTGTTTGCTATTTATGTTGTTTCCTAAACTGGGAAATAGTATTCACACATCATTTGGGTGACCTAAAACTGATAATTAAATATAAAATATCAAAGCTTACTTTGGAGGTGACATTTTACTGCAGCATTTATTGAATGATATGAAACAAATTCTCCTGGCCATTCCTGCCAACCTTCTGAATTTCATGACAAAATGTTTGGCTCTGTTCCTGCATACTGCGGTTTTGTTGCTTATCTTTGCTATGATGAATCCTGCTCTACAGCAGAAATTCTTCAATATCTTTGCTGAAATAAACATAAATGTATATAATTATACTGTGTCATATTTCATTACCATTTGAAACGTATTACTATTGTTTATAATTGCATTATAAGTCATCAGTTGTTGTTTCTGATTTGTCGATCTTACACTAAATGTTTTAACATGACCTTTTCGAATAAGTAGCTTATTGATTTTCTTTTGATCTTTTAAAGTTGATCCTGCTCACCTCTTCCCCTTCCTCTGTATCTTGGGTGGTTTTTATGTTTTTGTCTCATGCCCGATGGTTTCTTCATGTCCTCAACGAGGTCATCTTCATCGCTGTCAATATCAGTGATCTCGACACTCTCATCAAGTTCATCAACGGTGTCGTCTTCCGCTTCTTTTAGATCATCTATTGTTAGTTCATCCTCGGAGAATTCTAGTTCATTAATTTCATTCATCACTATGTCAATGGAATTATCTAGTTCTTCGTTAGAGGCTGATAAGGATATCTCTGGGGAGGATTCTGATGTGGTTCTAGTTGTAGGATTATGGGTAGAAGTTGTAGTAGCTGTTGTTGTCCTGAAATTGTCAAGGAAGCACTTTAAGAGTGAAGATATTTGATACATGAAGAACTGAAGCGACTCAAAAAATGCTGATACATAGTTCAATACGCAGGTCATACTGAAAGTTCGAACTATTTCAAACAGTTGAACAATGAAAACTGAATAAGGAGCTTGACTTTAAAAATATTAGTAGATCCATATTTCCTCAAATTAGATCTGGGGTCAATTTTTACACTGTACCTAACAATTCTTAGAGAAAATCTCTGCTTTTAGTTCATAACTTTACACAATATCCTAAGTTACAACAATTCCAAAATTACACCCACCTAGGTTCATAACTACAACATTTTTTGAAGCTCAAGAAACAAATCCTCTTTGCGAATGGTCCAACTCTCTTTAGTCTCTTCAAGAAGCCAAATGCATCACTCTTACAGACTGCTATCTCGGTGATATTCTCTTTTCTAGCCTGCATGCGTCCTGCTCTACAACATTTTCTTTTCAGCATAGGTATTTCTGTAAAACAAAATATTGTTCGTTTAGTGAGACCTATATTAAACACTATATTCTAGGATAATATCAGAAACAGTTAATATATGTTTCACTGACATGTACCTTTCAATCACTGGGGATTTGTCATGCCATTAAACTTGCTTCCATTCCATCGTTTTTTTATTTTAATTCCCCCAAAATTATCACAACATTAATGTTTGTCTGTTCGACTGACACTGTTATGTTAAATGCCATATTTTTAATTATTGTTATTTCTTGATTGAATTGTAATTCTTTCAAACACTTACTTTTTCCTTTACGTCCACAATGGTGTTCTTTCTTATGTTCACCATTAATTGGTCGTCTCGTATCTTTATGTATTTTTCTCTCTTCCTGATCAGCATCTGTGTCATCAGCTTCTAGCTCAGCAACACTTTCCCTTTCTGCCTTCTCTATATCGGCATCACTTATCTCACCTCCGGAGAACTCTATTTCAGAGATTTCATTGGCAACTTCTTCTAAATCTTCTTCCTAATTAAAAGAAAATGAAACTGTCTAAATGGGCTTTAAAATTTGAAATGTATTTAAAAAAGGCTAATTCGAATTGTGTAATGCTAGAAGGACTGTTCGCTGAATACAATCCAACCTTGATGGTAATGATTGTAAAACTCATTTGTTCATACGTGAAATGAATTATAGTCTATCTTGTATCAATACACTTTACCTCTGTGGTAGTCTTGTAGATTGCAGTTGCTGTGTTTGATGGATTAACTGTCATTGTTGTAGGCCTGTGAAAAATAAAATGCAATAATTTTTATCTAAGATTAACTATATTGTCGAGAAGCGTCTAGTTTATTGAGAGGCTTTACTTTACATATTACTACACATGATAACTAATGGTTAAATAATCTGTAATGATTAGCCTAATAATGGTAAAAATTTAACCTTACAAACAGCCTTTCCAAACTGAGAAATAAATTATATCATTTTAGTGACAAAAAATCATCATCAGATTTAAAATACCAAGTCTTACTTTGGTGTTGAAATTTTGCTGCAGCATTTATTGAATGATACGAAACAGATTCTCTTGGCCATTCCTGTTAACCTTCGCAACTTCATGTCAAAACCTTTGGCTCTGTTCTTGCACACTACAGCTCTCTTGCTCTTCTTTGCTGTGATAAATCCTGCTCTGCAGCAGTAATGCTTCAATATCTTTGCTGAAATAAATATTAATTAATGTAATTATATATATTATGTCATATTTCCAGAAACATGTTCTTATCGTTCATTTTAATTGCACTTTTTCTTACTCTTGTTTCTGATTTGTCAACTTACACTTAAAATGCAACTTTTATTTTTTGATTTTTTTTAATTGAATCTCCTCACCCATTCCTCTTCCTCTTTGTCTTGGGTGGTTATTATGTTTTCGTATGATGCCCTGTGGATTTTTCACTTCGTCACTGGAATCCTCATCATCGCTGTCACCATCAGTGACCTCAACACTCTCATCAAGTACATCAACTGTGTCATCTTCTGCTTCTTTTAAATCATCTATTGTTAGTTCATCCTCGGAGAATTCCAGTTCATCAATATCATCCACCACAACATCAATGGCATTATCAAGTTCTTCGCTGGAGCCTGATAAGGATATTTCTGATGAGGATTCTGATGTCTTAACAGTCGAGAGCATATGAGTTGGAGATGAAGTAGGTGTTGTTGTCCTGAAATTGTCCATGAATCACTTTAAACGTAAAAATAATTGATACGTGAACTGAAACGACTCTGGAAATTTTGATACGTAGCTAAATGCATTGGTTCTACTGAAAGAGTAACCTATTGTACAAGATCAGGCTGAGCAAAGGTACTCTAACTAGGTAAGATAGATTTCAATACTTTTTCCAACATATAGAAGTTTAAAATTGACACAATTGTTTCGTTTTGGTGTTTGCTATTTATGTTGTTTCCTAAACTGGGAAATAGTATTCACACATTATTTGGGTGACCTAAAACTGATAATTTAATATAAAATATCAAAGCTTACTTTGGAGGTGACATTTTACTGCAGCATTTATTGAATGATATGAAACAAATTCTCCTGGCCATTCCTGCCAACCTTCTGAACTTCATGACAAAATGGTTGGCTCTGTTCCTGCATACTGCGGTTTTGTTGCTTATCTTTGCTATGATGAATCCTGCTCTACAGCAGAAATTCTTCAATATCTTTGCTGAAATAAACATAAATGTATATAATTATATTTTGTCATATTTCATCACCATTTGAAACGTATTACTATTGTTTATAATTGCATTATAAGTCTTCAGTTATTGTTTCTGATTTGTCGATCTTACACTTATTTTTTAACATGACCTTTACGAATAAGTAGCTTATTGATTAGTTTTTTTTATTTTTAAAGTTGATCCTGCTCACCTCTTCCCCTTCCTCTGTATCTTGGGTGGTTTTTATGTTTTTGTCTCATGCCCGATGGTTTCTTCATGTCCTCACTAAGGTCATCTTCATCGCTGTCAATATCAGTGATCTCGACACTCTCATCAAGCTCATCAACTGTGTCGTCTTCCGCTTCTTTTAGATCATCTATTGTTAGTTCATCCTCTGTGAATTCCAGTTCATCAATTTCATTCATCACAATGTCAATGGAATTATCTAGTTCTTCGTTAGAGGCTGATAAGGATATGTCTGGTGAAGATTTTGATGTGGTTCTAGTTGTGGGCTTATGGGTAGAAGGTGTAGTAGTTGTTGTTGTCCTGAAATTGTCAAGGAATCACTTTAAGAGTGAAGATATTTGATACATGAAGAACTGAAGCGACTCAAAAAATGCTGATACATAGTTCAATAAACAGGTCCTACTGAAAGTTCGAACTATTTCGAACAGTTGAACAATGAAAACTGAATAAGGAGCTCGACTTTAAAAATATAAGTATATCCATATTTAATCAAATTAGATCTTGGGTCGATTTCTTCACTGTAGCTAACAATCCTTAAAAAATATCTCTGCTTTTAGTTCATAACTTGACACTTTATCCTAATTTACAACAATTCCAAAATTAGACCCACCTAGGTTCATAACTACAACATTTTTTGAAGCTGAAGAAACAAATCCTCTTTGCGAATGGTCCAACTCTCTTTAGTCTCTTCAAGAAGCCAAATGCATCACTCTTACAGACTGCTATCTCGGTGGTATTCTCCTTTCTAGCCTGCATGCGTCCTGCTCTACAACATTTTCTTTTCAGCATAGGTATTTCTGTAATACAAAATATTGTTCATTGAGTGAGACCTATGTTAAACACTATATTCTAGGATAAAATCAGAAACAGTTACTATACTTTCACTGATATGTATCTTTCAATCACTTTGGATTTGTTATGCCATTAAACTTGCTAATATTCCATCCTGTTTTTTTATTCTAATTCCTCCAAAATTATCACAACATTAATGCTTGTCTGTTCGACTGACACTGTTTGTTAAATGCCATATTTTTAATTATTGTTATTTCTTGATTGAATTGTAATTCTTTCAAACACTTACTTTTTCCTTTACGTCCACGATCGTGTTCTTTCTTATGTACACCCTTAATTGGTCGTCTCGTATCTTTCTGTATTTTTCTCTCTCCCTGTTCATCATCTGTGTCATCAGCTTCTAGCTCAGCAACACTTTCCCTTTCTGCCTTCTCTATATCGGCATCACTTATCTCACCTCCGGAGAACTCTATTTCAGAGATTTCATTGGCAACTTCTTCTAAATCTTCTTCCTAATTAAAAGAAAATGAAACTGTCTAAATGGGCTTTAACATTTGAAATGTATTTAAAAAAGGCTAATTCAAATTTTGTAATGCTAGAAGGACTGTTCCACTCTAATTAATTCCTGTTGTTGTCTGGCTCGCTGAATACAATCCAACCTTGATGGTAATGATTGTAAAACTCATTTGTTCATAGGTGAAATGAATTATAGTATATCTTATATTAATACACTTTACCTCTGTGGTAGTCTTGTAGATTGCAGTTGCTGTGTTTGATGGATTAACTGTTACTGTTGTAGGCCTGTGAAAAATAATATGCAATTATTTTTATCTAAGATTTACTATGGTAAGATTGTCGAAAAGCGTTTAGTTTATTGAAAGCCTTTACTTTACATATAACTACACATGATAAGAAATGGTTAAGTAATCTGTAATGATTAGCCTAATAATGGTAAAAGTTTACCTTACAAACAACCTTTCCAAACTGAGAAATAAATTTCACTCCTCTCCATAAGTTTGGCAACCTTAGCTCCCCCATTGAAATTACTTATAAAAATTCAAACGTAAAGAGGCTTTAACACGTAGTTCAATGGGGAAGCTAAGGTTGTCAAACTTATGGAGGGGAGTGTATATCATTTCAGTGACAAAAACTCATTATCAGATTTAAAATACCAAGGCTTACTTTGGTGGTGAAATTTTGCTGCAGCATTTATTGAATGATACGAAACAGATTCTCTTGGCCATTCCTGTTAACCTTCGCAACCTCATGTCAAAACCTTTGGCTCTGTTCTTGCACACTACAGTTCTCTTGCTCTTCTTTGCTGTGATAAATCCTGCTCTGCAGCAGTAATGCTTCAATATCTTTGCTGAAATAAATATTAATGAATGTAATTATATAATGTCATATTTCCCAAAGCATGTTCTTATTGTTCATTTTAATTGCACTTTAAGTTTCTTACTCTTGTTTATGATTTGTCAAATTACACTTAAAATGCAACTTTTATTTTTTTAATTGAACCTGCTCACCCATTCCTCTTCCTCTGTGTCTTGGGTGGTGATTATGTTTTCGTCTCATGCCCTGTGCATTCTTCACCTCGTCACTGGAATAATCATCATCGCTGTCACCATCAGTGACCTCAACACTCTCATCAAGTTCATCAACTGTGGCATCTTCTGCTTCTTTTAAATCATCTATCGTTAGTTCATCCTCGGAGAATTCCAGTTCATCAATATCATCCACCACAACGTCAATGGCATTATCAAGTTCTTCGTCGGAGGTTGTTGATATTTCTAATGAGGATTCTGCTGATGATGACCTAGATGATGATCTGGATGTTAGTGAGTCTTCAGATTCTTTCGAGTGCTTGTCAGAACTCTCCTTTCTCCATCTAGTGTTAGTCATTTTGGCGTTAGCCTTCCATTCTTGTTTGGTGTCATTGAAGCAGTCATAACGATCCTCACCTGGACAGATGGATAATTCAAAACACGTTCATGTGTATTCTGTTTGTAACATGAATATAGAAGCCTACTTTGAAAGTTGTTCCTTATTAGAAATACTTTTTGTCTTGTTCTAAAGTTTACAATTGATTTAGCCAGGGTGTTTAGTTAGGTATATTCTCTAGATAGCAAGCAAATACCACAACATACACATTACTTGGGTAAAACAATGGTTTACTGCGTATGGCTGTTCAAATGAGTTGTATATGTGTTAAATGTTTTACCTTCAAAGTCGCAGCATTTTTCAATTGCAATATTTAGGCTGGGCTTGATCCATCTTCCACTATTTGTAGGTAGTCCCTTCTCGCACATCATGTCTACTCTCCGTTCCTTTAGATCTTGGAAACAATCCAACCGTGCATCATCAGCCTACAACATCATATTAATGTCCATTAATGTTTTAAAATGAATTGTGTAATAGATTTTAAAAGATGAAATAAAATGACCGTTGTCCACTTATTACATACAATCAACAAGTCAGTCAGTCAGTACATACGTTTATATGTAAGCTTCTTTATCTTTAGTTATCACACCACATACCTGAGCACAACATTTTTTGGTAGCATTCAGATTTTCCTGAGCTATCTCGTCAATGTCTGTCCCTTCATCCCCATTTAACTTTGCCCAGAACTGTTCAATACGGTGCCACATGACTTTCCATCCCCATCGATTTAAGGTACCCATCTCTGTGTCACTTTCCTCTCTTATCTTTGAACACATGTGCTCCACTCTTTCACTCCAGTCTTTGCTTCTCTAAAATGAATATTATGTATATATGAATAAAATGTCTATAATTATATCAAATCAATGAGCAGAAATAGTTTTTGAACCAGCCATCCATCAATGTCTTGCAAGATGCCTCATCAACATAATGACCACGTTGCTCAAATGTGTACAAAATACTTAATTTTCATAGGTTTACTTACATACATCAGACAAATTGATTATTATTTTGATATGTACCTCATGGTGTCTGTGTCCTTGTCTCATTCTTTGTCCCCTGTGTGGTTGCAATCTTCCCATATCTGGTTTAAAGACCCTTTTGACTGCCTGTATACCCCGTTCTATATTTCTCCTCATTCCACCAGGGTTGCTATTTCCAGTCCTTTTTATCGTACCCTTTGCATTGTCTAAATGTGTTTCAACTTTGTCAACCATTGCATCCTCATCATCATCCATGTCATAATGTGATTCCTCATCTTCAAGGCCAATCATTTCCTTTTCATCACTCTGTACATCTGGGTCGTTAACATCATCAGTCATCGGAGACGGTACAACATGATTGACAGATTTCTCTGGTATTTTGGGCTCACCTGCGATATAAAATGCGTTGTGAATTTTTTCTTTCGACAAAATGTACCTTAGTTCCAGCAGTGAAGAAATGATGTTTATAAATAATATTGATAGAAATGATGGACAAAGTTATTTGTATTAAAATCTGCATATTATATGATAGAGCATCTCTTTGAACACAATACAGAAATGACATTGCAAAGACATGGCAGATAATGGCGATGCATGAATTAAATCCTGGAGCCAAATTACTTCTCAGTTTAGAATTTCAATTATTTTATGGCCCGCTAGACCTTGTATAATTTTGAAAAGGATGAAGCTGTATAGATAAAATGTAGCTTAGATTGTGTAGAAAAAATAAATGTTCGATAAAGTATCGTATTATTTTTTACCTTGTATACATACTCTCTTTGTTAAATGGTCATCGTTGGCAATGTGACTGGTCTCATCGTCTGAGATAATAACAGCGCTGAAATCAAACATCATGGAGATTAATATTGTATTAGATCATATTCAGTGAAATTAGCATTATCTATTACTGATCGATGGATGGATCATAATAAATGGAGATAGCATACAACATATCACACTTAATGAAAATAATATTAACTAGAATTATCAATCTAAAAATATATGAAAATTAAAATTATTTTCTTATGAAATGTTTCATGAAAATATTGGGATTTGTATATTTTTAATACCTTAATCTGACACATCCACATTCAGGAGTCGTCCATCTAATTGTTATTTTGGACATTGACTTTATATTATCACCTCGATTTGTAATCATAAAAGGACATTCATCCAGTGCTTGGTACTTGTCATACGGCTTCTGGCGGAAATTGCCGAAACCACAAACTTCATCTTCGGACTCGGAGACAAGTCGAAATTTCAGGAAAAACTTCTTTGGGTTAAGAGATCTAACAGCAACTAAAAATATACAATGTAAGTTAAGTACAAAATGTACATTTTTACATAAAGCTATAATCCCTTTACACAAACATTATTATATCAAGTATATTTGATAAGATATAAGCATTATCACCGTCTTTAGTATTTTTGTCGTCATCATTACAGGTCATTCGAATCTATCATGAAGCACAACAGTTTTTACTTTATTCATGATAATTCCCCGATTTGAAAGTCACCTATATCTGACAAAGAATATGGCAATCTGCTTTCTCATTTTTAATGAATTTGAACAGTGTTGCATTTTAAATCTTCAGTTTTCAATATATTATATGATTAGATTATCTCAATTCTGTTTTAATACCACAATCTAGTGCAAAGATATGTTTTCAACTTGTATAATCAATTCCCGTCATTTCATTGGCCTTATAAAGGAACTTTCAGAAGAAGAATCAGAATGACAGAAATGAACAAACCTTTAACATCCCGGACAATGACCTGGGTGCCATTTGAAACATTGTCCAAATAGGCAAACTGAATGACTTACCATTGTATTCTTTTGATGGCATGAGTTCTTCTCCAGGCTTTGTACCATAGATTATCAGGTCATACATGGGAGTATTAATTCTCCACAGTTTGTTTTCCTCGGGCTTCGAGTATTCTGGTACACGAGGGGGACATTGTGCAATTACTGGAATATAGAATATAGTTTATTAGTAAACTATTAGACGGTGTTGGGAAACAGTTGTTACACCACATTCCAATGCGGATCCGATTTCACTAAACACTTAATGCATTTACAATACGATACTCGCTGTATAGTACGAGTTTTATGGAAGGTTCTTGATTCGAAGACATTGTTTATTTGAACAAGTGAAGAACGGTGCTTTCTACTTTGAAGTCACTTGTCATTACAGATAATTCATACACTACAAACAAAGATTACATGTACTTGGTGCTAAGCTATTTGTATAAGTTTACTGATCTTGTATTGGCGAACTAACTAACGGATGCAACTAACGCCTGTCGATCGTCTACCAGATTAACTTCTATTTTATGGCCAACTCATTTAAATATGAATGAAAAGTGGCAGGTACTATTTATATTTAAATGGGTAGGTTAATCCGGTAGCCGACAGGCGTTAGTTGCATTCGCGAATACAAGTTTAGGCCCTGCGTTGGGTGATTTCGACCAGGCAGAATCAGATATATTAGGGGATGACAAAATTGTAAGCAACACATGCAACTGGCCTACCAATCCATTCCTTATGAACTCAAATATAATATCTCCCAAAAGATCCGCGATATGCAATAAAGTTATCGACTCGGAGGATTCAAAGTGCAGTAGGGGAATAATAAAAATGTTAACCATTTAAAAATCTTTAGTTTTCCTGAAATAAAGTATGAAATTTGGGATTTAAATATTAAACAATTGAAAGGATTTTCTGTTTTTTCTTCCTATACTTTGCTAGCTTTAAGTGCATAGATATTTTCAATGGAGAATGACATTAAATCTGAATCAAAATGTGAACTAAAATGCAAATTGCTATTTCTATGTGCTATAGTGATTCATTAAATGATTTGTTGATATATTTTGTCGAGATTTCTTGCTAGACCCGAGATGGGGCGCTAACGTAATGTCAAAATTATGTTATCGATGTTATGGTTATTGGAAGAAGAGCGAAGCTGGCTAGATTTTACAATATCGAGTTATTATTTGCTCCCCCGAATTTTTGATCTCACTTTGATAAAACGAGAACATTAACTAAATTCGACTGACGCCCCATCACAAATGGCATAAGACCAAAGAATTTCATAAAACACAGCAAGAAAAGAAACATTAAAGATGATAATCGGTTAAATGTAAAACAAACCCCAAATATCCCAAAATACATATCCTTAGGTATGGAGAAACAACGGACATAATATTAATACTTCCATTCTCTACCATTCAGGAAACGTTATTACAATATAAACCATTCGACCTTATATATTTAAAGAACAAACTAAAAAAAATATTCGATTTTTTTTTATCTTGCAGATACTGTTGTAGTAAACAAGATATAGTAGTCTTAGTTTCAAATGATGAACGGACAAACAAAATCCATAAGATACAGTGATTCAGTCTGCTTACCTTGCTGAATGACTATAAGACACACTGCCAAAGTTATGGACCCCATACTGGATGTTACGTCCGTGAACGTCGTGATCTTGAATGTTGACGTTCGGTAAATCACTGCTTTTGTTCTTGCTGCAGAGTGTTCTTTGGCTCAGATCGTCTGTCGCTGTTGTGATACTCTTTAATCTGGCACTTCGATTTATATACAGTTGTAGACAGGATGTCACTCATGAATTATCATGTAATTCGAAGAACTGAGATTGGAAGTCAAAAGCCGTTGTGTGATAAACAATGTTAATCTAGTACTAGTAAAGAGCCCTTGATTGATACCGTAATCTCTCTAAAACTTTAAGAAGTAGTCAGATTTTAGGATTTTAGGAAGAGGTCAGGCTCAATAGTGATAATAAATAGTTTCGTCTAGAATATCAAAATGTTATTGGTGGTTGTTTTTTTAATTTTATTTCAATCATAAACTGCAGTCCAATTCCAAGTACAAAAAGAAAAAATACAAAAAATGAAGAGATCAAAACTTTGTACACGTTGCGTTAATTGAATTTGGCTAAGCCCATGCTGTCTCTTGAATATGTATATATTGATGCGTTTCTAAATCTTATTTTTGAAAGATCGTTTCAAAATTGAGATGGCTGAAAGTCTCACAAAAAGAGGACGCAGTTTCATTGCACATTATACCGTACATAAAAAAGCTAACAGCAAGATGTTTGCATTTTTCATCTAGAATTACACAGTGGTGCATTGGTAAATCTCTATAGTTTATTGCAAGATGAGACCCTGTGTGACAAGGTTTCACCATCGCCCATATGATCAATACGATATAGGCGTATGTTTAGATATATTTAATTAAACGTTTTTGAGCTAACTGAGGAAAAATATTTTCTTTATTTATGACTTATTGGCAGCAATGACCAGCGGGTACTTGGATTTGGTCCCCGGTGGTCATTGACCCCCGGACGATTACAGAGCTACAAGGGACAGTGATCAACATAATACACACTCAAATCCTTTGCACCTGGGCTCATCATTTTAATCAAATTGTCTAGATATCAAATAGTAATTATCTGCATTATAGATACATTAATGTTATAAACAATCTTGAATGCCCAGCTGTGTTTGAGCAATTCTTATGGAACGGAAGCCCGTATTAAAGAAAGAGATACTTTTGAAACAATTAAAGGCAATAATGGAATGGTCAATTGTTATTACTTAATAAATGGTTATCAATAATCAAATAAAATGTTTACAATAAATGGACAATGGCAACGCTACGGAGTAGTATATCCAGTTGATGAAGACGATACAATAACATCCTTGGTCCAAGGGTATTTCACTTCTTTCCATGATTGAGTAATAAATGAAGTCCTTTGAATGAAGGATGATACAATAATGATTACTCTAAAATAAATGCTTATTACACATGTAAACATGATTCGAAGCTTCTCGCCGGTTGAGTTGAAAACATTCATTTCTATTTGCTAAGATCATCTGAATTCAGGGTTCATTTTCAAAATGCATCATTTTTTCTTTTATGAATCTTTTCTTTATACCAAAATAAGATAATACTATCTGGTATCCATCGTCTTCATAAGCTGAAAAGAAGTGTTCTTGTGTTTTCATTTCTGTACCAACATTTTAAAATGTCTTCACTTTGCTGCGATTGTGAGTTAATTTTTCTTTCAGTTTTCATCAAATTATCTTTATTTTGCAACACAAAATATATTAGAATAGACGCTTTGTCTTGGTGTAAACTATTGCATATATCATTATTGTATGTTTGACATCCCGCATTTTGAAATTGAAACATTTTGTAAGACTACAATATAAGCCAAAGTGGTTTGACCTTTACATGGGACCTTTAAAGCATGTTTTCTTAATGCCGGCCTAAAAGCATTACTTTTGATTGAATTTACATGAACAAAATGCAACATAATTATTTAATACCCAGACTATCACTAAATGTAATATTCCTAGAGGATAAATTTCACAATTTCATATAATCATGTCACGTGATAATGCATTTCCATCAAATACTTACTAGCAAAGTCGGCCCACTGATGCTTGGGTTACAATCAAGACGGACAGACTGACGGAGTGCATTTCTTTAACCGTACCGAACGCTTGACCTTCCGCGTCAGACAAACAAATGCATCGTGCGGCCTGCAGGTGTACAACTTCAAAGAGATATATCACCATTTGCTATCTATGTATACCACTTGAAATAGACCATAACTATTACGTTAACACTGATATAACTGAGAACCAGTGTGAGTTCTAAGAATAAACATCGATGTGGCAGAGTGATAGAGATCCAATTGTGAGAGTAATCATTAGAATACATTTAAAAAGTTAACAAACTGCATTACATAAAATGCGTACATGTATATTCCAAGCGACCGCCCCCCCCCCCCTTACCAAACTTACCATGGCTCTAAGATATGCTCAAAATGTACCAGAGAGGGACTAAATTTCATTTATCTAGGGCCCGTTTTACTTTTCGGCACTATGCACAGTCAACGCTTTGAATGGGCGTATCGGCGGCACAACCCATCCGTAGGTGAAATCGCCCCCCGGGGCACATTTCGAGTCAGGCAAAACATTTTGGGCCCTTAAAACCAAAATTTGTTAAAATTTTAAGGTCCAGTTTTGATAATGCCTATGCCCCCCCCCCCCCCCCCCCCCCGGATCCGCCAGTGGTCAATTGACCATATTGCAACAGTATACGTAAAAATAGAAACATATGCAAAAGGCCTAACTTTTGTATATTTCAGATAGTTAATTAGGTATAATGTGCAGCAAAGATGTGGCCTTTTGAAGTTTAGGGAGTTTCAGCCATGTTATTTTTTCGAAAATAACATGACAGAGAAGCATCAAAATGTAAAAGGCCACACATATGATAGTCAAACTATAAAACAAACCACAATATACAAGTACTTGTACAATGAATTTACAGATTTTTACATGATAACATTCTTTAAATAATCTTGGAAATTCCCTCGTGGGCAAAAATCCGTCTTCTATTTGACACTAATGGAATACGGGAAAAATACTACAACTTGACTTGTGTTAAAAACAATAATAATTGCAATTTTATGAAAATGGCGGCCATTTTGAATTATGAAGCCATCTCAAATATTCCTTTCCGTTTAAAAATTTGAAACAAATCCGACAGTCCAAGAATGACCAAATATAGTTGTTTTACATCAGCAATTGAAAACTTGGCATTGTCGCCCGATAGACAGAGACGTTAGTTAATTCATTTAGATTATATGGTCTTTGTGACCGTTGGCGACATTGATAAAAATCAGGCAATAGAAATACTCATATTTTGATCAACAATTTTATTTGTTCAGTTCGAAATGTTCACAAACAGTCATTACAATTTAGGGAATATTGCTTCGATGTGACATGAAAATTCATGGATTTGTATCTTGATCATAGTAACGGTTCATAAAGTCCATGTCCAAACAAGTGGTCTGTTTTGAAATATGTTCTGCTTTACGGAAGTTTGTAGACGTTAAGATCTGGTATCAAAACGGATAATGACAAGAGTCTGTAACACGTTCTAGGAAGCGGTCTTCTGCAATACCATCTATGCCATTCCTCAGGTCCAAGAGGATGTGCTGTGTTATCTTCAAGTTCAAGAGTTGTACCATTATCAACAACAGCTTTTGCCTGGTTCTCAACCGCCCCTGAGTGAAAACATAAAATATATAATTCAATCTGTGAATGTGGTAATATATGGACAAGAGGCACTCTATGTCGGTATAACCCTTGAGAATTTCTACTCCTCGGCCCAATCGGAAACTCGGAAACTGATTTCAACGTACCCATTATTCCTTGTAAGGCCCCTTTCGGCACTTGTCTCAAGATCCTAATGTATACAAATATCTTGTTAACTTTTGCACGCAGGCATATGTATACATTGCCGTCGATTTTGATGATAATTTCTTTTAAACCCAGCACGTCGATTGTCACCTGTATCAGATATTTCATTTGTTTTATATTTTAATTACATACATGTACAGTATGTCATATACGTCATATATATACATAAATACAGGATCTTAGTGGATTTAGGACCATGGGATTTTCTTAAAGTATAAACACATGTTAGAAGAATTAATCATATTTCTATTATGCTATTAATGATCTTGAATGTAATTGTATAGATTACCTACCGACCCAGTTCCTCCTTTAACAAGTCCGGCTAAATGGACAAGTCTGTTACCAACCAATTTCACATTCACATCTCGGTAACTCGCTATAATATTGACTTCATCAATATATAAGGCATTTCCTGGTATCGGTCTGTTGAAGTGACAGTCTACTTCTACCCCTAAATAACATGGTAAAATTTCAAATCAAGTTTCTTAGCATGTGTCTTTTCTTATTTATTTTTTTGTTTATATAATAAATGTAACATTAAGTGCATAATAATAACCTTGACATGTTCATTTCGAAATCTTGCAAGATAGACACGATGAGAAGTATTTTGGCGTTATTTACATTGTTTGTTTATTTTGTGGCTTTTGCACGTAAGGTATATGTAGAAAAGTGTGCACTATATGCAATATTTATAAAGGAATGTTATAAACCAATCTCCGAGCCTTTCGTCCAGTGCAATCCGTACCTCCTGTGCAGGTACGCAACGAACGAAATGAATTTTGAGAATGGTTATAAACAAATCTCCTCAAAATAACGAACGAACTATTCGCATACAAAGGAGGATTGGCATATATTTCGTTACATCTGTTACGTGGAATATGGCATATATTCATGGTTGTGCGGCATATGTGATATGTGTCATATATATATATAAAACTCGTAATTTTTTAGGTTTTTATCTGACTTTTGTCAACTGTTGATTTGGTTATAAAAGTCACTTATAAGCTTCACGAACGTAGGTTCGTTTATTTATGCATATAATGTTTCACTTTGAGTGTGTTTTTGCGTCTAACACATAACTTATGACAACGTCAGACAAAACAGCTATACAGGTACCACTGGTGTATGTTATTCAATTGTATTCGTTGATATAATCGATGCACTAACAAGTTGATTCAGTAATCATATAATAATTTATAGGTTGGGCCGTCGTGACTACAGATTAAAATCTTGTCATGTTTTTGCCCAGTTGTTTTAGACCCAACTTGCATAATTATGTATAGCGTCTTGTTGCACTTATGATGTGCAAAATAAAATATTATCAGCAATATAGGCTTTCTTGTCTTTTTGCAACGAGCAAGCAATTTGAGAGACTGAATCATAAATATTCACTTATTCCAAATCAGTGTTTTTATGAACATGGCGTCTTGTCTATTATCACAGTCATTATTATAATTAGTTGGCGGAGCTTGGAATGTGAGTGGATCACATTCTTTATTTCTTAAAGCAGAGACGTACACAACAGAAGAACACTTCAAATATATTTTCTGTGTTAATACAAATTCATGAAACAATTTTATTAATATTATACTAGTATTCATACTTTATCAGTTTATATTGCTATATTTTAAAATCCACCCATTCACGCGATACTAACTTCGACCGTTAATTTGAATTTTTGACCTACCAGATGCTCGAAAATCAAGGATTGCGAGTCTCATACTGCACCGTTTTTCTTAAAACTTATATCATTAAAAGCAAAACAAAATTGCCCTTCTGTCGCTGCATTGCTTTATTGTAAAGAGTCCCTCGTTCTAGCAGCGTTTTGGTCCCCAGCTGTTAGAAGGCCTTCTTACAGCTGGGGACCAAAATGCCGCTGGAAGTAGTGACTCTGTTTATGAGAATAATGTACCAACAGAAAGGGATTTTTGCTATGCTTTGAATGGAACAAATTTGAAGAAAAACTGTGCAGTATGAGATTCGTAATCCTTGATTTTCAAACATCCGGTAGGTCAAAAATTCAAATTAACGGTCGAAGTTAGTACCGCGTGCCATTCCCCTCCTCCACCCGTCAGTTGTTTTAGACCCAACTTGCATAATTGTGTATAGCGTCTTGTTGCACTTATGATGTGCAAAATAAAATATTATCAGCAACATAGGGTTTCTTGTGTTATCATCTTGATGCAACAAGTAAGTACCTAACAGCAGTTTGAGCGACTGAATCATAAAATAATTTCGTTAAATCTATGTAATTGAAATATTGCGTACTTCCGTATCGCGTTCTCATTGGTTAGTGTGTATGCCATATACTGCAGGTAAAATCTGTCATACACCTTGCGGAATATGACATATATTTGTATCGTGTCTACCGCGTAACAACATCCCTCGTCCGCACGAAATATGTATTATGTATTTCTTTGGGTTAGTCCAAGGGAAAAATCAATTACCGGGAGGTTACGTTTGGTTCAGTGCAGTGAGGTGCGCGCGAACGAATCTGATATAGATATAGACGTGTACTGCACGAACCAATAATTTCCCGGTTATTGTGACGCCCTTGAATAGTGTGGAAGTTCACATTTGTATTTACCAAATACTGTGTGGTTCCAGATGTTGTACCAAGCATCCGAGTCACCTCTAACCCTATAGCAGATTTCATCATTTCCTAAGCCAGTAGCATCTGCGAACACAGACTGGTAGCAATGGGGGTCACCGTAACCTGAAACATCACCGGTGAGCTAAAAACGTCCACTAGGGAAAGACTACAATATCCTTAACATTAAATAATAATCTATGACAATATTTATAAATCAATAATTTTGTATTTTGTAAATTAAGATCAAAAAAGAAAGAATAATAGAAAAGTATACTCACATATGTACTCGTTACGTTTCACCGTCCACGAAGCATTGGGATAATTAGAATCAGGATCGTCAGCTAGGAATCCAAATTCATCTAATAATTGTAAAACAAATAAGGCAATGGCTGAACATTTGTGAGTATGGAAAGGCCTGTGACCGAAATGTGAAGAAAAGCAACGTGTAGGTACAAAAGAAATACCATGGAAACTATTCGAGAATTTTCGCAGTGATTGTCTACATTGAATATGGTTTTACACAATTTGACCTAAAACGATTTGTTTGCAGAACATTAATTTCCCCCAAAAATACGAATCTCCGGAAGACTTTATTCAGTAGATGACTTTACAAAATGTTGTGTTTTCATTAATCATCAAACTTCAGTAACTCGTGTTCAAAAGTTAAAATTTTAGATTTCTTACTCAAGGCCGGGTCCGGCTCCACGGTCGGTTCGGTTTGGCACCGACCCACAGCTACGAGGTAAGCAAATAACGTCAACTTCAACAAATCAGTCATCATTGTTCTTTCTTGATTCAACCACGAAGATGAATGTTGATCTCCATGTCTACATATATATAGAGATTGCATGTCACTAATTATGATATTATCAAACATAAATCTGTTCTTCATAACAAAGAAAACATCGATGGTAGACTAATATGTTTTTAATGTAATACCAAAACGTATATTTTAAATGTTAATATATTTTTGGCATATCCAGGAACCAAGTTCATATCAAGCTAAAATATGGCAGATCATCTCAACCTTAAGTCGACTCAACCCAGGCCAATTAAAGTCAACTCAACCAAGTAAAACTCAACCCGAAGTCAACTTAACCTCAGTAAATCCCAGCCCCGGTAAAATGGGAAAGTATAATCATTACATAATATCAAGAATAAGTGGTGAATTGCGAGGAAATAGTTCAGAAATAACTCAGCCCAATTTTTTTTAGAATGTAAGTCACGATTAAGTCCCGAGAAACGATTACATGAAAATTAGGTAGTATCTCCGATTCTAAAATAACTGTCTGTGTCTATTTAATTATTTACAAGGTATTGGTTTATTAAAAAACAGAAATAGATACATTTTCATCAAATATTTGATTTATCAAAGTTATATATTATTAACTGTACTATCAATAATTGAGCGTGGAGGCTTGTTGACTGAAAACGAAAACTCTATAGATTAACAAATAAAAGTTGAGTTCAAATTCTAGTAACTTTTTCTTTCATGAAAATTGAAAATACAAATAGATGCTAATTGAAAATCCGACCTATTGATAAACGGTATTATGTAGTTTTGTTAATTTCAGTCTTGATCTTCTTTCAATACATTTTATTTTGTTATCATACTTCACTATTGATTCAATTACATATCTGTTTTGTTATGACGAACCTGTCTTGAATACAATTGATAATTGAAACATTAACCTTCAAGTTAGATCATTTTAACCTCGTATTTCTACATTGAGAAAGTCCATAGCAACGATGGATTATAATTTATTTCAAATACTCATTCCGAAATCTTGCAAGATAATTTGAACAAACAAATAAGTATATACAGACAATGAGACAATCGCGCATTATTTACTGATTTGCAATTGATTCGACTTCAGATATACTCTGATACTGTACATCACTGTGTGACATTTATCCCGATAAAACATGGGTTTGTGTGAAAAAAATTCAAATACCAAAAGGGGAATAGTTAACGAAATATTGAGATGATTAACTTTGACGTATGGTTTTCGATTTTTTTCCCTTTACATTTGAATTTCAAGTATGAATTTATATTTGAAAAAGTGAAAATCTCGAATTAAAAATTATATTTTGGAAAAATTAAAATTTTGATTTTTTTTTAAAAGACGTGAAACAATAGGAACTGAAATATAAGTAAGAACGTGGTTTAGAATAATTTATATATCTCCTAATCTAATGGTACTTCTTTAAAATACATACTAATGTTTATAAAGGTTATTGTACAAATAGTGACTGCCATTGAGGGAAATAGTGCAAAATATTTTCCTCAAGGGAATATCCTGTCCACTGACATGTTCCCGATGCTGCAGGCCGAGGGAACAAGTCAGTGGACAGGATATTCCCGAGAGGAAAATTTTTACACTATTTCCCGAAAATGTGGCAGTCACTATTTGTTTTATTATATACCTGATAAGTAATCTGTAAACAAAAACAAAATGAGAAGTCTTTTCATTTCAATATCAAATGTTCACAGGTTCTTATTGGCATTTAAAGACATTTTACCTTTCAACTCCTATAATCTCAAATTTGGGGGAAGATCAAGGAGGATTGGCTCCCAGAATGCAACACCAATATTCTGCAAAACAATCACCTAGCGATAGCTTTGTTGGAGAGTATCGGGTCATTCTCCATGCAGTCGTACAAATTATACAGACACGAATAGCAAATGACGCATGCGTGGAGATTAAAGAATATCGAGTTGGAACCCTGGCTTCCAATCCTCCTTGGGGGAAGATAAAACGTACTATTGACTGGTCACATGACCTAACTGGTGATTAGTACAATTCATCTTCCCTGAAAGCGGGGATTTAGGACTTTCCAGGGAATTAGTTCATCTATTCCATGTCATGTGACCATGAATAAGCCAATGAGCATCTAGAATACATTTGAGGTATATAATGAAACTAAATATATAATGTCACAAAGATAGGGGTGTTCCGTCTTGCCCTAGAATGTACTGTTTGTATGTAAGTTCTATAAAAAGTTAATTTTAGAATATTATCGCTTTTATCATGAATTCCATGATTAGAGGCCACATTTGCCAAAATGCTTGCAGCGAGAAGACGGACCGGTTCGGGGCAATCTCCTTGCAGCGAGAAGACGGACCGGTTCGGGGCAATAGCTGATGAAATCCTTTGTCACAAAGTTTGGCATTTTTTATAAAATCAAACGCGCGTCATTTTTAATTACTTGGGGTCTCATCTGCAAAACGCATGCTTGTTTTTGATGGCCATCGGAACTTGTAGACAGGGTAACACAAAAATATGCAATAAAAAGTCGTCACCGCAACATATACCCACTCGGGTGTCTAGCGGCTTGTTTTTTTGTGTATATTATATAAGAATTGTGAAATAAATAAATTGAATTGAATTGAAAATTTCGTATTTTAATTTGCGATGTCGGTGGTATTACTTGAAACGTTATTTGAGTCTTTTCATACGAATTGACAAATTCTATCTCTCAGAAAGAAACAATTTTTATAGCCGCTGGCATTTACACTGCTGTTCCAAAATAGAAATAATCACACTTGAAAATCGGAGAGAATATGAAAAGTAAGAATAAGAGTAAGTTTTCGTAAAATATTCTCTGATATGGGTGGCCATCGAACCTATATCGCGTGTTTGTCTGATTTCCAGGGTACAAATTTCCGACTCGACAGTGCAGTACATAAATTGAAGTACAAGTTCAGAGACTGTGGCGTGGGTAAGTGAAGTTGGTAGCCTATACGCATGCGCATATATTTTTCTCATCAATTCGAGCTGATTAATTAACACGATTTAGAGGGCCCTGGTGGATGTCATAGCATCAACACATAGACAGGGAAACAATTATTATTGAAACAACAATATTCAATATACTTTATTGATTTTATTATCATTTTCATTTTTTCATAAATTATTAACCATATTTTTGTCATTAATCAACGCTATCGAGATATAAATTGCAAGCAAATTAAAAATAGATTACATTTTATAAAATGAATAGTCTTGTATATCTTGCATAACGCGGTAGCATCTGACTTAAATGTTAATCTAGGACCCCTGTATGGGGGTCGAGGTGCTGGTAAGATGAACAGTAACGGTGTATTGTTAAATGATATGTGTATTCGATGTAGTTTAAATGTGATTGACTTAACAGATAAGGGTTCTGGCCCAGAGTATACATATTATAGAGAAAATGTAGGAAGATCTTATATTGATCACTGCCTTGTTTCAGAAGAATATGCTCAGAAAGTTAAAACTGTAAAAGTGATTGATGATGAATTGATAAATAATTCTGACCATTTACCCTTGCAGGTCGTACTAGAAACATCTACCTTAGTGCCAATCACACCCTCCTCTGACAATTGTAACCCAGTGAAGCTAGCATGGGACAAGCTTGATGCAAATGCGCTTTATGAGAGGTATACAGCTCCCTTGACACTATCTCTTAAACCCCTCTCTGATAAGCTAATTAATAGTAAGTCTGAGGTAACGCCTGAACTACTTGATTCCCTGTTTGATGAACTGACTGATGTTTTAAAGTCTGTGTCAGCTGATGCTATACCTAGAAGGTCTTTCAAGAAGCACTTAAAGCCATACTGGTCTGATACACTGAGCCAGTTATCTACAGACAAGAAGTCAGCATTCAAGATGTGGAAGTTGAATGGAAGACCAAGGAACAAAGAGAATGAGCACTGGATTCGCTATAAGAGTACAAGTATGAGATGGAATGTCAGGAGGAAATCGACAGAGCGGGAGAGATAAGCTTGAAGCAATTTTGGTTTATTGTTAAGAGACGGAGAAATCGGAGTAATAGTAGCTATTCTATACGTAATAAGGACGGAATAATCTTAACACAGACTGATGAGATCCGGAGTGAATGGATGAATTATTTTAAAACATTAATGTCAATAGGCTTCTCTTAGATGTGATTGACTCTGGTAAAGGGTGCTCTGTGGGTGATGTACTATGTACATGTCCATCCTATGCTGATGATACTGTCATTATTGCCTATCATAAAAAGACAATGCAAGACATCTTAAACATGATGCATCAGTATAGCATTAAATGGCGCTTCAATTATCATCCGGACAAATGTAAGGCCATCATATTTAGTAATAGTCGTGCCACTCAACAGGCAGGAATAGACTTACAACTTGGAGGTCGTACAATAGATGTAGTCCAAACAACACAACATGTCGGCCTTCCAATGTCGAACTACAACAGTAATATAGAACTGATAGAGTCTGCACTATCAAAAGGAAAGAGAGCAATGAATGCATATGTTGGGACAACAACACACACCCAGAACCCAACCAACCCCCTCACTGCGTCTAAGTTATATTGGTCTGTCAGTATGCCTTCTATGACGTATGGAATGGAACTTGTCCCCCTCAGTGAAACCGATTATAAGATGCTCGAGCAGGGACATAGAAGTATATGCAAACAACTACAAGGCCTGCCAGTAAGCACATCTGACCCAGCTGTCCTACCCCAACTAGGCTGGCATACTATGACGGCGACTATAGTAGTGGCTAAAATGATGTTCCTGCTACAACTTCTATCTCATGTATCAGGTTCGATCTTCCGTACCATAGCAATAAAGCGTATCACGAAGTTCAGATATGACAGTAACCCGCTACACAAAATGTCACCTATTGGTGACATAATGACACTCGCATCACGGTTTGGCATATCAAACGTGATATATGAAATGATGGACAGTGGTGAAGTTCCCCCAAAATCTACCTGGAAACGATATATTAGGAATATAGTAAGGACTTTTGAATGCAACATGTGGAGAAGAGAACTTATTACATATGATAAATTAACATTATACCGAACTGTAGTCACTGGTACAAAACCGATTGCCTGGTGGGAAATAGCTAGGCAGGACTGTAGATACATTAAGAGATGCACCCTGATGGTACGACTGCTCACGGGTCAAGGAAAACTCCGAGCTATTACCGGTGAATGGGAAAATATTCCGGTGTATGATCGCATATGTGGAATGTGTGACATGCAACGCATTGAAACTCTGGAGCACTTCATCTTGGAATGCCCCAGATACTGCTCATTAAGAACAAATATAACAAATATATTACATAGGATACCCAATGGGAGACACATGACTAACATACTGAAGCTACGGTGCATATTTGGAGGAGATGAGACTCTAACAAACGAAGATCTTAAATGCATCTCAACAGCTGTGCAAAATATGTACATTCTAAGGATGGAGTGATACTGTAACACGAAGCACCAATCAGGATGTCAACAAAGAGGCGTGATTGGCACTCCTGGTGATGTCCTAGACAACTGCTTTTGTATATAATTTCCTTCTCATTTTGAAATCGTAATGGTTCGCACAGTGGTGCAGTGGGACCCCCAGGGGAGAACATGGGCTAACCAGGAGGGTTCTGCTGTATCAATACTTTCCACTTGTCTTTGTATTTTTATAAATCTTTATTTTTATTACATTTATTATATACTGTAATGATATATTATCTCCATGATTGGAGGGGCAATAAATATAATAATAATAATAATAACCAATTGAGTCTCTGAATTTTTGACGTTTTCTCTTTCAGCGATGGCATCGTGGAGTGAATGGTATGACAGAGACGACCCTGATAATGAAGAGGATAACGAAGAACTCTTCAGCCAAATTCAGGTAAAAGATGATAATGATATTCATTAGATACTTACTCTATATGAACCCTACTATAATGTTAGTATATCTGAACCCTTCAATAATGTATCAACTATCAATCTGTGTATTTAAAAATGTTTTTATTTCTACACTTTTTTACGAGAAAGCTTAAATAGTTACTTATTGAAGCACAGTTGCTAGACTAGGGAGAATGCGGCAAAAATCAATGAAATAAACTGTGATTGCATACATATGTTTGTATATGTCAAACCATTATGCGGATGATATACTCCGCTTGTTGATCTTTTGTTAAATTTGTTTTTCAATGATATCATACATTTATACTTGTTAGATAAAAATGATATTCCTAATAATCATAGGATATCCTATGATAATTTGGGCATATACAATTTAAAATATATTATCAATCTGATTTATTCGTGTAATTCTTAGTAAGTATGGCATATGTATTTTCAGACTATGTCACGACAGTGCCAGGATTCCACACTCGGAGTTCAATGTAGAGACAAAGCAACCAACGAGCGTGTTATAAGTGGGCTGACAACATTTGGAGATGTGAAACTAAAGTTCCCGTTTCTGTGTACCCAGAAAATAACGGTATTTGGACGTTTTCATTGTTGGAAAATATCGAGCTTCGATCCTGGGAGCCAATCCTCCTTGTTTTAGCCTATCACATTGTATTGAACTATTGATTCAATAAAATTCAATAGCGCCGTTTGTCAGACGGCAAACGGTTTGTTGACCCATTTTAAAGGGACGAGGTCAGTCATCATCATCATCATCATCGTCATCATCGAATGAATTGTTGTTCTATCACTGGTTAGTTGGATAAAATAGATAAAACATGAATGCCATGATTATAACTTAAAAACATTTTAAATCTATGATAAAAAGGCTTTGAGCTCTCAAGGGGTAATCTTTTTGAAGCTCTCTGCAATCGCGATGCTGTCAGGGAGACTGTTCCACCCAGGTGTGGCACGTGGGGAAAGGGAATCAGCATTATATCCATCCAGCAGCTATATCAAGTTTTGCCACTTGACATCATCACAATTTTTTCACAGGGCACCTTTTTAGATGGATCCCTGCGATGGCATTAATGGTTGAGAAATGGAGATCGAAACCATCCATAGTTTTTTTCTGATGACCATTGTGAAATATTGTGTTTCATGGATTATGGCAACTGCTTTGTAGTCATCCTCCTAAGCACCCGATTAAACTGAATCACGTGATCTAATTATGCGCAATGACTTACACATGATTTCTGTCGCAGTGTTGCGACAGCCAATCAGATTGCGAGTTCTTAATTGGGGAAATGCTAACTGCTTATCGCAGTGGGTAAAAAGAAAGAATATATTCTGGATTTTGAAGCCCTGTGATCGGAGGATGTTTTGTAGTTGGATGTTGACCCTTATGGACTTTGAGATTGGATTCTGTCCCACATCATTTGAGACTGAATGCTATCTGTATGAATACGTATTCAGTATCTAAAATGTAGAATATCAAACCGTTATCTATATAGAAAACAATGAATTTGAAACGATTTCTCCAAAATAAAAACAAAACAAGAAATTGCGTGATCTAAACTGGCGTTCTCATATAATCTTTCAGATCCTGGACATTGCTTTCCATTAACAAGACACCTAATACATGTAATTAATCAAGTTCAAAAAAGCGTCAGGCATGACTCGATTAATTTTAATTAAAAATAAGTGATTGTTTTACATCGAGGTTGTCAAACGAAAAAGAGAAGTAGACTGGAAAAGAGTCAGTGGATATATTCATCATTCCAGTAAAACAACTTAGTCATAATGACAGGGTCGTATTTACAAGTCGTTACTCTTTTCTTGATATTCTACGTGCTGGATAAAAGTACTGCTGGTCAGAGCTGCAAGGGTAAACTTCAGAAAAAGTTTGAAAATTGTGGCGTAGGTATGTAAAATCTTTTGTTGGGTATAACTTACTTTAATTATGATTAAGAATACAAATACATTCTGCAAGCATGTTTCAATCATTCGAATAAAATTTTGGGTAAATCTGAAAATCGGACTCGTATCACGTTTTTAATTTCACATAGAAGTCTCTTTTTATGTTATTTAAGTTATTTAATTTCACTTGGAAGTCTCATTTTATGTAATTTAATTATTTAGTGACGGCATCATGGAGTCCATGGTATAGCAGAGACGACCCAATGGACGGAGTTGAAAATGAAGACATTGCTGGCCAAGTCAAGGTAATAAAAATATATTCACTCGTAGCGAGGCATTCTATTTTACTTTCCGGTCCAGCAGAATTCAGTATACCCATGCTATAATGGCCTATAATTTACAATAGAGCATTGCTATAAGGAATCATAAGATGGCAAACTATGACTGTAAAACTTGTGCAAATATCATTGTGGGATCCACAAGTATATCCGCAAGTATTATCCTTTGGAATATCAAAGCGTTAGATAAAGTGAGACTCTGATAAATCAGAAAGTGCAAATATTACTCGTGCCCATTACCAAGATGAATGAATTGTTATTGCACTCGTCTTTCTTTTCTAGTCTAGGCTAAACTACAATTAATGTCCTATGTTCGGGGAAATGGATTTTGTCAGATCTTAACGAATATCCCTATACTTAAACAATATATTATACGATTAATATTTCATGAATTATCAATCCGTATTGTTTAGAATATTTGATCATGATGATATTTTAGAATAATCTTCACAATCAAATCGGCGAATCAGTACCGATACGTATGTCCTATGTCTTTCAGACTATGTCGATGCAATGTCAGACTTCCAGACTAGGGGCCCAGTGTAGAGTTAAAGGTACTACTGATAATTATGTTGTCAGTGGAGCGGATACATTTGGAGATGTGAAACTTAAGTTTCCATGGCTGTGTGTACCAGACAGAGGGTTAAGATGTTTGAACAGTGAGCAAGCTGGTGGTGTAACATGCCCTGATTTTGAAATTCGTTATCTTTGCCCAGACAACTTTCCATGAGCTTGTAAAGTGAAAAATTGAATAAACACTTAACTGTATTTCTTAAAAAGCATGTGTTTTGTGTGAGCAACTAAATTATATATATGTTATGTTAAAATTGCTTTACCCATGGGAAGCGAGAAAGTGTCCAACAATTTAATTTAGGTTTATCTCAATTAATAAGAAATGAGCATTTTAGCTATTTGCAATTGCAATAAGAAAGTTTATACATAAAAGAGCAATATTTTGCTGATGGAATACCCCTGTCCCAATGGAAATTGCCATTCAGATTTTTCGTCAGTTTTAATTATGACGGCTAGAAAACCTTCTAATTATGTTAAGACGAATGACATATTATCAAACTCGAATCATGTTGCAAAGAGGGAAAAGCTACATATAAATGCTATTAAACTGCAATTAACCAATCAAGCCTAATGTGCAATGACATAAAATGGATATTAAACATGCTAGTTAATAATTATTATTGAATATCGAGTGGAAGTCGGACACAAATAACAGTCTTTCAGCGATATGATTGACTTAACAACTTCATCAATTTATCATTGGTTCTATCTCGCTATATATCATAGTCTTGAAATTGATGATGCAAGAAAGTCCACTAATCCTGCAAACTGATTTGAACTAAAAGCCATGAAAATAAATCATCTATAGAAAACATCTCTGCATTCCCTTCCTTCTTCTAAATCGTTCATCAACCTCCTACAGAACCTATTGCTTACCTTAAATAAATCCAACAAAATAATCCATCACCTGATAATCAAATGACAGGGTCTTGACATTTTGATATAGCCTTTTTAACTAACAATGTACTTAATTCGTTAAACTAAACATACAATTTTATATGCAATAAGCTTGCATATAAAATCGAAACGCCAACCTATACGTATGACAAATCGCTCATACAAATGCATCGCTTAAATATTTTCCGTTCACGTTTAGGTTATTAAAAACATTGCAAGCTTAAACTCCCCATAATTAGAAATGATCGATGTCCATTTGTATTTGAAACCCTAGCTTATATAAGTCAACATTCATAGTATCAGATTATCGAGATGGCTACTTTCCATAATATTCACATGATTTTCATTCAAGTTTTTTTCCATTCTCATCTTTGATTTTGTCAGTAGGACAATGGACAATTCAACCATTGCCAAGTACTCCCTAAGTCAACCAATCAAATTGAGTAGGCCTATTTGATCTTCTCCATTCCTCCAATTAAATCCCTGAACAATAATTATCATGTTTTGAAGAAATCTACAAGTCCAACGAGGCCATAGTTCCAAACATCCTGTTTATACACCGACAGAATATGCATGTATAGATTGTTATGTTTACACATATTTCACACTTACAATGTCAAATTAAAAACTAAATATTTTAATTATGTTGTTCATTCAGTTTGACTTGTATTATCCAATTGAGCACAAATATTAATTAAAACATATAATGGCACATGTCAGGTGCTGTTCGCTTACATTGTATTTTGGAAATCATATGAGATGTGACACTTTTCAGCTTTATGTGTTTATTAACTCCTCTACTCACAATAACTTACCATTTGTACACAAATCAGAAACGAACTAAGGTAAGAATTAGACGATGGACTTTTGGACTTATATTGTCATTAATTTGTATGCAATATCTTTAATTACTTATTTATATTCATATTATGTAATATTATATTTGATTAAAATCTAAACGTGATAAAAATCTCTAAAACTGAAGATGGAACATGTTACTTTGTGTTCATTTTTTTCAAAATTGTCTAGTTATGAACAATCCTATAATTAAAAATGAAGAATTGAATGGTGTTGCTATTCACAAAAAATTCATCCTTGCAAAATTTGGGAAACATATTTCACGTAATTTCTGTTTCAGATGTTCTCTTCTGTCATTGCGTTGGCGCTTGCAGCACTAATTGTCCCGGCTTATGGACAAACAGCCGGTGGTAGGTTCATTGAATTTATAGTGATGAATTTAAGGATAATATTCAAATTAAAAAAATACACATTGACATTTGTCATGCCTCGGAATATCCTGATGTTACAGGGTGTTCGATCGGGAAGTAAACATTCAAAAACTCTAATTCTAAGAGATTTCCTTGTTTAGAAGAAATTGCTATAGATTGTAGAGTCACATTACAGCAGACAAAAATGGAACTTAAAAGTATAAATTGACAAATAAATAAATTAAGATCTCACGAAGCAACAAGAAAATGGTGGTGAGGGGAAAATATATTGAAATCTGAGAATTCATTTATGATAAGAAAGACTAGCAAGGTGCGAAACTGAGCACACTGTTTGGAAAACATGTTTTTCAATATTCTTAACGACTCATTTTGGTACATGTCTATCCCCTCGACCAAAAATGAAACATTTACTTTATGCTGGACTACTCTATCCGATCTTTAGTCTAAATATTTAGTATTCCTAAGGCAAAAAACTTTGCAGGGGCATGTATGGACCTGGTATTTGCCTTGGACACGAGCTGTTCCACAAGCAGCGACCAACAGAGGAAGGCTAAAGAAATAATGATTGACATTGTCAGCAGTGCCGAGATTACTATAGGTAAGTCTTCCGGGCACAAAAACTTATTGATACTGGTGTTTAATTTGTAAAAGTCAAAATTGTCAAAGAGATCGGGTCTCCTAAAAACACAATTAGAGTAACCCCCTGATTGTTCGTGTTATGTGATGTAAAACAAGTTTGAGCCTTGAATCAATTGTTAACAGTAACAGTTCGATGATTGTACCTAGCCATGAATTTTCACTTACATCGATAGAAATTTAAATAAAATTTAAAAAGCCCGCTCAAATTTGTTCCAGTCTGATTGGCTTTTTCCTTCAGATTATTTTGGCTTAGAGAAGCCATATTTATTACTTCTAAGGGGTTACAATATAGATAAATCCCCAAAAACCATTGTATTCTGTTTTCGACTTATTGCGTTCAATTCTGACAGTTGGTTGTTCTTTAGGTTGTCCTATTGATATCCTCAATATATTATCGATATCGTGCTTATGATTTGATCTCAAGATATATCTTATAAGGTATATATGATGTTTTATGAGCAATTATATTGGGACATTACTGATTGTCCAGAATATAAATCTGGACGACTCGATCTCGTTAATGAAAAGATAATTCTCTATGACGTTGCTTACATGTGTTAAATACCATTATAGTTAAGAACATTTCAACATTAACAGGATAGTAGTAGTAGCTTAATAATCCATGTTTGTATTCCTAGGTATCAATGACACGCGTGTTGCAGCATTAACATTCAACAAAGGCACACAACATCAATTTTACCTAGACAAATACGATAACAAAAATGATATCACCAACGCTATTGACTCTATCCCAACCGCACCGGTGGGCTGTCGGACACACACGTTCAATGCTCTGAAGAAGATTGCAGAGGACTACTTGAGCCTCTTGGAGAACGGACAGAGGGCTGAGAGACCAGATATCGTTGTCCTTTTTACTGATGGTGTGACATACCCCATTAAGAAACAACATAAAACATTGGAGTATGCTCAAGCGCTAAAGGTTGAAACATTAACATTTAACATATTGTTAAAAAACATTAAAATATAATTAATGATATAATTAATATCTCTAATTGAATGAAATCGAATGAAGTATATAAGAATGGAAAATATCACGAAAGATACATTCAATAATTTTAGCACAATGTGTCACCATTACAGCCTTATATCGGTACCTTCCTGGAGGACAGATGGCCACGGTCTGCGGATCAGAATGACAATTTATGATTCAAGTCAACTTCGCTTCATAGAATTTATATACTAAATAACTCGTTAATATTTTATATCCTGAAATGTTCTCATTTAGAAAGATCCACCCCTCTAGTGCCACTCATTTCAAAGGTGTGAACATAAGTATAAAACATGATCGTATTTTTTGCAATAAAGTCATCAATTCTGGCCGCATATCAGTTTACTATCCAGCACCTTGTGCTGTTGAACAGTTTACAATGTCTGTGCCCTGTATTGATAAATTTTTCAGATTCAGTGACTTGTATTAGGACAAATATTTGAAAGGAGCACGTATTAGTTATCGCAAACAATTTCAGAAGGTTATATCTTGGTTTATGACTATTTCCTGACAATGAAGACAGGTTTATCTTTAAGATCAATTCATTATCTCAAAGAAAATTATATATAGTAATAATAAAGTCAAACAAACTCGGAGATATTTAACTAGTAATCAACTCATCAACACACTTTTTCAAAGCTGTTGACCCCATTTTCACCAAAAATGCAATTATTTTTACAATGTTTAATGCATTACTATTCTTTATTTTGATATATGAAATAGTTCTTGAAAGAAAAACTTAATTGCTTTAGGATAAGTGTTCCCCATGTTATTTCTCCATTGAAAAATCTCATGCTATCCATTGGTTTCAGTTCATTTTGGTCATCCAAATTCAGTATCTTAAAAGTCCCTGGAGCAATCAACTTTTCCTTTTAGGAAATCGAACATGTCTCAAAGCACATTCTAATTATGCATTAAACAATATAATAAAAGGTTGCATTTTTGGTGAAAATTAGGTCAACATTTTTGAAAAAGTATGTTGACTGATCCATTGCCCCTTCAATATCACTTAGGTCTGATTAACTAAGTTATCATTATATATACTTTTCTTGAATGTAATGAATGGATCTAAAATATACACCCATGTTCATGATCAGAAAATATTCATAATTCAAGTTAGAATCGTTTGAAATTGTTTGCGATAACCTACGTGCTCCTTTATAACGATCTGATTTAATTGTTCCTTGCACGGTCATATATACAAATGTACTTCTACTATACACATCAATAATACCAAATGTACAACGCTGTTGAGTAGCAGTCGATATACTAAACAGTGGTCTGGACTAAAACCAAAAGCATTGGATATTCGACAATTTAGCGAGACCATTTGTTAAGGGGATGTATACTTACTGCACATGTTATCTTTACTTTTTAGGACATGGGAGTTCTCGTCTTCATTGTTGAAATGAATAACGAACGAAATAATGATGGGCGACCTGAGTATAATGCCATTGCCAGTCAACCACTCGCTGATTACTTAATTATGATGAACGAAGATGTTCCAAAACGATTCTTCGCAAAAGTACCCAGGCCGGAGGAGTGCTTACGTGAGAGCTATTTAAACTATATCTTTCTGATAATGATCGAGGTGTTGTTAAAACTTTAATGCAAGCAACAGTGGACTGATTGAATCAAAGGAGTGTTAAAAATATGGCCACACGAGTATCATTCACTCCACGATCATGCCATGTAATTGAAAAAAAATACCCCTATACCGCGTATGAAATGTTATTGGTAACTGCAAAATTGTTTGCAGAAATATTGTTGAAAACGCCTTTTAGTGATGGTTTTAGAGTAACTGAAATTGGTAAAACCAATGGTAAATTGGCAGATATTCTATAATTATAAGCTACAGTTTATGGCTGTTGCATCGACGCTCCGATTGTGCCATGAGATCGGGAAGCACTTGATATGAACTTGTCGTCGAGCAGATCTTGTTCATGAGCAACAAAATACACCATGTTTAGCACAGTTACAATGTCGATAGTGTGGAAAATATATGTAGACATAAGCAATGCTCTATAAAAGAGACAGATGATATTTTTATTGTGCTTAATGCAAATGGTCTACATTTTCTGATTTTCCTTAATTTTTCTTAATTTGGATTCTCCTTTACAGCGGAGGCACCACCAACATGTGATGTGAAACAAGATATCGTCATGGTAATGGACAAGAGCAATAGTATAGCAGAAGAGAATTTGGATACAATTATTGATTTCTTTGTAAAGGTTGCATCTTCGTTCGAAATTACTCCAGATACTACCAGAATCTCTGCTATTTCATATAATAAACAAGTGAGTAAATAAAACATACATCGGTAATTTCAACATTAATGACTGACTAATAATCTAAAAAATATATTCATATATCATTTGTAATGTTCTGAAATTTTGCTCAACGGCTGTACTACGTAACTGACCATATATAAATGGTAGCAAAGAATAAATGAATAATGTTGCATTTCCGAAAGTTTATTTCTAAGTATTTTTCAGTGGCAGACATGCCTCCCCGACTAATATAAGCCCCATAAAAACATTCGGGCCTAAAATATGTGCGGGCTCAAAATCTACTCTTTCCCACTAAAAATGAGCAATTTAGATAACTTGTGTTACTGGGCATTGTTTTTATAAGAATTATGCGCAATAAGTAGTTCTAAATACCGACAACATATACGCGTTTGTTTTCAGCACTACCCCTGCATTTTCATTAATTCTTGAGTCCCTTTTGTAGGTCCAAACCCATTTCCTACTTGATGGCCACATGAATAAACTTCACACTTTAAACTGGTTATCTGATAAACTCCGCACTGAACTAGAGTTGGGACAAAAGACAAGAACAGACAAAGCCCTCCTCAGAGCAACTGAAATTCTTCAAACGTACGGACGAAAAGAGCCAGGTGTTGCTAAAACGATCTTCATTGCCACCGATGGCACCACCTTCCCCGTAGACAAACAACCAATGACTTTTAAGGCTGCCGAGGCCGCACATGCCGCTGGTATAAGTGTTTTCTTAGTCAAACTTCCAAACCTCAACGGGAAAAATTCAACAGAGGAGTTTGAGGCAGTAAGGAACATCATTTCATTCATGCCTTTTCCTTAAAACATTGTTTCCGTATTATAATGCATTATTCGGCACGTAGATCCAATATCAACAAAAGAGGGGTATTGTTAGTAGTACTAACAGAGTCTTACTGTCAACAAAAGGCTAATGTGCCTCTTCTGATCTTGGTGAAGCGTTCGGGTATTCTTCGTAAAGTTTACCTGATAATATCAAAATGTCTCCTAAAATAAGCTCCCCTACAAACATTGCATTGGAAACTAGAAGTCCCATTTTGGATTACATATATATGTCAAGCCTGTTTATATTTGGTCTTTAAAAGATCATTTGTCATAAACTTCCAACTACTGTTATTCAGGAAAAAAATCATGGTTCACACATTGACAGGTTATTGATATGATATGCTCCCCAATGAAAACTTCTGGTTGCTATTGATATGATATGCTCCCCAATGAACACTTCTGGTTGCTATTGATATGATATGCTCCCCAATGAAAACTTCTGGTTGCTATTGATATGATATGCTCCCCAATGAAAACTTATGGTTGCTATTGATATGATATGCTCCCCAATGAAAACTTATGGTTGCTATTGATATGATATGCTCCCCAATGAAAACTTCTGGTTGCTATTGATATGATATGCTCCCCAATGAAAACTTGATATGCTCCCCAATGAAAACTTCTGGTTGCTATTGATATGATATGCTCCCCAATGAAAACTTCTGGTTGCTATTGATATGATATGCTCCCCAATGAAAACTTATGGTTGCTTTTGATATGATATGCTCCCCAATGAAAACTTCTGGTTGCTTTTGATATAATATGCTCCCCAATGAAAACTTATGGTTGCTATTGATATGATATGCTCCCCAATGAAAACGTCTGGTTGCTATTGATATGATATGCACCCCAATGAAAACTTATGGTTGCTATTGATATGATATGCTCCCCAATGAAAACTTCTGGTTGCTTTTGATATGATATGCTCCCCAATGAAAACTTCTGGTTGCTTTTGATATGATATGCTCCCCAATGAAAACTTATGGTTGCTATTGATATGATATGCTCCCCAATGAAAAATTCTGGTTGCTATTGATATGATATGCTTCCCAATGAAAACGTCTGGTTGCTATTGATATGATATGCTCCCCAATGAAAACTTCTGGTTGCTATTGATATGATATGCTCCCCAATGAAAACTTCCGCTTGCTATTGATATGATATGCTCCCCAATGAAAACTTCCGCTTGCTATTGATATGATATGCTCCCCAATGAAAACTTCTGGTTGCTATTGATATGATATGCTCCCCAATGAAAACTTCTGGTTGCTATTGATTTGATATGCTCCCCAATGAAAACTTCTGGTTGCTATTGATTTGATATGCTCCCCAATGAAAACTTCTGGTTGCTATTGATATGATATGCTCCCCAATGAAAACTTATGGTTGCTATTGATTTGATATGCTCCCCAATGAAAACTTCTGGTTGCTATTGATTTGATATGCTCCCAAATGAAAACTTCTGGTTGCTTTTGATATGATATGCTCACCAATGAAAACTTCTGGTTGCTATTGATATGATATGCTCCCCAATGAAAACTTCTGGTTGCTATTGATTTGATATACACCCCAATGAAAACTTCTGGTTGCTATTGATATGATATGCTCCCCAATGAAAACTTCTGGTTGCTTTTGATATGATATGCTCCCCAATGAAAACTTCTGGTTGCTTTTGATATGATATGCTCCCCAATGAAAACTTCTGGTTGCTATTGATATGATATGCTCCCCAATGAAAACTTCTGCTTGCTATTGATATGATATGCTCCCCAATGAAAACTTCTGGTTGCTATTGATATGATATGCTCCCCAATGAAAACTTCCGCTTGCTATTGATATGATATGCTCCCCAATGAAAACTTCCGCTTGCTATTGATATGATATGCTCCCCAATGAAAACTTATGGTTGCTATTGATATGATATGCTCCCCAATGAAAACTTCTGGTTGCTATTGATTTGATATGCTCCCCAATGAAAACTTCTGGTTGCTATTGATTTGATATGCTCCCCAATGAAAACTTCTGGTTGCTTTTGATATGATATGCTCCCCAATGAAAACTTCTGGTTGCTATTGATATGATATGCTCCCCAATGAAAACTTCTTGTTGCTATTGATATGATATGCTCCCTAATGAAAACTTCCGCTTGCTATTGATATGATATGCTCCCCAATGAAAACTTATGGTTGCTATTGATATGATATGCTCCCCAATGAAAACTTATGGTTGCTATTGATTTGATATGCTCCCCAATGAAAACTTCTGGTTGCTATTGATTTGATATGCTCCCCAATGAAAACTTCTGTTGCTATTGATATGATATGCTCACCAATGAAAACTTCTGGTTGCTATTGATATGATATGCCCCCAATGAAAACTTCTGGTTGCTATTGATATGATATGCTCCCCAATGAAAACTTCTGGTTGCTATTGATATGATATGCTCCCCAATGAAAACTTATGGTTGCTATTGATATGATATGCTCCCCAATGAAAACTTATGGTTGCTATTGATATGATATGCTCCCCAATGAAAACTTCTGGTTGCTATTGATATGATATGCTCCCCAATGAAAACTTATGGTTGCTATTGATATGATATGCTCCCCAATGAAAACTTATTGTTGCTATTGATATGATATGCTCCCCAATGAAAACTTCTGGTTGCTATTGATATGATATGCTCCCCAATGAAAACTTCTGGTTGCTATTGATATGATATGCTACCCAATGAAAACTTCTGGTTGCTATTGATATGATATGCTCACCAATGAAATCTTCTGGTTGCTATTGATATGATATGCTCCCCAATGAAAACTTCTGGTTGCTATTGATTTGATATGCTCCCCAATGAAAACTTCTGGTTGCTATTGATATGATATGCTCCCCAATGAAAACTTATGGTTGCTTCTGATTTGATATGCTCCCCAATGAAAACTTCTGGTTGCTATTGATTTGATATGCTCCCCAATGAAAACTTCCGCTTGCTATTGATATGATATGCTCACCAATGAAAACTTCTGGTTGCTATTGATATGATATGCTCCCCAATGAAAACTTCTGGTTGCTATTGATTTGATATGCTCCCCAATGAAAACTTCTGGTTGCTATTGATATGATATGCTCCCCAATGAAAACTTCTGGTTGCTATTGATATGATATGCTCCCCAATGAAAACTTATGGTTGCTATTGATATGATATGCTCCCCAATGAAAACTTATGGTTGCTATTGATATGATATGCTCCCCAATGAAAACTTCTGGTTGCTATTGATATGATATGCTACCCAATGAAAACTTCTGGTTGCTATTGATATGATATGCTCACCAATGAAATCTTCTGGTTGCTATTGATATGATATGCTCCCCAATGAAAACTTCTGGTTGCTATTGATTTGATATGCTCCCCAATGAAAACTTCTGGTTGCTATTGATATGATATGCTCCCCAATGAAAACTTATGGTTGCTTCTGATTTGATATGCTCCCCAATGAAAACTTCTGGTTGCTATTGATTTGATATGCTCCCCAATGAAAACTTCCGCTTGCTATTGATATGATATGCTCACCAATGAAAACTTCTGGTTGCTATTGATATGATATGCTCCCCAATGAAAACTTCTGGTTGCTATTGATTTGATATGCTCCCCAATGAAAACTTCTGGTTGCTATTGATATGATATGCTCCCCAATGAAAACTTCTGGTTGCTATTGATATGATATGCTCCCCAATGAAAACTTCTGGTTGCTATTGATATGATATGCTCCCCAATGAAAACTTCTGGTTGCTATTGATATAATATGCTCCCCAATGAAAACTTATGGTTGCTATTGATATGATATGCTCCCCAATGAAAGCTTCTGGTTGCTATTGATATGATATGCACCCCAATGAAAACTTCTGGTTGCTATTGATTTGATATGCTCCCCAATGAAAACTTCCGCTTGCTATTGATATGATATGCTCACCAATGAAAACTTCTGGTTGCTATTGATATGATATGCTCCCCAATGAAAACTTCTGGTTGCTATTGATTTGATATGCTCCCCAATGAAAACTTCTGGTTGCTATTGATATGATATGCTCCCCAATGAAAACTTCTGGTTGCTATTGATATGATATGCTCCCCAATGAAAACTTCTGGTTGCTATTGATATGATATGCTCCCCAATGAAAACTTCTGGTTGCTATTGATATAATATGCTCCCCAATGAAAACTTCTGGTTGCTATTGATATGATATGCTCCCCAATGAAAACTTCTGGTTGCTTTTGATATAATATGCTCCCCAATGAAAACTTATGGTTGCCGTACTCATTAAGGAACTGTAGTCTTTATAAGTACTATTCTCCTAACTATAGATATAGAGTATTTCAAACTCATATGTATTCCTTAGATTGCTAGCAAGCCTCTCAAAACGCATCTTTTCGATGAGGTTGAGTCGTTCGACAAACTTGAAGGAATTGTGAGGACACTTACAGGATCAGTTTGTGCGGGTAAGTTCCAAAAATGGACCATTTGTTTTACGTATCATATATTTTACATACCACGTGTCACTTTACAAAAACACAAAATGAACTTGATTAATATTATACACTGTATTAAATGATAATTGTGATAATTAGTATTACCTACAACCACAAATTAGAATATATAAAACGAATGGTATTACACAAATAGTGACTGCCACTGAGGGAAATATTGCAAAATACTTACTTACTTAACACCTGTTATCCCAGCCAGCAGGGAAGATGAAAGGTACTAATGACTGGTCACATGACCTAACTGGCAATTAGTACATTTCATCTTCCCTGTTACCATGCAGGGATTTAGGACTTTCCAGGGAATTAGTTCATCTATTTCATATCATGTGACCATGAATAAGCCAATGGGCATCTAGAATACATATGGGGTATTTAAAAATGTCACAGCTGCCATATTGTACAATATACTTATTTATTTTTTTTTTTACGACAGTTGCACAAAGTTTCAACAGACCAGAATAAACGGCAATGGGCAATGGCGCTACACATTATGAAATATCCACAAAGAGGGATGCATACAGTAGGGCCTGACTGCAGCGATAACAATCACATGATAAACAGTGGACTGTGGCTAGCATAGCATATATGTTATTTGTTTACTTTCCAAGGCATTAATATAAATGATCCTTCATAATTTGCACCTAAGAGCTTCTTGAGTATAGATTATAGAGGACTTGTTCTTGTCATTTCAAACAGAATTATGTCTTGTTTACATGTATGTTCGTATGGTGCTTCTAATGTCGTTTACCGTTTATCTTACAATGCTTTCTGGTCTTTGATGTCATTTTATGGAGAAAAAAACTGAGCCTGCCGCTTGAATGATATAAAATGCTTCAAAAACAGAAACCTGAGTTTTCCCTTCGTCATGTGTGTATGTTTAATGTTGCATAATTTACATGGAAATAAATTTGAAGTCAAATTCTGAAAATCTGTTACGCTTCTGTATGACTCTGAATATTGTTGTATGAAATAAAAATGTGGGAACATAAATTTATTGAGTTATTGTTGTAATATATGGTTTTGAGTTTGCTAGTAGGAAGATGAGTTCGAACACAAATAGTGAAAAAAACTAATCGAGTCAATTTTAATCTATCAGACTATGAGTCACTCGGCTAGCATGACCATTTTTGCCCATCAACGTGTAAGAATGAACATACACTCCTCTCTTGAAGTCTGTCAACTAAAAGTAACACAATTGAATGTACGCGTTGAATTTTAAGTAATTAAAAAAGGAACTCCATATTGTACTCGATTATATGGCACACAGATTTATAAATTGTAACTTTGCGCACATCCTTCGTGGGATTTTACAAGAAATACTTATGGTATAGCTTTTAATAAACGAACAATTTTAAAAAGCCATTGGATAAGAAAGGGGTTATGATTATGTCATATTTGTTACGCGGTAAACACGATACAAAAATATGTCATATTCCGCAACGAATATGGCATATTCACTTGCGGTGTATGACAGATTCACCTGCGGAATATGGCATACACACTAAAATGAGAACGTGATACGGAAGTACCCTATTGTCAATTGCATCGATTGAACGAACAAATAAAACTTAATAAATTATTATAATGATTACTGAATCAACAGTACTGTGTATCGAATATATTAACTTAGCAGAAGTATCAGTCACCAATTTCACGTAATAAACTTACTCAATCAATCCAGGATTCATATATTAGTACTCGATGCACTAACTATATTGGTAATCCAGCGTAGTTTTACATTTAGAGTCGATTCTCGCAACCAATCAAATCAAGGCTTTCTGTATCACGTTTTCAACTGCAGTATATGTCATATTCACCTGCGGTATATGGCATATTCCGCAAGTGAGTATGACATATTCCGCAGGGGAGTATCGGGTATTCAAGGAAATCAATGTATCGCATATTCATTGCGGAATATCGCATACTCACCTGCGGAATATGCCATATACCGCAGGTGAGTATGGCATATTCACCCGTATCACAAATACCGCGCGCAACCATGAATGTATGCCATATACCGCGTAACAATATTGATGCCTTAGTGAGCAATCCACAAACAAGTTAGAAATGGATGTATCAAAATAAAAATCTTAGACAAAACTTTAAAATGTTACTCGCAAAAGTATTGCAATGTAATTTTTTTAAATAAACTCAAAGGCATTGAATAAATAGAGTGCTAAGAAAATGTGAAGACGATACAATTAAGTTTCAATTCTATTTATTTCACTCATTTTAGATACAATGTTTGTAGATTTCACATAGCATGCTTTGCTTAATCCATTGAGAAGAAATGTCTTCTAAATTCAAAAAAATATTGAGGCTTATTTGATTCACATATACTAAAAGACATAATTATATAAACTTAATTTGTTTTCCTAATATGCACCCATAATACTGAAAACAAACTTGGGGACAAGTTGTCTTTGGTACCAGTTGCCTTGGGTACGAGTTGACTAGGAAGCTTTAAATACAATTTTTCACAATTTTTCGAACAAAAGTCCGTCAAAAACAACTTTTTGAAATTAAAAAAAATAAGTTTCAAATATCACATTTTGATAACATTGAGTAAGACTACAATCAGTCAGGGTTGTTTAAACTCCATATGGGGCCGTTGAAGAATAACTTTCGCCAACACATTCATTTAGTGTTGAATCAATTAGGAAAATTGGCCAACAATATTGCTTTATTTTGAAAAGTTGGTATATTTAGAAAACGAGAAAGAAAAAATAATTTTTCAGAAAATGGTTTTCAATCTGAATGAAATCAGCGTATCCTCGAGACATCACATTTTCATACATACATATCTATGCAAAGTGTGTCCGATTCCAGCAATACTGAACACAGTATTTCATATAAAATGCGCATTATATAACCAATAACCGCAACCAAGGTCATTTGTTGAATGGTTGTCAAGGTGACAACTTGACTTTACGGGTTGAACTTGACGCTTTGCCAACTTGGTCCTTGCAAGAATATAAAATATGTTCTTTTAGTGTCTTTGTACCTTTGGTGTGATTTCGTAGAAAATATTTGATGTGTGAGATGACCAACCCTTTTCTTCGAGTCATCAAAAGTAATATTTATCGATTAAACTATATTGTTTTAACTTTGCACGGGGCCTTTAAATGCAGAAATCCTCAGTATGTTCGCCCATATCTACAAATGAAAGCACATATTTAGCAATATTATATTAGCAAGTTTATCCTTTGAGATTTTGTATGTAATGATAAAGCCAGTTATTTTTTGATATTATGGATATCCCGATGTTTTCCTAAAATGTTTCATCAGAGGCCAATTTGCCATAGTTCATTGCCTATACACTAAATGCAAGTAAAAAATCTTGATATACATTATCAAATATTCAAAATTCAGTCAAATTGATATCATATTTGAAATCTGCATGTAAAATTACAACTCAACATGTGGTTTTAATAAGTATTTATTAACTTGATTGAAAAATTATTATTCTTTAAAAATGCAACTTCTAGGTCGAACGGTGAGCCCACATTACCTAGTGTTATAGCTATTTTACAGTTATGGGTACCGAATCCAACGCCGAAGTCGAACGCCATACACCGCTTGTCAAATATCCAATACTCAGTTAGTTCCTCATTTTCATGGAAAATGTTTGCATCGTTCATATACAAACCCAAAAATGGGCAACTCAAAACTGAGGTTAGCCCAATTGTTACGAAAGGCAACGCTCACGATGACGCTGCAATTAACAATCTTACTAAAATTAACAAAACATCATATATCTAACTGCGTTTCCTCAATTAAGTACCTCAATGTAAACGCTGCAAGATTAAAATAGTCTCGATAATCTCACATTTCATGTTGTTTGTAAACAAGAAAAATTAGTTAATTGATTTTCATTTTTAACAATAGAGTATTATTGCAGATTGTTTGACATGGATATTATTAGAAACAATATTTGGCAGCAGAGTGTATTTTTATTTAGAGGATGATTCATTTATGAGTTCATGGGTTTACGGAAAAGACCGACCGACCGCTGACCACCAACCAATCACTTTCCATAGTTGAGTAGGCTACTACTCATACTCACGTAGTCGGTGGTCGGCTTTCGGTCTTCTACATAAAGATGAACAGATACAAGATTAGAGGAGGAAAAAACTGAAAACTAGGAAACCGATGACCAGAGTACCTTAACAAGGTCGTCATTAAATCACTTCAATTCACGGTGAAAAACTCACTTGAAAATGTCGTCGTGGTCTGTAATTTCATATTTTTAAGTGATGTCTCAGTTTGTAAAGAAGACCAATTTTATTCTGGTTAATCACTTTGGATCATGATGACAAAAGGCACGTAACATTAGTTTAATACATTCAGTATGAAAATAAAGAAAAATCACACTTAAGATTGTCGGTCTTTATCATGTCGTTATCTTTGTTGTATCTTAGAACAACCAAATTGTGTTATTGTGTTTTAATGTTGCATTTGGCCAATAGGTGGCAGCACGAGACAGACAGTTTCGAGACTATTGTACCAAGATGGAGATTTCTAAATAGTGAAATATATTTGAGAGTAAAACCATATTTTATGTAGTTTATTAGATATACATGGACATAAGTTATTACAATCTTTTTGAAGATTAGTACGTAATGTTTGATTTCTCAGTTGTCAACCTGGTAAGAACTACATAGACTATATAATATGACAAAAATAGCAGTTCAACTGGTCTGCTGAAATGGTTAGTCACTTTTGGTCCTGACAATAGAACGCACGTAACCGTATTCGGTAATCAGTATGACAATAACAAATCATTTTTATTAGAAATAAGCCTGCGTAATTTTCATTAAAAATAGACTTACGCTGTATCTCAGTAAAAAATTAGGATAGACACCCGTAGAAACGATGGGTTGACAGGACACCAAGTTATTTGCTTTCCTTTCGTTTTAACCATTGTACTTGTAAATGAAAAAAAACAAATCGGGTAAAAACGTTGTATTCAAAATCGAAAAGAAAATAATTTAATCAAATAATCTTGATTTACGTTGAATATTCAAAATTCAGTCAAAGTGATGTCATATTTAAAATCTACATGTAAAAGTACATCTAGAAATATGATTTCGAAAATTTAATTCTTGAAATCTTTGTTCACTGTTGGCACTAAAATCGTTTGTTTATTTACTGGGGAATTCAAGGAAGTCGTCTAAAAGGTGTCACTATATTGCCACATTTAGATTGCATATCCATATTGTCTTTGGGTGCGCTACTCTCCACATCATTCAATTTGGGACCAGAAAGCGAATCATAAGCAAACATATACAGTGTGTTGGGCTGAATTTACATGAATGGCGGTTGAATCAACTATTTAAGATGTAATACTCCAAACTGTTTTACCGAAATAGGTCTCAAATATCAGTCATAAAGTAAATTTCTTTGGAACGACCACATTTTTAAAAAAAGTGACTCTTAATAACGTTTTTGTTCAAAATTGTTGCATTTTGCTGAAAAAATCAGTACAGGTGTCACTGCACGCATACGCATCATATGTCCATATGCATGTATTGTAATATATCGTACAGTCGTTTTGACTCCATTATTGTAGTTGGACAAATTAAATTTGGAAAAGAATTCAGAAAATGTTCACGTTTTGTCAACATATAGGAGATAATACTGATGCAATCGATCACACTCAATTACATACGGACAGATATTGTTTGGAAAGTACAATAGAGTTTGACGGCTAATTAGACTCGAAAAAAGAATGACAAAAGATCAAGGGACAAGTTTGGGTAGAAAACAATTGAGTTCAATTTGAATTTATTCAGTAGGTCGCCTTGCTCGGTGTTAAAACACCAACAATTTCATTTGAAAAAAATTGACGAAAGGTAAGTACAATGTAGTTTAAATATACTTTTTACTTTTTTTCTTTTTCGTTGGTTGAACAGAAAGAGTCAATACAAATAATGAGGCCTTCTATAACAAAAAATTTACAATTGGCAATTAATAGAAGTATGCATGAAAAGAGAAAACAAAAATTACAAATTACATTAACATGGTTTGAATCGTTAAAATGTCTGAACATCTAAATTATTTCATGATTGTGTTATAAGCTTTTTTAAGAATGCTCATCCTTACAATTAGGAATTATTGTTTGAGGATTGCCAACATGTACATTTCAGATGGAACGACTCATCGCCTTTATTTTACTGTGCGTTCTGCCATGTTACACAAAGGCACAGACAGGTAAAATATAATTTAATAACGCATGTTAAGTTATAACCTACATACAATCATTTTTTAATAATCTGAAACCCTTTAACGTAATAAATATGAATGTTTCGAGACCAAGAAAACGTGATTCAAAATGAAGAAAAATATCTTCGCTGGGATTTGAACCCGCTCCGTCAGAGTAAAATGCAAGCATGCAAATCTTTACACCAAAATTGTAATTATTTAAAGCGAAATGATTTTTTTTCAAATATATATATAATCTACGACTACACTACAATTATTAGAAAATAGTCAATAATCATACCAATAACATAATATGCATATCTGAATGATTGTATTTTTTATTCAATTAATGATTTCTATTCAGTTTTCATTTTGAGAATCTGTTTCTTGATATCAACCTGAACATTTATTTCCAGTTTTATTTGCATGTGTAAAACTGTAAGTCAAACCTTACCATATACTTTATAGCTAAAAACGACCAAACGGTCACAAAAATATCGATAAAGGTTACATCTAGTTAGTTAATGCTTTTGGGTAACCTTTATCGATACTCTTCTTATTCATTTATCTTTTAATCACAGGCTGGTATCGAAAAATTTGTCCGCTGTGACGGAGCATGCTATTTTGCATAGAGACACTAAGAAACCCACACAATTTATTTTTTTACTCATATGTTTCGCTATACCAAAGAAAGTGTCTTACTCCATGCAATGGGTATATCATTTGCGGGTAAGTTTCTTACTCCATGCAATGGGTATATCATTTGCGGTGATGGATGGATTGTTTGAAGTCCAACAACGCTAAAAGTAAAAGCTATTGAAAATGGCGCCGGGGTATCATACTCCAAAATGTACCATTTTCTTTTATTTCTTTTTAATGGTACAATATAGTGACACGATAATATTTACATATGTTTTCAGCATAACTCTGAAGATATTAATGATATCTTGATGTATTGGGTATTTTTAATGTTTACATTTTTTGTCAGCTGTGACGGAGTAGTTTTAACTGTGAACTACATTAAGAATTTAAGATTCAAATTATACCTTTTAAAATTACCCTTAGAAGAGAGAACGTCACAAATCACTTTCCTAAATTATGACAAGTAGCCTCTGGGAGATCTGGGGTAATGTAAATCTGAGATATAAAAACGACCACTCTTAGCATTTTTCGGAGGTTTGTACTGAAATCAACATGAATCAACATGGTAAACTCAACGTAATATTTCTAATACGTTTTCACCAAGACGTCTTGGAATGTCACGTGTAGTGTAAATAGGGCAAATATTAATTTATTCGAAATAGCGCACAGACATCCTGCATTCTGACAAATGTATAACCTTTTAATACATAATATTACTGTATATAAGTTACCATAAAAAATGACCATGTCAGGTGATGGATCCACAGTAGGCACAACGAAAGGCAAATACCCTATACTGAAATAAAGTTGACTATCATTTTCATGAGTTACCATGCATAACTTGGATTACAGTACAAACTGAGGAAAGAAGCTTAAAGGGTGATCGTATATCCATCTCAGAATTTGAATTGTGTACTTTTATTCCGTTTTATTTTTCAGAATACTTTACGAAAGAGATTTAACACGCTCCCTCCTCTAACGTGTAGTTATAAAGAGATGTATTATAAATCTAAATTCTTAACGTATTTCAGATTTGGAACTGCTCCGTCACAGCGGACAAAAAATTTAAACATTATTTTTTAAAAAAAAGAAAGAAAAATACCCAATACATAAAGATCTCATTAATACCTTCAGAGTTATGCTGAAAACATATGTAAATATTATCGTGTCGCTATATTGTACCATTAAAAAGAAATAAAAGAAATGGTACATTTTGGAGTATGATACTCCGACGCCGTTTTCAATAGCTTTTACTCTTTGCGTTGTTGGACTTCAAACAGAAGTTAAAGTTACCCGCAAATTATATATTCATTGCATGGAGTCAGTAATTTTCTTTGATATAGCGAAACATATGAGTAAAAAATAAATTGTGTGGATTTCCTAGTGTTTCTATGCAAAATAGCACGCTCCGTCACAGTGGACAATTTTTTCGATACCAGCCTGTGTTAATTCATCGGATTGATATTTCCAGTCTCCTGCATGGACCTCCTGTTTGCCGTTGACACAAGCTGCTCGGTTACGCAGGATCAGTTAGACATAGTACGAGATACAATGTTTGAGATTGTTGACAGAACGGAATTTAGAGTTTGTGAGTTTACAATTGTCACATCAGCAATGTTATTTTTGTACATTTCTTATATACGATCCATTATTAAAGCTTACACAGGTGTGACGCACATTCATATTACTGTCGTATAGTTGAAAATACCCACCCCTCCAAAATGTTTAAGAACCATGACTTTACGTTAGATAGCATGTTTTCATAGCTTCTTTAGTAAGACTTGGTTCAAGGAAGAATTAATGGTGTTCCCAAACATTTCGAGTGGAGTGTAGGCCTGTATCAGATTTAGCATCTACGAATGCCAATCAGATATCCATCTGTAATATATGATTTTTTATCATTTTAGCTGGAAATAGGAATCTAGTGGCTGGGCTTACCTACAGCAAAGGCAGCCAACACGAATTCTTCTTTGACACATACGACAGCAAAGCAGACGTCCTAACAGCGATCAGAAACTTCAATATGACACCTGCTGGTTGCAGAACCCACACGTTCAATGCTCTGAAGGTCATACAGGAGAACTATTACGACCTGATGATGCACGGCTCCAGAGCAGAGTTTAGAGACGTGATTGTTGTATTTACTGATGGTATGACATATCCCAATAGGAAACAGAAGAAGACTAAAGAGTATGCGGCAATGTTGAAGGTGACGTAACGTGACGTGACGTAACGTAATAAAATGCGTCATGTGGCTATGAAATGTGTTTATTTTATATATGTACAGTATATTTTACCGGATGGGCCAAAAAACGCCACCTTTTTCAAATGGATGGTATAATAACTTTTTTAATTTTTGATCCAAAATAATGATTCGCATACAAAGTGAAACTTGAAGATGCAAACTAGCCATGCATTATGAATTGTACACTGCAAAATTTGGTGTATGTAGGTTGGAAAATGAAAAGGTTATAGTGTCTGGAAAAAAGTGGCGTTTTTTGGCCCACCCTGTATATATACATGTTAATATCTATTGTTGGGGTGCTGTGGCCACTGACTAACAATATTCCTTACTCCAAGAATGCAACGGAACGATATCTTACATAAGCCAGAATGTAGCTAACATTTCCGTTGAATAAATACAAACCTACATTTGCATTTTTATATCACTCACTTGCCTGGTGCTTCGTTCTTACTCAATTTTTATGACGACACTTTAGGCTATGAACCCCGGCGTTAAGGTGTTCGTTGTGCAGTTAGACAACATTGAGAATAACGATGGGCTCGACGAGTTTAGGATGATCGCAAGTGACCCATTTTCCGATCACAACGTGCTTCTGGAAGACGCGGAACAAGCTGCGGAGGATCTCTTTTCTTTACTTCCAAAGGACTGCGTGGAGGGTGCGTTGTATTCATTATCAAATGCCGGAATCACGTTGTGCACATTTGTATCAATAAGTTTCTTACAAAAGATCTGGAATTGTTAATTGTTTAAGTAATTCCAACTATATGATCTGTGCTTTTTGTCTTATAAGATTGCTGAAAAGAATTTTAAAACTAACCAACTAATTTTCCCATCAGTAAACTTTTCCAATCAGTATGACATGTACATGTATGTACATCTCAGTGACTGCGATGGCTTGATCAACTGAATGAGGGCTAGGATCCTTTTCAAATTGAGTGTGGGTGTTTCGGAAAGTCATCGTAACAGTTCACTTTGCAAAAGGCAGTTATAGTTACAAAGAGTACATAGATAAACAAGGGTATTTTCTGTTTCAGAGGAAATCAAGTGTGAGGCTGTCGTAGATGTAGTCCTGGTCATGGATCGCTCCAACAGCATTGAAATTGATGACCTTAAACTTTTGGTTGATTTTTTCCGAGAACTTGCCAGTCAGTTTGATATTGATACCAACGTCGCTAGGTTTGCTGCGATATCTTATAACAACGCAGTCTACAAGCATTTTCCGTTGTCTGGTCCAACAGCGCATCATGATCGTAGATCAACTATCAACTGGATCGTTGAAGGTATTCCATTGACCACTGATAAAAACACAAGGACAGATCTAGCGCTGGTTAATGCAACCGAAATCTTGGACACAGAAGGGCGCGAGGGTGTTCGCAAAATTATATTTCTAGCCACTGACGGTAACACAATCAAGGCGAAACACGCACCAGATACAATTGAAGCAGCAAAAGCAGCGAAGAGGAAGGGTTATCAAATCTTCTGTGTTGGCCTTCCAAACAACAACGGAAGAACTAATGGGATAGACGAATGGCGACAGGTAATAATTGAAGATTTAGCCGCACGTTGACACACCGAAGTAACATAATTCCAAAAAGCAAGACGAAATACCAAAAGCAAAATAAGATTGCTCAGCATCGATCTATCCTAAGGAAGTTGGAGTGTCTTCAACTTTTTTATTATAAGAGAGTGTATTTCATTTTCTAGGTTGCAAGTAAACCTCTGGCAACTCATTTGTTTACTGATTTGGAGGACTTTGCTAGTCTTCGGAACATAGTGGCAGATTTAACTCAATCCGCATGTGCTGGAGGTAAGACTATCAATCCTTATCCCTTCTGGTTCCATTTTGTCCCGGTTTTGCCTATCCTATCGATAACATAGTAGCCCGGACAGAATTGTTCAATGGTCACTTTTTCTTTAATAACATTTTTGATTTTTAGTATTATCAAAATCTGATTACATATTTGAAAACTAGAGTGAAATTCTGACATACAAAAAAAATATTTAAGGAACGTCTCTTAATTTGTTGATATTATAGGCATTCATAGTATGAGTGACGCAAATACATAATTCACCATTTTGCCTCATGTTTGTTCAAAATAGCAGCATATTTTGTGAATTTGAATGTTAAGTTGAGAGTAAATATTTAAAGATTGTCATAGGCGTATAAGGTCATGCAAACAAAAAACAAAGCTAATTTTTCTATAACTTTTGCTCTTTTGCTGTTTTCTCCATGAAACGTCCACAACAAAAGGAACATATACCTTATTCTAGTAACATTTCCTGACAAGCAACTTTGTTTTGACAAAGTTATGTCTACTTCAACTTTTGGACGACGTTTGTCGTGACAGTTTAATGAAGAAAAAGCAAGGGAACAAAAGTTGCATACTTTTTGAACACCCTGTAAATCCGTGATTAGAATTTCTTGAGTCAGAACTCCAATATTGATTTTTTTGTTTTCAGTATTTGAAACAGAGGAATAACAAGGTTAATTACCTGATGGTGTTTGAGGATGAATCGGAACTTATTATCAGGAACATGACAATGGACTCATTTTAATAATGACATTTAATTTATATAACTACTACCTTGGATTTGTTCGGCGTCTAATAGAAGCCTTCAATACAAAAACATGAGAATGTGTGTTTTTGCTTTTTACTGTTTTGTTGATAAAAATGAGCCTGCCCGCCTTGCATGACAGAAAGCAGTAAATAGCAACATGCACGAGGCTGACTTGCGAAATCTAGAATGAAGCATAGTACCACTTTGTGGCAATTAGTTGTTAATTATTTCATGCGTACGTGGACTCTCTACCTCTCTTGTATTGAAAATAACACATTACATATAATAAATATATTTATTCGGCAAATATGTTCTGTATTATATTTTTGTAATTTAAATATGTGCTACCTCATTTTGGCAAAAGGATTTGCCGTAAAAATAATGTTAACATATAATGTTAAACAATGTTATAATGTTAATGTTAAACAAATATAAATATCTAAGGAATAACCATGTTACGATAGGCTGTAATTTAAAATGACAAAGTCCGTTAGGTCGGAATTGCAAATAGTAATTTGTCGAAATCGCCGAATAATACACACTCGTATTTTTAAAGAGAATCTCTGTGGGTCATTAAAGGATTGATATCGATATGGTGAACTGGATTCAACCTTGATTATTTGTCTCTTAAGCCATCTATGGAAAACTGTTCTGTAAATTCTGTAAATAACACGATCATTTATGTAATTGGTCACTGATTGACAACAATTTTATGTGAAAATTATTTATGTATTATAATTATTGTTTGTGTGGACAATTTTTGTTTTTAGTGCAATTGTTTGCAATTCTTGAGAATGAAATAAAAAATATATATCCGAACGTACCTTGTTGGAACAAAATGGCATATAACATTTTCTTATGCCTCTCAATCACAGGCTGATATCGAAAGATTTGTCCGCTCTGACGGAGCATGTTATTTTTCATAAATGCACCAAGAAAACCAGACAATTCATTTTCAACATGTTTCGTTAACGGTTATACCAAAGAAAATTACTTACTCCATGCAATGGATATATCATGTGCGGATGACTTTCACTTCTGTTAGAATTCCCATAATGCTAGGAGGAAAAGCTATTGAAAATGGCGTCGGGGTATCATACTAAATACATATTAATGGCACGATATATATCGTAACACGATGATATTTTAATTAAGGAATAAATAATGATAGGCCATTCAATATAGTGAAATTCAGCACGAGTTGGACAGAATGTTGTACAAAGCACGAACCGAAGTGAGTGCATTTGTACTAACATTCTGTCCAACGAGTGCTGAATTTCACCATATTGAATGGCCTATCATTATTTATTCCGATTCAAACATAAAAATTAGTAAAAGCCGTGTCTGTGGAACGGGCATGAAGGAAGAATACGCATGCTGTCAAGATTCTGAAGTCGGCCGGAAAAATTTTAGAATTTGTTTGAGATGTGACGTCAGCTATCCCCGGACAGAGCCCCAGATGTGCAGCTGAGATGTGACGTCACTCAAAACAATGCAAATTGCAGATTGAATAGAGCATGGTCGTGCATCTATGGAGAATTAGAGAACGTTCTATATTGGCTATGCTGCATTCTGATTGGTTGAGAAATTCGAATAGAGCACGGTCATGTTTGAATATGTTTTCAGCATAACTCTGAGCACGGTGTATAACCCAAACGCTCCGACATGCACGACGGAGCGTTTCATTACTGAAATTAAACAAAGAAACGCTCCGGAGTAGGAAAACTGGCTGGCGGGAATGATGAGCCGTCTGACGATTTCCCCAATAATGGGAATAAGAGGTATGAGTTACATATTTCGAGTATACCATTCGATGGGTGTGATATTCATGTTGTACTTGGCTGGCTGTTGACGTTTGAAGCAATTAGGAAGAGCTGTACGAAGCAGTATAGTTATGAAAATTCAAAAACGTATTTGTCATTCTACCGGTCAAAACCCCTTTTTATCGATACATGTGATTGGTTGAGCCAAGATTAGAGCACCAACGTATATTTTAGTCAAATTCCAATGCTTCAACGCACCATACATTATCGTAATAGTGATTTGATGACCGAAAATCCAGTCTTAAAAATGATGACATTCTCATATTCAAGAAACGCTCCGATCTGGTTAACACAGTGAACTGGAAACGCTCCGGTAGTGTAGATCAGTTTAGGAAATATATAGTTTGCCTTTCCTTTTCAGGAAGAGAAAGAAAAGATCTATTATACCCCTTGGCATCAAAAGAAGAAAGATTAATTCACAAATAAAGTTTCGTTTTTTCTATAGTTTTATGATTTAGCACACATGTAGGTATGACATCATATAATGTAGGCTTAGATCAGCTAGTTGCACGTTTAGCACCACCAGGTTCAGATGTTTCAATTTGCCTGACAAGTACAACACGTTTTTGAGAGATAAATTTCGATTCGGAACTCTTCTCTAATAATCTGAAAATGATATATATCAAAACAAAATGGTAAGAGCGTTTCTAAAATTGTGTTCTAAATCGACGGAGCGTTTCGAGGAAAACAAGCGATTTCTCGAGAACAAGTAATGGATTTGGACTGGGATTTTAGAAAATGAGAATATACGCGAGTTTGTGATCTACTACTTTAACAGAAAGATTAACGTTTTCATAGAAATACTAGTTTAATTCGTAATTTGTGGTCAAATCGTCATCTTCAGATTCGTTCGATCTACACTACGGAGCTTTGATCAAGCAAATAACAGTTTACCACCAGAAGTTGAATAAATAAGATCTTTGCCCACGGTATTGTTCATCGAATGGTACATAATATTTCACCATAACATATGATATGTAAGAGAAACGAGAGAAACAATACTTACGGTCTTAGTGGAATCTTCATTAGCCGCCATTTTATTTCGCTCCGGAGCGTTTCCGCGTAAATGAAACGCTCCGTCGTGCATGTAGGAGCGTTTGGGTTATACACCGTGCTGAGGGTATTAATGATATATTGCAATGTATTGGATCTTTTTGATTTTTTTTAAATAATGTAAATAATGTTTATTTTTGTCCGCTGTGACGGAGCAGTTGCAAATGAGAACTGTGAAACTGCTCCGTGCCGTTAAAAATTGAAAAGACCCAATACATCCAGATCTAATTGATACATTCAGAGTTATACATGAAACATAAGTAAATATTATTGTGTCACTATACATGCCATTAAAAAGTTTAAAAAGAAATGGTACATTTAGTAGTATGATACTCTGGCGCCGTTTCCAATAGCTTTTACTCCTGTAGCGTTATTGAACTTCAAACAGAAGCGAAGGTTATCCGAACATGATATATCCATCGCATGGGGTAAGTAATTTCTTTGATACTACGAAACATAAGAGTGGAAAATAAATTGTGTGCTCCGTCACAGCGCCAAATCTTTCGATACCAGCCTGTGTCAATAAGCCTTGTCATACTGATAGTTATACAAAGGAGGGAAGTTCGTTAAAAAAGTATCCAAAATATAAAATAAAAAACAGCAAAATAGATAAAGATTAAAGTATACCTTTTATTTCATTAACAAGATACTTATTCTAAATAAATACAAATCTTCCTTTGTATGATCACAATATCAGAATATTCAGAGACCTAAAACGTTGTGTAATAGTATGTCATTTTGTTCCGACGAGACGTTTCACTTCAGGTCATTAATGGTGATAACATGTTGGCTCATTAATCATCGAGGGGCTGTAGCTCAAGTGGTAGAGCGCTCGCTTAGCATGTGAGAGGTACGGGGATCGATACCCCGCTGCTCCATTCGTTTTGACAAATGTTCACCTCTGGTCATTAATTTTGATAACATGTTGGTTCATTTTTTAATAAGTAAGGTAGAAATGGGCATACAATTATTTTAAGTATTTCTACTCTATCACCGAGGGGCTGTAGCTCAAGTGGTAGAGCGCTCGCTTAGCATGTGAGAGGTACGGGGATCGATACCCCGCTGCTCCATTCATTTTGACAAATGTTCACTTCTGGTCATTAATTTTGATACCCTGCGTGCAGAGTCTAGTTAAGACGAAGCTCTCTTTTAAGAAGTGAAGTCAAACGAATGCAAAGGGTATAATTTTGATAACATGTTGGTTCATTTTTTTAATCAGTAAGGTAGAAATTAGCATTCAATTATTTTAAGTATTTCTACTCTATCACCTAGGGGCTGTAGCTCAAGTGGTAGAGCGCTCGCTTAGCATGTGAGAGGTACGGGGATCGATACCCCGCTGCTCCATTCATTTTGGCAATATTCACTTCTGGTCTTAAATTTTGATAACATGTTGGTTCATTTTTTAATCAGTAAGTTAGAAATGGGCATTCAATTATTTTAAGTATTTCTATTCTATCACCGAGGGGCTGTAGCTCAAGTGGTAGAGCGCTCGCTTAGCATGTGAGAGGTACGGGGATCGATACCCCGCTGCTCCATTCATTTTGGCAATATTCACTTCTGGTCATTAATTTTGATAACATATTGGTTCATTTGAAGAAAATGTTCAATTAAAACATTTTTTTCAGAAATAACTAAAGTGTCAATCTTTCTAATTTTCACATATGTTGTTTTACATCCGTATATCTTTTACCAAGACTTTTTCAAGTAAATCTGAATTGTAGAAAAAAGCTGATACACTGTGAAGTACTACCTTAACAGGAAATGACAAAACAGGAAGTGACAATAAAGTGCTCAATAACAATAAATATATGCTTATTCAGCAATTTTTGAGTTATGGGTATGGGCCCTCTATATATGGAACACTTGTTTACAAGGACCAGTTTTGTTTCCTTGTTCGCAGGTTTTACTGTATTCACATAGGGCTATTAAAAATAAACTTTGGTTTATTGGTCTTATACATGTATACCCCCACTAGTATCTAAGAGGACAAATGACTAACGTTAATGAGATAATTTGTTTGCATCATCAGTGGGCTATAGCTCAAGTGGTAGAGCACTCGCTTAGCATGAATGAAAGGTATGGGTACCCGATAGCCCCGCTGCTCTACTGTTTTTTTACAATAGTTCTCAATTCGTTCTGTTATTTGAAAGTGTTGCTAAAGGTGCTTGAACTGGGCGAACAGACTTAACACCGTTTCGTTCTACGATATTTTTACGAACTTGATCTTGATTGCATATGAGTTAATTTCATGTTGGCACGATGACCTATAAACAGTTAAGATCGTGTCCTAGAACAATAAGACAGGTAACCTGGTCGATGGCCAATCGTAAAATTGCACAATAACTCACACAAACAATCATTGCCTTTTCTTCATAGTTCTTAGTGAAACAATAGACTCCTCATATTTTATACACACAGATCAAATATAAGTTCACGATTGTAATTTATGATTTTTTGATTACTCGGTGAAAGAGGTTTCCATGTTCATTCTGATATTATAACCATAAATATGAACACTGTTACTAGAAGCAATGAAAATGAACTAATAGTTTTTCCACATGATCGGGAGTTGGGAACTCGGAGAGAGGGTAAATCATCGGAATACAAATCATAAGAAGTTCGCATTGGAGGAGTTGTTATTGAGAATGAATTTGCCTTATCATATCAAATTTATTTACATGTTTTTAATTTTCCTTTCTTTAATTTATACGAACGTCACTCAGGGAATAATCACCTTTAAAGAAGATGGGCTCGCATTCGCCGATTTAAAAGTATTGCATGGTATGTTTTTCAATGCCCCGGTTATCAAGGACGTTACCGTTCGGGCGTTCGTGCATTGTTCTAGAGAATGTAGGAACCTAGTTGATTGTGTAGCCATCAACTACAACAGGGACACAAAGAGATGCCTTTTGTATAACACAGCAGCAGATAGTAAGATGAACCGCTTTGAATCTCGTAATAGATGGAGCTATGGGCAGATATATCAAAAGGTGGGTCTAGTGAGGCATTTTAAATTTATCATTTGGAACTGTTGCCTTGAGATCATTTCAGACGATTTAGAACGTTATAAACTGTAGTTATTTCTCGTGACCATTGGAGTATATTCATCGAAAATGTGACTCCACCTTGGTTGGGATCGAACCATCAACCTACCGATTACATGTAGAGATATCGTCGAAGGGTCAATTTCTCCTGCCCATATGGTACTGTATAATAAAGTGTCATCGCGTTTGATGATGCAGATGCACCTCTGTAACCTGGTAACAGGAATTTGACATTTTTGTCATTTTCGGCATATTTGCATGAGAATGTAAACAAACATAGTGGTGTTACTGCAAATTACCAATGACAAAAACATTCATATTTTATGGTCAGTAGCAAAGTTGCTTCATACCTAATTACAGACCTTTTTTACTTTCACCGACTTCGACAACAGAGTCCCGATACCGACCTCATTACTGTAAATCGATACAGTAATTGCATATTTTCAAAATTTATTTTTGAGCATGAACTCAATACTTTCACCGAAATAGAGATATTGTTGCGATATAATTTACAATATGAAAATGACTGAAATGAAATCAAGTCGGTATCGGGACTCTGTTGTCGAAGTCGGTGAAAGTAAAAAAGGTCTAGTAGGATGATAATTAATACATTTTCATCCGTTAATATTTAGAATTGATGTAGTAACATTGCCACTGAATGATGATTGTATTCAATTAGCAAATTGAAAACATAAGCAGGCAACTCGTGATAGCTCAGTTGGTAGAGCGGGGGACTGTAGCGTCTAAACCTGATATCCCTAGGTCACTGGTTCGACTCCGGTTCGCGAGAGGCATAACTTTTTAAAGATCATATTTTGAACCTAAACCGTTACAATTAATCTCTATACGGTATTCTGTCTGCACAACATACATTCTGATTCTTCACAGGTCTTTATAACTTTACTCTCCTCTTGTCTGAACATTGATGAATGCGAAACATATATATTTTACGGTACACAGTAAGATACACATGTCTTCGTAAACAAAATGATTTAAACCATATTCACCCCTCGTATGGCAATGGACCAATCAATATATTTTTTCAAAATGTTGACCCTATTTTTCACCGAAAAGGGGCAACCTATATTAACTTTTTACGCATATTCTCATATTCTTTAGAGAGAGTGTTCTCGGCATGGAATTGAAGGATCGTCGACACATTGCATCTGCTCAGATGACATCAACAAAGGGCCAAATAGTAAGACAATCATTGAAATAATGACATTTTTAAATTGGAAATATAGAGGATTATCCTACACTTAGTGTACTAAATGTATAATAACATGAAAAAATAAATTTGATATTTATTGGCAAAATGAATATCCGGAGGATATCGTAACGATATACTCCGGGCGGAGGATATCGTGACGATATACTCCGGAAAACCCAATATGCGGAGGATATTGTGACGATATACTCCGCTTGTTGATTTCCCGCCAAATTGACTCTATTTGGCATGGAATTAATTTAACAATGATATTATACATTCAGTACACTCCTTGTAAGTGTAGGATAATAAGAACATCCTATGATTTTTTCAGAATATCATTTTAATCTACTCGGTGATATTGATATATGCACTCGTTCGCTTCGCTCTCTCGTGCAGATATCAATATCACCTCGTAGATAAAAATCATATTCCTCAAAATCATAGGATATCCTATAATTAGCAAATCTATGATTTCCACGATTTAGTATCGGTTGTGCCTCTTATTTCATATGTTTTAACCCTAGAAGCCCTAAGGGGGGGTCAAAATGACCCCCCCTGTGAAGTTTTTTCCCCATAACTTTTTATTGGCATCTGGTAGGGTCTTCAAATTTTCAGTAGCTGAAGCTACAGATATAAGACATGTTTTCTGAAAAAATCAGCAGAATTTTACATAGGGTTACTGATTTATTATGATGTAATCATCAGCTGCAATAGACAAAATCGGAAAAAGCTAGCACTATTTCTACCATATGTGTTATCTTTCGAATAAGATTACACAATCTTCCATCATCATAGTTGTTAAAGTTATTACACCAAGTTGTAGATAATTGAATGAAGTATATTTTGGTAAAAGTTTGAACATCCTAGCTTTACTAATTTGTTATTTATTTATTATGATGTAATCATCAGCTCCAATAGACAAAATCAGAAAAAAGCTAGCACTAATTCTACCATACGTGTTGTCTTAAGAATAAAATTACGCAATCTCACATCATCGTAGTTGTTAAAACTTTTATACCAAGTTGTAGATAATTGAATGAAGTATATGTAGAAAAAGTTTGAACATCCTAGCTCTACTAATAAACATTTTACAAGAGGGGTGCCCTTTTGACCCCCCCTTAGGTGTTCGTGTGACTATTTGTACCTTAGGGCTTCTAGGGTTAATGTCCATTCGAAATATAGGATTATGTTGCATCAGAACAATACCTCTCCCTTCCCCTCGTATGAGCAAAAGTAGTATTTGGTATTAGCCCGTCACTAGTTCCATCCTTATTATATAGAGGGTGGTTCAAAAAGTTCCCATGATCATAACTTTTTGATTACTTAGGTGCCATGATTTCAAATATTTTATATAGAGAGCAATGAATTAATTACTTAGTATGCAATTGATTTCTAAATGATATTTAACTGATTTTGATGAGAAACCAAAGGTGTCGATGCAAAATTACAGTACCTGCGCCTTTCAGACTACCTTATTTATCAACTAGAGGTATTGATAGAAACCAAAGGTGTCAATGCAAAATTACAGTACCTGCGCCTTTCAGACTACCTTATTTATCAACTAGAGGTATTGATAGAAACCAAAGGTGTCAATGCAAAATTACAGTACCTGCGCCTTTCAGACTACCTTATTTATCAACTAGAGGTATTGATAGAAACCAAAGGTGTCAATGCAAAATTACAGTACCTGCGCCTTTCAGACTACCTTATTTATCAACTAGAGGTATTGATAGAAACCAAAGGTGTCAATGCAAAATTGCAGTACCTGCGCCTTTCAGACTACCTTATTTATCAACTAGAGGTATTGATAGAAACCAAAGGTGTCAATGCAAAATTGCAGTAACTGCGCATTTCAGACTACCTTATATATTAATCAACTAGTTGATAATTAATTGGTCTGTGTAATATTTACATTATATAACCGCACGATGATTGTCGTTGTACTTAAAATTATCGCTATAATAAATTAAAATGTTAAATAAAATGGAATAGCAATCTCGTTATAGCATATTTTATTTACAAAACAAATACGTTTTTACAAAGTGTCTTATAGGCCCATAGGCCTGGGCCTTGAGTGATTTTAATAGTGTAACATTGTTTTATACATGTATGTAATTGTGTTTTAACCCCTGACACAAAAATGACATAAAATTGAAATAAATGAAGCAAATAAATATAGATTGTGAGAATGAAGTCTAATGATAGTGTTATTTTGCCTCAACTAAATTTTTGCCTCACATATTGAATTTTTTGCCTCGCCTATTTATACAACGCGCCAAAAATAATATAGACCACCTAATAGGTATATCTAAATAAGGCATTGCAATGATGTCAGTGCAAATTTCGAATTCCAATCACATAAAATTAAAATATTTGAAATAATTTAGAATATTTAGTGCTAACAAAAAGTACCATTGTACTATTTGCTGTTCAAACATTTTCCACTACTGCGCGATAATTGTGCTCTAAATTGCTTCGTCCTACAGGCAACTCGTGATAGCTCAGTTGGTAGAGCGGGGGACTGTAGCGTCTAAACCTGAAATCCCTAGGTCACTGGTTCGACTCCGGTTCGCGAGAGGCATTCATTTTGTTAAATATTTTTAATTTATCTCAAACCTTCAACCAGCAAGTGTTCTGATTCTGCTCAACCAGAATTGTGCCTATGAGCTTGATAATAATATTCACATTTTTAAAAACACTTCCTGTTTTGCACATACAAAATATGCTATAGCTATATCTCCTGTTTTATCTAAAGAATAAATTAAAGATGTAACACATTTTAGTTTGCAGACTTGTGCAAGCGGTTGGCTTGTATGATGAGGCGAGGATATCCGACGAAGCTTTCACCGCAAGTTCGGCGAAGAATGAAAGATTTAAGAGAACCTTCGACGCACGTCTTAACGGCCCTGGCGCTTGGGTGAGCGATAACTTGAACTCTTGTGACATACAATGGCTGCAAATAGACCTTTCTGTCCTCCATATTCTTCATCGCATCGGCACTCAGGTTTGCACTCGAGTTTAATTCACTCCGGGAATTCACTCACCTTTTGATTATTGACTATGTAGAGGACCATAGTAAAATCTTAAATGTTTGTGAGTACTTTGAATTTAAATAATAAGCAATCAAATGACCAAATTGAAACAGTTTATGTTGAAATAGAAACATTTATATTCATCCTAACTTTTGTATATTTCAGATAGTAATGTATAATGTGCAGCAAATCTGTGGCTTTTTGTAATTTAGGGAGTTTCAGCCATGTTAATTTTTCCGAAAATAACATGGCAGAGAAGTATCAAAATATAAGAGGACACAGATATGATAGCTAAACTACAAAACAAATTAAAATATACAAAAGTTAGGATAAATATAAATGTTTCTGTTTTTTATAAACTGTTTCAACTTGGTCATTTGATTGCTTATTTTTTAAATTCAAAGTACTCACAAACATTTAAAAGGACGATTCTCGGTTTGGAGAACAGTCTCCTGGGCTAATAATTTTTTTCATGAAAAATATAGAAATATTACCCAAATTAAAGTATGAATATTCAAAAGAGGACATTTAAATCTACAAGATGTAAAAATAACAAATTGGTCTGAAGCAGGGATAGCGCTCAATTAGACCGATTCAATAAAATACAAGTCTCGATTTGGGGAAAAAAGTTCATCAGTGTACTGCGCAAATATTTTTTTGCGACAAATCTAGAAAGATTACCCAAATTAAATTGTGACTATTCAAAAGAAAACATTCAAATCTATATTATGCAAAAAAATCAAATTTGTCCGAAGCAGGGATAATGCTCATTTATATTGATGAACTTCGTTCTCCAAACCGAGAATCGTCCTTTTACTATAGTCCCAAGATTATTTGAATTCGTTCAATTAATTAAATAAATTTCGACTACAAAGTTTTAATTTTTAATCATCATTGCCATATTAAGATAATGTCTAAAGATGATGTGAATAATATGACGTGTGTTATTTATTCAATTTAGGGTTGTAAATCGTGCACACAGGAAAAATGGGTATCAAAATACGTCGTTCGCCATTCTAGAGATGGCAACTATTGGTGTTTCTTCGAAAACTATGGGGCTAGGAACAAAGAAAAGGTAATGAAACGGAAGCAACTATCTGAACTGTACGAAAAATAATCAAATATTAAAATGTGCCTCAATTACAAATGTATAGAAAACAACTTACTGTATGATTATGTTGATACAATTGTTAAAAACGGTTAAGCTAACTTATTTTCTTCGTCCTAAATTACAAAAGTTTATCCACAGAAAGACATGCGAAATAGGACTAAATTCAATTTCGAAATTCATTGATAAATGTTGTACCATCTGTCTGCGCCTAAACGAATTACATTTTACACCATCGATGCGTGATATCATTCATTCCCCCGTCTTGCATTCTAGTCTCAACACTTACGACTTTTAGTCTCGGAGTAATAGCTACATACAATACGAGCCGTGCATAAAACTATGGATTCTGTGATATTATCAAAACGCAATATTCGTCCCTACGAAATTACGACGAGCCATGTCATATTCTTTTAGGTATTCGATGGTAACTTCGATACAGACTCGATTGTACGCAACGATTTTCGCCCTCCCCTCGTTGCCCGAATGATACGTATATATCCCATAGTTCCGTATGATGCTTCAGGAAAGTACAGGAGTGCGCTGAGGGTAGAGTTGTACGGCTGTAAGCAAATGCCTGTCGGGAAACAAGCTCCACCGAGAAGTGTTTCACCATTTTCCTAACTGGATTCCAACTTGCACATAATCTGAAGACGTTTGGATTGTTGAATGTTTGATGGAATTACATTACTCGTTATATTGTATGCATTCTAGCCAGAGAAAATATATAGTCACTTTTTATCTCACACTTTAAATGTGTGTTTATCATAGTGAAATACAACAGCATTATTACAGTGATGCGAAAATGAATTGAAAAATAAATAAATAAAAATGCACCCATCAAGATAGTCTAGCTACAAGCCCTCTCCTATACTACTCATCCCAAGTGTGAGAGGGTATGTAGTCAAGTAGAGGGCTTGTACAAGGGCTTGCACAATTCACGTCTCATTAATTGTTTGATAATGAACATCCGGTGAATATACTGTACTCATCCCATAAATGCTTTAATTATACTCTGACATTTTAATACGTAAATGCTGGATTTTGATTTTTTTGAACAAAGATAATATGTGTTCTGTTATGACCTCCAGTCAGTTAAGATCGCTTTTCAATTCAGTTCTTTTCAGTTTTTCTTTTTCTACGAATGATATCAAATGATAGTTATCGATATGGTGAACCGAATTCAACAATGTTTTTCTCTTAAATAAATTATTGAAAACATTCTGTAAAAAACACGGTCCTTTATGACTGATTGGCAACAATTTAATGCAAAGATTATTAATATATATTTTATGTAACTGTTTTCGTTAACATTTTTTGTTTTTTAGTGCTACTCAATTGTTTTTTTGTTCCTTTCTACCAATTCTTGAGAATGAAATAAAATGTCATTCCGAACCTTGTTGGAACAAAATAGCACATACAACATTTTCTTAGATATTTTGGTTGATTTAACAAAAAGTATGCATTAAGACCAAACCCCCGAAAATAGATAAAAATTACGAAAAACATCTTATTTCATTCACAAGATACTTTTTTGAAATCAACCAAACTTTCCTTAGCTCCTACTTTAGCAATTTTCATTCACATTTTCAGAAGGCTGAAAAAGTTATTTCATCATGTTTAGGGTCATTCAGAGCATGTACATTGTGATCCTGGTCATGTATGATACTAGTATGTGGATTGTGGAACTAGTTAAATTGACTGAAGGTCAAAACAGAACTCTTTTATCTTTGTTCAAAAAATCTCTAAAAATGCAGCATGTTTTGTCACTTCCTGTTTTGTCATTTCCTGTTAAGTACCATGGTACCTTAAAACAAAAGTAATATATAAATTGTCATATTTATATATTTTATATATTTACGTATTACAACTAAATCCACAGTGCTGAGTCCTGCTCCGGTTATGTTTTGTAACTTAACATGTATTCGCGAATGCACCTTTCGCGCGATCGACTAGCGGCTACCGGGTTAATTGCAATTTGATGACTCATTTTAATATAATATTTGGTAAATAGTACTAGCCGTGTATCCCGGTAGCTGCAAGCTATCTCGTCAAACCCAGTCGCAGACCTAAATAACGGGTTAATCTGCTGTTTTAGAAGCAAGTAACCATGACCTATGACACGATGATGTATGCTATGTTCGCTAGTTCAACTGATTGGCTTTATTGTAATTGGCCATTTCAGTGCATAAAAAAGTATGCGACCACTGATCACTGTTCGTCGACTAACGGGTTGATCGTTAAATAAACTTCAAAATGACTAGATGGGTTAATCCGGTAGCCGACAGCCGAAAGTTGCATTCGCGAATGTATGTATTTGTAGTTGTCTACATAGGGAGAATTTTACAATGATGATTACATCTACATATTCGATCGATGTTTTAGATATAAATTCAGTCTTTATGATATCTTACAGTATCATATCCCAGTTTTCGACGAAACGTCCACTGAAGTGTAAAATGTTACGTCTGTCAATGTCAAAGGCGTAGCCAGGAGGGGTTGCGATGGTGCGATCGCACCCCCCCCCCCCCATAGGCCTAACCAATGAGAATATGACCATGATCATAGAGGAAGAAAAAAGCCTTAAAATGCTTTTTATTTTAAGCTTCTAGCTCAATTTTAAAGGAAGTTACATACATCACGTAAATTTCAAAACAAATCTTACACATTTTCTATTATGTTAGTATTCGTATTTACGTTATTTGGGTGCCCGGTTTTTTCGACCGGGTACCGGGTATCAAGTTCGAACCCAGCATGGGGGATTTACTACCCGGTACCCGTTTTTTCTACAAACCCGAATCAGTCCGGGAGACCAGTTCTCAGTCACATGTGCCAGTTTCGATGGCCAATCACTTTTCTGCAGGTTATTGCAGATTCCCGGGTGAACCGGAAAAGGCATTTCGTTTCGTGTAAATAGGGAAACTAAACAGACCTCTTAGAATTTATTTTGAAAAATTATTCACCCATAACTATCAATTCATTTGCTTTATTCATTATTGAATCATAGAAACAACGCATTAATTTCCTGAGTTTCCATCCCATAGCTAATGGAGGTATAGTATCCTCTAGTGATAGTAATATATGTTTAGTGGGACTTGCAAGGGGTCTTTTTGCACATGTTTTGAAAATGGCTGAAGGACAAGACTTACACCGAATCAACAAACCCACGGGTTTTCAGGAGATGATGGAATATCTTGCAGCAATGAACCCGAATCTCAAGGATGGGGTATGTTAATAAACATTTTGTGTATATATCTACATTTTCTATGGTAAACTGATTTCGTAATTGTCTATTGAATATTTTGTAATCAAATATTATCTCTTCAAATGGAAAGTGAAAGTGAAACTGAAAGATCATAGAACTCGTTTGGATTCATCCATGCACTAGGAGTACTGAAAGAAAAGTCCCGTGTAGGATAATTGACTCGATTGCACAGATCTAGAACTTTGGTAGTTCAACGTCGTTAAACTCAATAACGGCGTTCTTTATTATTAGGAATTTTCTTGGGGCCATTATTGAGTTTAACCTCCTTACTATTCTTTCCTTTGATGCAAGTTCTGAATCCATCGAAACCATTTTCCCGCGATAACGTGCAACTGATACTTGACAATAATATAAAAACACATAACATCAAGCGATTTAACAATATTTTTGTGTTAAATGTTCATTTATACGAGTAAAATGAGGCTACACTTACCAATCTCTAAAGTGACATTTCCGCATGTCCGTCATTGTGTCTGTTCGTCTGAGTGTCCCGGATCGTAAAATTAAACTACCAGGGAAACGAAATTGTTGTCAAATAGATTGATAATTATTATCGCGATTACTCGGGATAAAAAGATCAAATTTGAGGATAACAGGTATCTTTGATTAATTTATATAGCGCGTGTATATACGCAAAATAGTTATTTATTGCAAACCCGCTGTTCGTTAATGCAGTGCCGTGATGACGGTTAATTCCTGAAACTATTTGCAATTTCGATGTTACCGAAACTGACCGACATTTTCGTCATATTCTAAACCTGTCTCCAATATTTTCGTAATTATGCATCAATAGGGTCTAAGGGGGATACGGGACGGGGTGTATGTGTTTATAAGGTATGTATGCATGTTTGAATCACATTCTTTGTGTAATATTGCCATGTTTTCAGGGTTTAATTTGTTCCGCTTGTCGAAACCTGCTGAACGATTAAATTAACGCATCAAAGGCAAAATGGTCATGGAGGTTAGACCTAGCCGGGCCATAACACATGTCAGATAAGAAACGAGGCCCGGGCTAGGTCTAATGTTGTTGGACTAGAACTTTGGTGCCCCACACTAGAGTCCATTTCACTGCTTCATTTCGTCAGTAGAACGGCAAAAATAAGAAATTGGGAGACCATTGTGCAATAATATACTGTATGGAAAAGTATATTCATAATGTACATGAATGACATTTGTATATTTCCGATTTTTTAGTTTTTTGTGCAATAAGCCTGTGCCATCTTGTAATTTGAAGAATTTCAGCCATGTTAATCTTATTGATAATAACATGGCAGAGAAACATCCAAATGTAAGAGGCCACACACTTTATAAGCCAAACTAGAAGCAATCCAAGATATACAAATGTCATTCATATACATTATGAATATACTTTTCCATATATTATTGCACAATGGTCTCCCAATTTCTTATTTTTGCCGTTCTACTGACGAAATGAAGCAGTGAAATGGACTCTAGGCTATCTGAATGAAAATCTCTCATTATTTATCGCATCCTACGACCCTCGCTACATCTGTGGTCGTACGCGCAAATCATTGGTCAGTCAATGTTTTAACAAAGTTGGAGAAAATACTAGGCATTGCATACTTTAATGACCTACCGCAATACATTCAAGAGTATCCTTTTTATGTAGTTGAACCGCCAATTGTATGGGTTTTACGGATAAACCCTTACAATTGGTGATTCAGCTACATAAAAATAATTCTAAAATACTAAGGAATGTATCGAGATAGGTCATTAAGTGTGCAATGCGTAGTATTTTCTCCATCTTTGTAAAAACATTGACTGACCAATGGCCCGTGTACAACCACAATTTTAAGTGGTCGTAGGATTTGATAATCTCATTATCATTTCCTTCTTCAATAGATTCTCAATTGTTCAATCAAGTTCCCAACATCTCATAGATGCATATTTCAAAATTCTTCTGTGGTGCCACTTCTCGCTTATTCACTTATGAGATTTCACGAGAACATACAGTTCATAGATAGATAAATATGATTTAGCGGAACAAAACCAGGAAAGTTTTAAGAAAATGAAGTAGCTATCCAGGGGTGTAATAATTTTCAAGAGTTAAGTAAATGGCTAAGAAAAAGAAAAAATTTCCTATCCGTAATAGTCCAACAAGCGATAAAGTTTAGTTCAGTTTAGTTACCTCCTGTATGAAGAGCTCTCATGTAGGGTACAACTTTGTCTACATCCAACATCTGGGTTCTTTCCCATTGGATTACACAGGGATGTAATTTTCACTGATTTCCCAGAAATTGCTCAGACACCATTGAAGATCGAAAAAATGCTTGAGGGCTGATGGAAGATTGGAAGCTGAGAAACTCATTTTGTCAGAATTCACGCTAGTTTTATCAGACTTTGTTGAAATTTGGTTCGAGTAATCATCCGCCATTGTGATGCTATACATATGCTATGATGTAATCATCGACCAATGAAATTAGCGGATTGTGACTTTTGACTTTGCAATATTCAGATGTTTCGTTCAGAGTAATCGACTCGTTTGGCGGGCCAATGAAAATTTGTCCCTTCCAAAATGATGCATCATGGGAGATATTTATGTAAATTACCACCTGAACTCTTATCGCGAATTGAAGTATTCGTTAAACCATTGAAGTTGCGACCTACATTTTAGAGATGTCAAAGTTGTAAATGCCAGAGATTATATTTCCAGGATGATAAGAGCAAAGAAAAGGCAGCTGAAGAGTTTCTCATGGATCTAGGAGAACCGGAAAAAATTCAAAAAGTTATGGAAGGTAATTGTTCAGTGTATTTATTCTCAATAATTGAGATATATGTATCACTGAAGAAGTGTAGCTCTATCAACTTTATTTGTAATTTGTACTGGATGATGTTAAGTGGCTCTGAAACACAAATTCAGAAAAGTGAATTACATGTACATTGTACACCATATAGTTTACAGGATATCAGATATAATTTTTTGGCAGTGACAGATGAAATAAATTCTTCACTTCATTGACTGCATTTATAACTACATGTATAGTGGTCAAAAACTATAAAGAATGCTGTGAGTAAAAAGCCAAAAACACATTAATTGTAAAATGTTTTAAAAAGTTCACATCCATCTTTTGTTGCACTTGCAAGTTATTCTGAGCCACAACTGCCATAACGCAGCAAACATTGACACCTTTATCGACTGAAAACTTGTGAGTGTATTTACTTAAGATTTTGAGAAGGCCTATCCCGATGCAGCAAAAGCTATGCAAGCTGAGAAGGACAAGATGGAGAGTGAGGCAAATGAAGAAGGAAGAGATGAGAAGATTATGGCCCTGCCATTAGATGACACTGTCTGGTGTATAGGGGACTTGGATGATGGTAAGCCCAGATTTCTCATTTCTCACAGAGATGTATTCTTCATTGATTGAAGTCTGGCTCATCATAATTTGTTAAACCAATTTTCAACCTCAAAAATCTCAGTCCCCAAAACTTAAATTTCAGAAAAGTAAAAACTACTGATATGGATGTTTTAATGAATAGCAAAATTTTACAATATTTGATTAATAAAAATGTATTTTGTTTGTTAGATGATAAAGCAGCTAAACCAGAGCCTGGGCAGGATTCACAACTGAGACTGGTGGGAGTAATTGATTCAGAGGTAAGTGATGCTGTACAGCATACATGTACATTTAAGAGTAGCCAGTACTTCTGTCATACATATTTGACAATTTCTAACCATCAACTCCGAATATAAATCTCATTTTGGAGAAATATTTTCAATAATATTAGTAATTGGAATACATTGTAACGGTGGTGTAATTTTATTTTTGAATGTCGCATATCGGATATAGCAGATTAATATGGCAAAGGAGCTACCTACATATATAGTACATAATTGATTTTATTTTCAGGGAATGGTGATCCATATGAACACAAAGTACATTGTTGGAACCCCTATGAAGGAACATTTGTATAATGTTGCGTGTGCTGCCATGTTAAAGCCCATGGTTGGTCCTCCAAGACGACCACGCTTTGTCATGATGAGGAATAAAGGAGCAGCTAAGTAAGGCACTGTGGTATTGCTCACTTTAAATTTTTTTGTCTCAACCATAAGTGGTGACACATTGTTATGGTCTTCAACTTTTTTGTTGACGGTGTTCAGCATCTTTAAGAAATGGCGTCTTTAATAAATGCATCTGTAACAAATGGCAAGATGTGACATTCTACATGTTAATGCCTTCTTGTTTACTATAATGTATAATCTTTATTCACATTCAAATCTTAACTTGCTCGAAGATATATGACTTTCAAAAAGTAATTTCATGTTTTGAAACAAATAACAGTGAAATGAACAAGGAATAACATGAATAAATCTTATATTCTATCATATCTATGGCATTATAGGCTAAGTAAATTAATAATTATCAGCTTGCACCTATGGGAATATTTCCCCCTCCCACACAACACGAAATGCATGAAGCCAAACCTCCCCCATACACACCTCACAAGGTTAAAAAGAGGAGGGTTCCAAAGGCTTGATGCAAGACTGGTAATTAGAACCATGTCAGTAATTCCTTTGTGATATCATTTCAAGGAATGCTACAGTAGATCTGAGTAAGTTTGGTATCCTGACAATAGATAAGGATGACAAGTACTCTGCAGACCCCTTGAAACAGAAACTACCAGTTATGAGAGAGTGTCTGGTGTGTCATAGGCCAGCACAGATGGAACTCCTTAGGAAATGGTTAGTGGATTTTTGTACTTTGACCCCCATCTGTAGACTGAGCTCTGTTCCTTGTTATTCCTCTCTTTTTTATCCAGCCCTGCATCACATTTCTGTGTTACCTCCTGTCACACACTCCTCCTATTCTTGCATAACATTTCTATGTTACCCCCTGTCACCCACTCCCCCTATTCTTTCATCACATTTCTGTGTTACCCCCTGTCATCCACTCCCCTATTCTTGCATCACATTTCTGTGTTACCCCCTGTCACCCAATCCCCTATTCTTGCATCACATTTCTGTGTTACCCCCTGTCACCCACTCCCCCTATTCTTGCATAGCATTTCTATGTTACCCCCTGTCACCCACTCCCCCTATTCTTGCATCACATTACTGTGTTACCCCCTGTCATCCACTCCCCCTATTCTTGCATCACATTTCTGTGTTACCCCCTGTCACCCAATCCCCTATTCTTGCATCACATTACTGTGTTACCCCCTGTCATCCACTCCCCCTATTCTTGCATAATGTTTCTATGTTACCCCCTCTCACCTTTTTCAAAAATACACATTTTGGATTCATTTGAGCATGTTTGAAAGTTATCACTTTGACTGAACTTGAGTATTTAATTATGCAAATCCAGATAATTCTTTCTTGCATTTGGTTGTTTGTTCTTTGTAGCTCTAAGTGTAAGACAGTGCTATACTGTGGTGTAAAATGCCAAAAGAAAGATTGGATACACAAGAAAGATGTCCATGGACACAAGGTCTGGTGTAGTAGAATGAAGGAGTATACTGAACGAACTGATGAGCTTGCTAAACTACCTTTCACCTTTGCCAAAGGTAAGTCTTCATAATGTCAGTGAATTATGACATTTCCAGTGTGTGACATCAGAATGGATGACCTGATATTTAAAAGTAGTGGGCCCAGATCAAAATGAAATGAAACTAGACTGCAGGCTCTTTGCTCAAATGGAGTAAATGTTAAGGAAATGCGTTATGTGGCACTTTTTGTCTCACAAATGGAGTTATGTAAATGTTTTAGAAAAGGCTTGCAAAGCTGATATAGGTTACATGAAACTTTAAGATGGAGAACAGATGGGAAAGGATATCTTGCTTGACTATTGGACTTTGGGAGTCTATGCGATGGTTTAAATTACCCTATAAAGTAGATTTTTACATATATTACAGAAACAACAGACGTTGACTTCAGCTATAATGTCTATCAGCAGTTCCTGGAGAGGCAAGGAGTCTATGGCCAGGGCTACTGGAGAAGAGAGTCTATGAGATTGTTCGAATTACCCTTTAAAATAGATTTTCTTATTTATTTCAGAAACAACAGACATTGACTTCAGCTATAATGTCTATCAACAGTTCCTGGAGAGGCAAGGAGTCTATGGCCAGGGCTACTGGAGAAGAGAGTCTATGAGATTGTACGAATTACCCTTTAAAATAGATTTTCTTATTTATTTCAGAAACAACAGACATTGACTTCAGCTATAATGTCTATCAACAGTTCCTGGAGAGGCAAGGAGTCTATGGCCAGGGCTACTGGAGAAGAGAGTCTATGCGATGGTTCAAGTTACCCTATAAAGTAGATTTTCTTATTTATTACAGAAACAACAGATGTTGACTTCAGCTATAATGTCTATCAGCAGTTCCTGGAGAGGCAAGGAGTCTATGGCCAGGGCTACTGGAGAAGAGAGTCTATGAGGTGGTTCAAATTGTCCTATAAAGTAGATTTTTACATATATTACAGAAACAACAGACGTTGACTTCAGCTATAATGTCTACCAGCAGTTCCTGGAGAGACAGGGAGTCTATGGCCAGGGCTACTGGAGAAGAGAGTCTATGAGGTGGTACAAACCAGCTGATAAATTACCAGCGTTTGGTAAGTATAGGTTTAGGATGAAAAATATTTTGATCTTTTGTAAGAAAAGGCAAGGGTCATCTACAGCTGTCACCCGTAATAGGGTGAAAATGTTTGTCCCTCTGTGTATTTTTAATGAAATATTGTATTACTTGTACTATACGCTGTATCTCTTAACATGTACGAGGGTTGTCCCAGAAGTAATGCACTATATGCTCTAGCTTTCTTTAATATTCTTCAATTCCCCTGAAATTTTGTGTATATAACAATTGAAGTTTTATCTATTATATCCTGAAGTTTCAGCATCCAACAATAATATCAAGTCTTAATATGGTTGCTATAACAACATGGGGGTAGGGGTGGGCGGGGCAGGTACCAATTTTTCCAATTATGAAAAGATCTAAAGTGTTATTTTATTAATACTTCTTTCCTTTAAATGGTCAAAATGTTTGGGAAATTGTTAAATTTATTCAGCATGATAACCAAGTACGAATAATGACATTTAGCACTGTCATGTCATAATACCACATTTCAATAGTCACGAATTCAAATACAGTCACAGTCAAGAAATTGCAAAAATGGCAGTAATTCTCACCTGATAACAGAAGGCCTTGCGTTTGGTGGCCTAATTTCATACTTCACTTGGACTCACAGCCACGCAAAACAATGCTACCATGAAGAAAGTATATAAGGAGTATATACCATATAGAACTACAATTATGGGGTGGTCGAAGAGATTTAAAAGAGACAATTTGACCCTGTATGACAACTCCAAACATGGGAGGCAAAAACTTCACAAGTCACTGTGGAAGAAATTGCCGAGAGTGCTTGACCTGACAGGCATCAAAAGTACACAACATGCAAAGGGCAATATTTTGAGAAAATGTGAAACGGGACACTGTGCAATATACATCCATTAAATCTAGGATGTGCTCATAGTTATTTAGTATCTTAAAAAGTATTTTTGAGCATACTTCTTATAGCTACACCAACAAATAGTATTTGTTGATTAATTATTTCATATTTTCAATTTTTTATTCATTTTGACGTGACTGTATAACCTGCCCCGCCCTACCCAAACTCATCAACTTGATTTTATTATAACATCAATATAGTTTTATCAGTCAACATCAAAATTTTTAGAATAATCAAAATGTCTCTAAGGAACATTTACTGAAAATTTCATGGAAAAATATCAAATATTCATAAAGTTAGAGCATATAGTGCATTACTTCTGGGACAACCCTCGTATATGCAGTTTCAACAGATCATGAAAATTTCTATTGATTTAAACCACGGTGTATAACCCAAACGCTCCTACATGCACGACGGAGCGTTACATTTACGCGGAAACGCTCCGGAGCGAAATAAAATGGCGGCTAATGAAGATTCTACTATGACCGTAAGTATTGTTTCTCTCGTTTCTCTTACATATCATATGTCATGGTGAAATATTATGTACCATTCGATGAACAATACCGTGAGCAAAGATCTTATTTATTCAACTTCTGGTGGTAAACTGTTATTTGCTTGATCAAAGCTCCGTAGTGTAGATCGAATGAATCTGAAGATGGCGATTTGACCACAAATTACGAATTAAACTAGTATTTCTATGAAAACGTTAATCTTTCTGTTTAAGTAGTAGATCACAAACTCGTATATTCTCATTTCCTAAAATCCCAGTCCAAATCTATTACTTGTTCTCGAGAAATCGCTTGTTTTCCTCGAAACGCTCCGTCGATTTAGACCACAATTTTAGAAACGCTCTTACCATTTTGTTTTGATATCATTTTCAGATTATTAGAGAAGAGTTCCGAATCGAATCTATCTCTCAAAAACGTGTTGTACTTGTTAGGCAAATTGAAACATCTGAACCTGGTGGTGCTAAACGTGCAACTAGCTGATTAAAGCCTATTTATTAGATGATGTCATGCCTACATATGTGCTAAATCATAAAACTATAGAAAAAAAAGCTATATGTGAATTAATCTTTCTTCTATTGATGCCAAGGGGTATAATAGATCTTTTCTTTCTCTTTCTGAAAAGGAAAGGCAAGCTATATATTTCCTTAACTGATCTAGACTACCGGAGCGTTTCCAATTCACTTTGTTAACCAGATCGGAGCGTTTCTTGAATATGAGAATGTCATCATTTTTAAGACTGGATTTTCGGTCATCAAATCACTATCACGATAATGTATGGTGCGTTGAAGCATTGGAATTTGACTAAAATATATGTTGGTGCTTTAATCTTGGCTCAACTAATCACATGTATCGACAAAAGGGGTTTTGACCGGTAGAATGACAAATACGTTTTTGAATTTTGATAACTATACTGCTTCGTACAGCTCTTCCTAATTGCTTCAAACGTCAACAGCCAGCCACGTACAACATGAATATCACACCCATCGAATGGTATACTCGAAAAATGTAACTCATACCTCTTATTCCCATTATTGGGGAAATTGTCAGACGGCTCATCATTCCCGCCAGACAGTTTTCCTACTCCGGAGCGTTTCTTTGTTTAATTTCAGTAATGAAACGCTCCGTCGTGCATGTAGGAGCGTTTGGGTTATACACCGTGTAAACTGAATTCATGTCTCATCAATATTCATGTATTTCCAAAACTGTATATTCAAGAGACATATACATATACTTTTTGGCAACATAATTTTACTTTTATGTGACAAAATTTTGCTTTCAGGTGACATTTGCGACCTTTAATGTGACAAAAATGTCCTTTCAGGTGAACTAGAGCCTATGGATTTCCCGTATGTACTACCATCAGAGTCAATCATCCTGGGGGAGAAGCCAAGTCACCCCCTCCACAACACCCAGCCCCTGACCCAATGGAGTGACTATTACGCATATAGGGGGTTCAGACTTGACTCCCCCATTGCAATCCTGCTACATTGGCCACTCACCATGTTTTATATCCTCACAACTCTTTTACCTCAAAATTGTAAGTAAACAATTCTAAATGAATCCTAAACATAAACTGAAACTCTTAACAAGAATATCCCGCTTTGAATTATTGTGATTATTATCCAATCGAACAAAGTACGGAGGGATATAGGGAATGCCTCCGTACGTCTGTCTGTCCATCTGTATGTCCATCCGTACATCCGTCTGTCCATCCTCCCAGGCAATAACTCAAATACTGTTGGCCTGATTTTGTTCATATTTTGTACACATTGCTCATTCGAAGGGCTTCACAATTGACCTTTTGCGATCAGAATTCAGGAATTTTGTTTATGGATACTGTTGTCATGTATTTCGTCTTATTGGTGTGACGTCATATAGAAATGATATTAGACATGATGGAATCACGAAATGGTGGACACTTGGCAGTTTTGAGTAAAAAATATTGTTGTTTCTTTTATGAAAACCATGGGTCGGATATTTACCAGATATGCCGATTTGACTAGATCATGATTATTTCTATATATGTGCGAAGTTTCGGTGAAATTCATACTAAACATTGATGCCTATAAGCGCCCCCCGTATTTGTCAAAATCGGGGGGCACTTAACCGCTATCTAAATCATGTCAGTAAGATCTTAGACTTGGTATGTGCTTAGCATGGATGTTGATCTAGTCAAATCGAACAGTTTCATGAAAAATAAATCAATAAAGCACAAAATATAGAAGGTAATCTCTCAAAATCAATTATCTAGAGCTGGGGGCCTAATTGTGACGTCACTACAAGATAGAATCCATTCGGTGATCGCAAATCAATTGTCATCATACAGAAGAGGACATTAATTCAGACTCTTTTGAAATACATCTGAATAACAAATCCTGTGGGTAAATCAACTGAATATAACTAAATATAAACAATATTTAATTAAGACAAATTTTTATGCAAGGTCAAACGTTATTTGCTACTACTTGGGATTTATTAATTGTCGCATCAACATGAATTTCTTTGGGCATATTTGTTCATTTTTGTATACCATTCTTGCTTAATTACCCCGTCCATTTAATTTATGTTTATATAACTGTTCACTTATTTGTTTCTTCACTAGAACATTCACTGGCATCAAACTTACTTCACATTTGATCCAAGGGTAGAGATAAACATGAATTCTAGAATAGACAACTGATGAAAAAAGATATAAATTACTGTAATTGCACATATATCTTTATCTGGGTCTTGTATCCAGAAATGGCTTTAGATAAATTACGTGTCACTTAAACTCACATGTCATCTTCCACGGCAAAAATTACTTTCTGAATAACTATCCACTTGATCTTGATGACAAACCCATACCTTATACCACCTACCATAAACACATAGGACTCATTTTTGACACCAAGTTAACTTAACTTTCATATAAGCATGCTTGTGTCACCAACGTTCTAATCTCAAGTATAAAGTTTCTCTAAAATCTTGCCCTGTATACATTCAGCAAATTTTTGAGTGCTATGGACCCATTGAGGGCCATTAATTTGCCTATTGAACTTTGTAAGAGTTTGGCTATTAATGTCCAAAAGGACACAACCCAGGATAAGATTTCTTAAATAAAAAAAAATAAAAATAGAAAAACAACTTAAAGTCAAGAATTTTATTTCAGTATTTGACATTTGTTAAACCATCATTTATTAACTTAAATTAACTTTTCAATTATTCTTAAATAACTACATACTATATATTGTACAACCATATTCTACTCATGTATGTGTGGGTACAGGTGTCTGCAAATGATGGCACCTACTATTTGTAATTATATTAATACCATGAACTATTTACTTGAATAACTATTGAATTTACATATACCCTATAGGGGTAGAAGTTCTGCTCAAAAGCCTTTTTTATTTCAAAATTGCCGCTCATTTAAAAATGGCGACCATTTTAGTGCCGATTTTAGCAATTATTAACTATTAGCAATATGATTTAAATGTAAAAAAATATTTAGGAGATTAATAAAGCTAGAAATATAGATATCGAAGAAGCACATGGCAGCCATCTTGAAAAATGGTGGCCTTTACACATTATTTTACAATTTTTGCTATAACTTAAAAAGTATTTGAGCGATTTTGTTCATATTTGGTATGTAAATACTATAAGCATGGCACACTGTCTAATGATACTTTTGGTAGAAGGTGGCCATTTTGAAAAATGGCTGCTATACTATGAGCATGGCACACTGTCTAATGATAATTTTGGGAGTAGGCAGCCATTTTGAAAAATGGCCACCATTTTTATTAAGTACATGTATTATTCTACATTTTTTACTATTCAAAAAGTAATAGAGCGATTTGTTCATATTTGATATGTGAATACTCATAAGTATGGCACACTGTCTTATGACATTTTGGCAAGGAGGTGGCCATTTTGAAAAATGCTTTTTCGTTTGGTGTATAGCTGGAAGGAAGTCGTTCGAGTTTCTAGAAAAATCAAAAGTTCTAAAAATGTATGTACTACATTGTAGCACACTCAAAAGATTGATTAAGAAGGGGCATAATAGATATCTTGCCCGCCTTGGCATTTTTCCAGTGACTCCATTACAATAGCATGGATATTACTACAACCCTCCACTCATCAGAATTTAAATGTTCAGATGAAATAATGTTGTATTGTTTCTATTAATGTCATGATTTACTACCTTCATGTTAAAGCATTTAGCTTACAATCAAGTCAATAGTCTTTGCCTAAACTAGGGCGCATTGGGATATTAGGTTTCACTTTCCTCAACCTTTTCATGTTCTGAGGCTTATCTTGGGCAATTGGATTCATCGGATCATGCCCAGAAATCGCAGCATCTGCAGGCTTATTTGCTAGGCCCATATGTGTGTTAATCTGATATTTCTTAGTAGGACCTGCTGCATTCTTTCGCAGCCCTTCATAGCCATCATCATCTGTCCCTTTTGTCTTCTTTTCATCTGCTGGTATTATGGAATATACATCGTCTTCATCTAGGCCCATGGCTTGGTTTTCATAGGTGTCATCTTGCTTTGTATTTTGTACATTCAGCTCATTGTCGTAAGAGTAAGGGCCTTTAAGATCATGTTTTTCTTGATTTTCAAATGTGTCATCTTTACGTGTCTTGCCCTTTGGATTATGTTTCCCCGTCTTTGTGGTGGCAAGGATTGGGATTCTTGGGATTGGCTCAATATGGGAGATGTCATCATGGTGACCATGCCCCTTTTCTCCCATTGTGTGTTCATTTGTTACTCTCTCATCAGGTGCAGTTTTATCATTATCATATTTGTAAAAGTTACGTCCATGTTCCCTTGGCCTTTTATGGATAGATGTCTCACCTTCTGTGGCATTAATATCTGCTGAGTTGTCATCGATGTTGGAATTTGATGGAGCATTTTCAAATGTCACATTTGGCTCATTTAACTTCCTTCGTCGCAACCTAAGCACAATAAAGATGATTGCGATTCCAACAAGAGAAAGAAGCAGTAGATTCCCAAGTACGATAGTGGCAATTCTCAACCTGTGATTCTGTTGCTGGTATCTCAGGACTTCTCTGTTTTCTTGAGAGTTTGTGGAAGCTTCAGGGATCTCAGTTATGTTTTCAATAGTGGAAGTCATTGTCTGTTCAGTGGTCAGTTTTGACAGGGTTGTTGTTGGATATATTGATGTTGTTGTAGCCTTTGGCGTTGTCATTGATGTCAGTGTTGGCGTCTTAGTTGAGGAGGACGAGTTGGTATCATAATACAATATATAAACATCAAATCCTAGCCCATTATTGATAAAAGCATCACCTAACCAGAGTTCATACATGTTTACATACTCCCCATTGGTGATTTCACTACTCTTGTTACATATTCTCATATCACATAAAGAACTTGAATCATATGAAGTGTTAGTGATATAGTTAATGACATTGGCACCATTTGTGCATGCTTCTTTCATGCATTCTCTGAGGTCAACTACAGATTTTCTTGCTATAGCATCACACATAGACATGACACAGTGCTGTTTCAGCCTTGTAAGGACAAACTGTGATCCCTTGCAATTTGGTGTCCCAGGAAAGGGAAGAACAAACATGCTGGTAATGTTATTATCAGGGCTACTATTGTTCAGGTCATATCGAGGGAAACAAGTGTTTTGGTTGTACAAACCCCACTCTGTGCCTTCACTGTTACTCAAGCACCTGTAGCTCCTTAATGCATTGTCCATTGATGTCTCCATGAAACTGTTCGAGCCAGAGAGACAAAGGATGTCAGACAGTTGGTGATCTTCAGAGGGGAAAACTCCAGTCATTGGGCAAGAGTTTGAATAACTGAATGGTGATGGAATTGGGATTGATGGAAAGGTAACGTTACATTGTTCCGTATGGGAGAGACTGTAGGTCTCAACTTGTTCATCTGTTTGGGAAAAGTGGAAAAAATAGTCACCCGTTCTGGAGTTCCACTTGCAGTGGTATACTATACAGCCTCTGTTATTCAGGAAATAGTCAAAAACATTTGCATTCTGGTCGCATCCAAATCTCATGCATGCCTGTTGATTCGTAACAGGAGCATTGGCTCCCATTATAAAACAATTTGATCTTACACTTCGCCACCTATTCCATGTTCGCCGCATGAAATATGAGTTATAGCATCTAGGAGTATATGGATGGGGTTTAGCATATACAACTCCCCACTCACCTCGTCGTCTCCATTTGTAGTCCCAGTCAGTGCCAGCTGCATTTGATGGACATCTATAGATAAAGCAATGCCTGTTCCGTCTATGATGAACCACATTCCCTTGTAGCTCGCAGGCTTTTGAGAAACAAAGTTCATGAGAGTTAACAGGCCATGGGGTGTTTAACCGCAACAGTAATGGACAGTTTGGGTAATGATGTTCCCGACTAACCAGGAGATAGTTCCCAATCGAGCAGTCACCTAAAAATGTAGATCTGGGTTAACATATTTGTTTTTGTGTAATTTTTAACAAAATTTTAATTAAAATTGTTCATACAAAATTGGTCAAAATCATAACTGAAGTACTGGCTATGGGATATGGCTATAGGCTGTTGCATTATGAAGGTAGGAGTTTTGGCCAATTTAGCTTATAATGAAACAAGTAAATTCATTCTGTGACAAAAATCGCAAGAAAAGGGGGGGGGGAGAAGCTCACAGGTATTAAGGCCAATCCTGAAGTCCAAGATCCAGCAAAAATCATTGGAGACTAAAGCTATATCTCTGAATATTTTGAATGAACAAAATCATTGAAAAACATATTACATGTATATGCTGTATACTGGGAGTAAGTCTTGATGGTTCACCGTAAAGTTTGGCCTTCATACGGTAAGATAGCATAAATATATCTAAATCAAGTAAAATGGTTTGATTACAACTTTAATCAAAAGAATGATGTAATTTGGATGATTAAGAATATGTATGATGCCTTTAAGTCTGTCTTTGTATCAAAGAAATATTGAAATAGAATAAAAATCATTAAAATTGCTTTCTATTTCTGATTGTCCATTGAAATATGAAGTATCAAGTATAAGTTTATTTGTTTGTCAAGCTTCAACTAGACAAAAAATGTCTTATGAATTATAAATTAATATTTGCCTTACCACTTTGTGTTTCAAAAGATGCAGATGCATGCGTCAGGTATATAGCAAGTATAATCCATAGTGGTAAGAATTTCATGGCTGAATTGAATCCGCTATATTGCATTTTTGTTGACACTATTATTTCTAAGATAAATGTGATGTTTGATTGGGTAACATATATCTAATTTGGAGATATCAAACTATGAAAGTAAAATGTTTCTTTGTTGTCTTTAATAGTTTCGTAGTGGTATAGTTGATAAAGTCATCTACTTTAGATATTAACTAACTCCGTTTTATTGTTAATTATAATTTCATTGCTACAGATATTATAAGTCCACGTATTTGCTTCGACAATATGAAAAGTATACAAGTTCCAAGTCAGATTTTACTAAGTTATGATAAAGTTCTTAGTCCAAGATCATCAGCAATGTTTTTAAAAAGTTTACAAGTCAAAAGTCGCTAGGCCAAAAGTCATATAATTAAAATGCAATTAAGCATTATATCTAGATTTTTTGTCTCATAGCACCTTGGGGGCGAATACTTTAATCAGATTATCTTTACAAGCACTGTATTAGATAACTTTTTAATATCATGATAATTTACAAGTAGATTATGAAGAAGTGTCCTCCTTAGGTAACGATCACCACATTACCCTACTTGAAGTTGTTTTTAAAATCAGCGGGGATCTTTCGCAGTAATCTTATGTTTTTCATTTTAAACCAAAGTAATAAATATTATTATTTGAAATTTTGGTAGTATATTCCCGGCATCTATCAATTTCACATATATTCCATGTTTTTTATTCATTAATTTTAAGACATTTTTAAGTATAGCTTCATTATACTCAAAAGAAAGCCAATTTAGAGTAGATTGCGAATGTTGTATTGAATGTTTTATTGATTTCGCAATTATTTACTGATCTTTTCAAAAGTATGACTATATTATGCTCAAATTGAAGGAAATTTAAGGTAGATCACAAATATGGTATTGTTTTTCAGATTTCCACTCATGCTTCAGAAAATTCAAAATGGCTGCCAACAGGAATTTGTGTCAATTTTGAGATCTTTCTGAAGTATAGCTTTATAAATGAAAGGTATTTTAGAGTAGAATACAAATATAGTATCATTTTTCTGATCCTTTCAAAGTATGGCTATATTCTACTCAAAACTGAAGGAAATATGGGGTAGATCACAATTACGGTATTGTTTTTTTCTGATTTGTGCCTCAGAAAATTCAAAATGGCAGCCTAGCAGGAATTTGCTGTTCCTTAGAGATTACTTTAAAGTATGGTGACATGATACTTTATAAGATCTAAAATATATTGTCTATTAGTACTTTTGAAACTCTCAAATGGTCACCAAAATACTTTAATCAGTGGAAATTCTGATATATCTCTTATGTAGTATTATAATATCTACCAATTATATTTTCAAGGGAAGAGTAGATGGTAAATATTACATTGTGACAAATACAGATTCATATCTGTTATAGTGTTTGTTGGGATGTGCTACTCCATGGAGTTTTCTAGTTTATATAGTGTTCTTTATATAGTGTTCGTTGGGATTTGCTACTCTGTGGAATTGTCGATTTCTAGTTAACTTTTGGGGGCCATCTTGCATTCTGGTGGCCATCTTGGAAGTTTTTAGATAAATCTTGTCATTGTGATTCCAGGAAAACCACTTAACGGATTTGTTTCAAATTTTCATACATGTTACATAGTTATGATGCTGTCCCCAGCTAAAATTTCGGTGCTCCGCTGGGAAAAAAAGGTTTCAGGGTATCATTATGTTCCAGACACTCTCTAGAGTAAATCTATATTGTTAAGAATAAAAATGTGTGGTAAATTAATTCACTATGAGTAGTTTAAGTGACGCCATCTATTCATTTTCAAATATGGGGGTAGGGGTATGAAATATTTTTTTAATGTAGGTAAATGGAAAATGTACGCCCATTTTTTATTCCCATCCGATACATACTATATTTAGACACATGTACATTATTAATAATATCCCAAATAATCTTTAGTTTCATATAAGAGACCAATATTAGGACATCAAAGATATACTAGTATGCTATATATTTATCATGACAATAAAGTCTGTCAAGTCTTTAACAGCAGCCTTTTATGTATCTTTATTTTGACTATATTTCAGACCCTCATGCGGACCAGGTTATAGAGCAGCCAAATAGTTTCCTAATACATATGCTAGGTGTGGAGAAGGAAATAGAAATGATACCACTCTTTAAGGTAAATTGTCCTCTTTGAATATCATTATACTGAAAGAAGTCATACAGTGGCAAAAGATGTGGCTTCGTGCTAAGTGCATCTGGGTACTAGTTAATACACAGAATATCTAGGAATGACTTGTGTACTGAACAGAGCTTTTACTGAAGGATTGCGCAATATTAGATTAACTAACCTGGCCCATTTATTATAAGAATCATGTTATACACCTCACAAACTGATAATATTCAGTTTGATATTGTATAGAAATTGAGTTTGTTTTTTACATCTGAACATTCTCCAGCATATTAGTAAAAGCCATTAACCTGAATGTATACAATACATATAAAAAGAGTTTACTTTACATATTGGGAAAATACTTTCATGATGTAGAACTGATCTCCACAGGATTGTTTCTCAAGTGGGTGCAAAATTCCCAATTCATACTGAAATTGGTCAAAATATGCCCATTTTTCATGATTTTTCTCATTTTCGAGTGGGTGCATATGGATTTTCAAGTGGGTGCAAATGGATTTTCAGGTGGGTGCAAGCCTGTTTTTAAAATCTCAGGTGGGTGCTCAGGGCCCAATTGCTTTAATGCTGGATCACATAATTGTGAGGATAAAGGTTTGTGTTGAAATAGAAGAGAGGTTTCGATAAAAGTTGTTTTGAAAACAAATACATAAACTTTTTCTCTAAAGGGTCTTGTAACACTTAAATTAGTTTGTATAGGGTGTTTGATAATGTCCATCTCCAAAGTCAATTTGAGATTAAACAGAACTATAATATATACAGGGTGTTCCAAAAGTAACAGGACTGGTGCTGGCATTTTGACAATTTTGCACTGAGTGTCTTCAAATATTCACAACTTGTGCTTTGAAGTATTGCAACTTAAATTATTAAGTTTCAGAAACAATGATGGAATGCGGTTAGAGTTATGGTTACTATAGTAACATGACATCCCAATACCCGTGGCAACTTTTTTCCTGAAAATGTGATATCTAACATTTTTGTATTACTGAAACGAGTATCCAATTCACCTATTATAATACAAAATTTCTTGTTTATTTTTATTGGTTGTTTTGTTGTAAAGGTGTTGCTATACAACTCAGATTCAAGTATAATTTCATAATGATAATAATATGTATTCAATTTCCTGGAATATCACTATGTATAACAGTCCGAACAATTCACGGTTGAGTTTTTGAAAAGACCCAATTTGAAGTCAGTCATCTACCTTGATAGCGCGCCTGCGCGCAGGTCACCATTAAAGACCACGCAGCTATAGAGAAGCTAGGTCTTGAGGTCTAAAACCATGCATCATACTCTTCTGGTCATGCAATATCTACTTTTTTATTTACTTATATTGAGAACGGAATGCTAATTAGTGCTGTAAGACTTTTAAAGATGAGAATGACCTTCTCCAAATTGTCCAATCGACCCTTCGTGACTTGTCCTCAAATGGGTTCACTCATGTGTTTTGGTCATGGATACAGAGTACTACTCTTGTACTGACAAAGAGGAGCCTACTTTTCAAAGTAGAGGATACATAAGAATATCACATGATGTAAAACAAATGTAATTGCCACCAGTTGTTGCATTTCAACTTTGATATGGCATGTACAAAATGATATGGCATGTTCAAAATGCTTAATGTCTCTGTAATTATTTTGCGTGGAATGTTGCCCCGGGTATTGCAATGTCATGTTACTATAGCAACCATAACTCTACCAAAGTTTAATATATTTTGTTGAAACTTTGCAATCTTAGTAATGATACATGAAAGTACATTATGTTAAAGACGATTGGTGCATATTTGACAAAATGCCAGCACCAGTCCTGTTACTTTTGGAACACCCTGTATATATCATATAGGAACAAAGTTTAATATTTTAGACACATGTGACAATAAATACAGTTTAAAATTTACAAATGGTAGATGCATTTGAACTATATTTGGAGATTTTTTACTAATAGCCCACTTTATGTAACACCCTCTATATAGACACGTACAAGTCATGGTAAAGCACTGGGGAGGAACTGAAGATAGGTTTCTTTTATCCTTCCAATATTAGGCAAGTATGTAGTTCCAGCTTCAAACTAGGATTAGAACTTTGAAATTAAAATACTGTAATTGCTGGGATATACACAAACTAATTCCCTAAAATAGGAAACGAGGGAAAGTACTTTCCTCATTTCTTCGAAAAATGTTCCTCCCCAGTGGGGTTTTCATCATTTTTTAAAAGTTGAAGTTGCAGTATAAGTTTGGCTGAAAACGTATACTGAAACCTCTCTAGTATAATATCTCACACATACATGTGGTTACTTAAATAATGCATATTTAAAGCTACACTACAATCGAACATACATGTATATGTATTTTTATTTTAGTTATACTAAGCCAGTGATCTCCCCAGCATTTAAGCAAGTGGGTGCAGCACCTACTTGAGATTATGAAAATAGGCCTGCACCCACCTGAAAATCCATTTGTACCCACTTGAAAATGAGAAAAATCATAAAAATTGGCATATTTTGACCAATTTTTGTCTGAATTGTGAAAATTAGAATTGTAAACCCACCTGAGAAAAAATCCTAGGGAGATCATTGTAAGCTGCTTAAGAAACTCTGTAGTAGTGACTATGTCATTTTTAGTTCACCTGTTCCACACTATTCTCTATTAATCTCCAGGAGTTAGCCTACCTCATCCCAGGTGTGAGCTTTGAGATCCACATGATAGGACCAGATATTGCCGACACCGCAGATGGCAAAGCGTACGATGATGTTGATCTACATGTTATGGTGCATAAATGTGCCTATCATGAATATCCAGGACCACCACCTGACTTCATTATAGGTAAGTAGATCACTACATCATCTGATCAATTTGAAGTTGAATTTATATGAGTTTGAATTCATTGTATTTTTATCGGCTGGCCTGAAGGATCCTTTGTTCCAGTATTTAACAACTTCTCTCTTGATTGTGCTTCAGAGTCCCTGAAGTTATATCACAAGATTGTCCTATGAAGTTGTATCACAAGATTGTCCTATGAGGTTGTATCACAAGATTGTCCTATGAAGTTGTATCACAAGATTGTCCTATGAGGTTGTATCACAAGATTGTCCTATGAAGTTGTATCACAAGATTGTCCTATGTAGTTGTATCACAAGATTCTCCTATGAAGTTGTATCACAAGATTATCCTATGAAGTTGTATCACAAGATTGTCCTATGAAGTTGTATCACAAGATTTTCCTATGAAGTTGTATCACAAGATTGTCCTATGAAGTTGTATCACAAGATTGTCCTATCATATTGGAAGTACTTTTCGGCTCATTTGTCCTTTGTTATCCACATTATATTGTGGGATTACCTGTTTTTAGATGGAGATTGATGTCATCATGATCACAATGTTGTCTCCTTGAAAATGTCTAAGTGGGAATCCCAAATTGTTGAAGTGTCTGGAGAAAAAATGAATCATGAAATTATGATATAAAAATAGTTTTATTGTATTATATCTTGGCCAATGGGGGATTTCCAGGTTTGCCCGTAGACTGATGATATGCAGTGATGTAGCCAGGATGAAAAATGTGACGAGGCAAACCTGTTAAAAAGCGATGAGGCAAATGCCTTGCCTCATCCTGGCTAGAGATATGCAAATGAAAAATGATAATGCACAACCTTTTTAGCTCACATGGTGAGCTTTTGCAATCAGGATTCCTGTTTTAAGTTATTTCTGTTCGAGATCAATACAGAAAACTCCCCTATGACTCCTGGTTCAAAAGCTCGCCTATTTTCAAAATGGCCGTCACTTTTGTCTCGCGAAATTCACTTTTGACCCATTTCCTAGCTTTACAAATAATTTCAGGTGTCCTACACTGTAAAATTCCATGTCAATGTAAAGGGTAGATATATGTTATAATATTGTTACAAAAAATCAGCGAAAAATTATATCCATTTTTTTTTATTTTCAGCCATTTTAGTTAACATTGATTTGTCTATCTGACTTGCGAAATCCACTTTTCGTCAATAACAGTGGCACGTTTTAAAACCTCTGTCGATAGGATTCCTGTTTTAAGTTATTTCTGTTCAACATCAATACAGAAAACTCCCCTATGACTCCTGGTTCAAAAGCTCGCCTATTTTCAAAATGGCCGCCATTTTTGTCTCGCGAAATTCACTTTTGACCCATTTCCTAGCTTTACAAATAATTTCAAGTATCCTACATTGTAAAAATCCATGTCAATGTAAAGAGAAGATGTATGAAATAATTTTGTTACGAGAAATCAGCGAAAAATTATATCCATTTTTTTATTTTCATCCATTTTAGTTAACATTGATTTGTCCATCTGTCTCGCAAAATCCACTTTTGGACCATTTACCTTAAAACCTCTGTCGATAGGATTCCCGTTTTAAGTTAATTTTGTTCAACATCAATACAAAAAACTCTCCTATGACTCTTGGTTCAAAAGCTCACCTATTTTCAAAATGGTCGCCATTCTTGTTTCGCGAAATTCACTTTTTGCCCATTTTCTAGCTTTACAAATAATTTCAGCTGTCCTGCATTGTATAAAGCCATGTCACTGTAAAGAGTAGTTGTATGAAATAATTTTGTTACAAAAAATCAGCAAAATATTATATCTGTTTTTTTTATTTTCAGCCATTTTATAGTTAACATTGATTTGTTCATCTGTCTCGCGAAATCCTCTTTTGGACCATTTACTTAAAACCTCTGTCGATAGGATTCCCGTTTTAAGTTAATTTTGTTCAACATCAATACAAAAAACTCTCCTATGACTCTTGGTTCAAAAGCTCACCTATTTTCAAAATGGTCGCCATTCTTGTTTCGCGAAATTCACTTTTTGGCCCATTTCCTACCTTTACAAATAATTTCAGGTGTCTTGCATTGCAAAAAGCCATGTCACTGTAAAGAGTAGTTGTATGAAATAATTTTGTTCCAAATAATTGAAAAAAAATTATATCTGTTTTTTTTTCAGCAATTTTACTTAACATCGATTTGTCCATCTGTCTCTCCGTCAGTCCAAAATAGTGGCAAGTGGCTTGAAATAATTTTGTTACAAAAAATCAGCAAAAAATTATATCTGTTTTTTTCTGTCACCATGTGAGCCCAGTACCCACGGTACTAATTTTCAATGTATTTTTCTAGAACTATTATCATTACTCCCTGTATAAAAATACTAATGCATTTCCTTATGGCTTAAATACTTGACCATTGAGGTATTTTAGAATGAATAAGAAATCTTACCTATAGTTGGGACATGTACCCTCACCACATTCCCATTTTGAGTCATCAGGGGGTCTTGTTCCACTGCGGCACTCTCCTCGTCATAACTTATGTCTCCTTGCCCTTCAGTTTGTAAATTGTCATCTTTGCCATTTGTTCCTCTGCTCATTAAGCATTTTATTTTGTCCATGATATGTGATCTATTTTGTATGGTTACAACTACAGCTATTGTAGTTATCATGCCACAAGCAGCTGCAACAACTGCTACAATAATCAGACTTGAATTCTTAGATGAACGTGACAGAGCAGCGGATGTAGTTATAGGAGTGTTTGTCGAAGATATAGGAGTGTTTGTCGAAAATATAGGAGTGTTTGTTGAAGATATAGGAGTGTTTGTCGAAGATATAGGAGTGTTTGTTGAAGATATTGGAGTGTTTGTCGAAGATATAGGAGTGTTTGTCGAAGATATGGTGGTGGTCGAGCTCGAAGATGTTGGTGTTCTTCTCTTATACTCCTGGTCCCGCATGAATACTAACAAGACAAATAACATAAAATGATTAATTGCCTAGGTGCTAGTAGATGGTTACCATTCATACCACTAGGTGGCTTAGTCGGGTCAGATAGCATTGTAGATATGCAAAAAGTTCCCCAAACTTGTATCAAAATACATTCAGAGAACCAATTTCCATCGAAACATCTTTGAGTATGATAATCATATTACAAATGTATTTAAAAGTAACTCTAGAAGTAAAATCTGTTTAAATAAAAAGCAAAATATCTCAATTTTCATGATTTTTAACATGAATTTCAGGGTAATGGGAAGTCTATCTGACCTTGAAATCACTTTTAAAAATTACAAGTTGATCACTTGTTCTATGAACAACAATATAATATTTATAAACAGGTAGATTTCAAGCACGACTGCACAAAGTTTTACTGAATGTTAGTTATGAAATTTCAACTGATATCAGCAGTGTAATAAATATGAATAAAATCTTGGAAAACTTACCTGGACATATCCTATAACATTGTATTTTATAAGATTCTCTTTCTGCTATTATACTTTCGCTACAAGCCTCAATACATTTTTCACACTGACCAACCCGTGGCTCGCAATAATGGTCTTGCATATCACAATCAAATTTTCCACATTTTGTTACCCAATATGACTTTTGTGCTGATGTTGGGACGGCTCCCACAGATATAGCACAGAAAAGTATCAATCCAAGTATTTCTCTCATTTTCTTTGTTGTTGTTCCTCTTTTTCTTTATGTTTTGTCATAAAGTAATCATTCATTTATGCTAATTTTCAATCAATTGGCGTGATGTTGCAGTGCTGTAGTCGCATTTAATCTGAAGTGTAGCAGTATGATGTAAGATTTTATAAAGTTTTTGGGGTAATTCCATTGTTGGATTTGTCATCAAATTTAAATTGTTTAATTTTAATCAAATATCCATCCAACATAATAAAAATTACATTTGTTGATAAACTTTCAATCTTGAGTGGATCATGACGCATTCATCATGTCCATGTCAGTCTTTGAAATGTATGATGTGAGATTTTACTAATATATTCTATTGTTAGATTGATCATAAAAATAACATTTGTTTTCAAAATTAAAAGGTAAGCCTTAAGTACTGAATGAGGAACTCATGTTGACATCAGTAAATTTAAATGTCTCAACAAATCTTACTGCGCAAAATGATTCTGGTAGGTAACAAATTTTATGATTAATAAAAATCATGTATATCAAGGACGTACATATTTCTGATTCAAATTATTATTACTTCATTATCCCATCGAACGAAGTTCGGAGGGATATAGGGAACGCCTCCGTCCGTCCATCCGTCTGTCCGTCCGTACGTACGTCCGTCCGGGCAATAACTCAAATACCGTTGGCCCGATTTTGTTCATATTTTGTACACATATACCCTATGGGGGTAGAAGTTCTGCTCGAAAGCTGATTTTCAAAATGGCCACTCATTTCAAAATGGCGGCCATTTTAGTGCCAAATTTTCAGTAATTTAGGTGCAATATGTAAAACTGTAATAGCAATATGTTTTAGATGTAAAAAAATTATATAGGACATTAATAAAGCTAGAAATGTAGATATTAAAGAAGCACATGGCAGCCATCTTGAAAAATGGCGGCATTTACTCGTTATTTTACGATTTTTGCTTTAACTCGAAAAGTAGTGGAGCGATTTTGTTCATATTTGGTATGTGAATACTATAAACATTGCACACTGTCTAAAGACACTTTTATTAGAAGGTGGCCATTTTGAAAAATGGCCGCCATTTTAACCTATTTTACTATAACTCGAAAAGTAGTGAAGCGATTTTGTTCATATTTGGTATGTGAATACTATAAGGATGGCACACTGTCTAACGACACTTTTGGTAGAAGGTGGCCATTTTGAAAAATGGCCGCCATTTTAACGTATTTTACTTTAACTCGAAAAGTAGTAGAGCGATTTTGTTCATATTTGGTATGTGAATACTAAAAGCATGACACACTATCCTATGACACTTTTAGTAGAAGGTGGCCATTTTGAAAAAAAATTTGAAAAATGGCCGCCATTTTAATGTATTTTATAATAATTCGAAAAGTAGTGAAGCGATTTTGTTCATATTTGGTATGTGAATACTGTAAGCATGGCACACTGTCTAATGACACTTTTGGTAGAAGGCGGCCATTTTTCAAAATGGCCACCATTTTAACGTATTTTACTATAACTCGAAAAGTAGTGGAGCGATTTTGTTCATATTTGGTATGTGAATACTATAAGTATGGCAAATGGTCTAATGACACTTTTGGTAGAAGGCGGCCATTTTGAAAAATGCCTGCCATTTTTGCTATATACTTTGTTTGTAAAAATGCCATCCATGGCTGTTCGATGGGATTCGCTACGCTTTGGCGTTGCCGTTGTTCTGGTTATACTTTCAGACAAGACATTGATGATTATAGAATAAAATGTTTTTAAAATAAAAAATGTTTGTATTAAAAGTCTGTATACAAGTTTATAAAGGTTAAGTTAATGATTCATAAAACGTAAGTGATAATGTACTTCTCCTTATTATGGTGCTGTTCAATTCAGTTTTAAGCAATTTTTGAAATATTGATCAGTATTTTATTTGGTCGCTTGCAATATATCTTGACCTCTAAGTTGTTGTTCATGTCAAATTAATACAATTTTAGCACAAAATACTCGTAAATATCATTTGTCACATTTCGTTCAAGTTTAAAAGACTAATGCCTGGTGAGGATAGTACCATTTAGGGATGAAAAGGAATTTCCAAATTGATCAAAAAATTCAAGATGGTCACCATATGCTTTGTCCTATGTACTGAACATTAATCAATTTTAAGAAAATATTTGGTTTTCTTAAAAGTTCAATAAGAGACCTTTGATGCTTTTTAAACCTTTTCAAAATAGAAACCGGTATTGATACCAATACTGAAAGTGTTCTCAATTACTAGAGTACAGTACATGTAATTTGCAATTAGATGCACTTCAGAATTTCATGGTAAGGTTGCTCTGGGTGCCCCAACCTTAATATATTGACAAAAAATAAATAAAATAATATAATTTAATCATAAGATTTCTCATGGTTGAAAACTGTGTCAGCCATTAAGACCATACACAGCTAATCTCTGACAGTACCATACGGTACCATTTTGGCTGCAGTATTGTACAGTACCATGAATATGGTACCGTATACTAAAACAGTACCATTCAGTATCATTTTGGCTGCGGTATTGTACAGTACCATGAATATGGTACCATAGACTAAAACAGTTCCATATGGTACCATTTTGGCTGCAGTATTATACAGTACCATGAATATGGTCCCATATATAGACTAAAACAGTACCATATAGTACCATGAGTGTTTGTCGAAGATATAGGAGTGTTTGTTGAAGATATTGGAGTGTTTGTCGAAGATATAGGAGTGTTTGTCGAAGATATGGTGGTGGTCGAGCTCGAAGATGTTGGTGTTCTTCTCTTATACTCCTGGTCCCGCATGAATACTAACAAGACAAATAACATAAAATGATTAATTGCCTAGGTGCTAGTAGATGGTTACCATTCATACCACTAGGTGGCTTAGTCGGGTCAGATAGCATTGTAGATATGCAAAAAGTTCCCCAAACTTGTATCAAAATACATTCAGAGAACCAATTTCCATCGAAACATCTTTGAGTATGATAATCATATTACAAATGTATTTAAAAGTAACTCTAGAAGTAAAATCTGTTTAAATAAAAAGCAAAATATCTCAATTTTCATGATTTTTAACATGAATTTCAGGGTAATGGGAAGTCTATCTGACCTTGAAATCACTTTTAAAAATTACAAGTTGATCACTTGTTCTATGAACAACAATATAATATTTATAAACAGGTAGATTTCAAGCACGACTGCACAAAGTTTTACTGAATGTTAGTTATGAAATTTCAACTGATATCAGCAGTGTAATAAATATGAATAAAATCTTGGAAAACTTACCTGGACATATCCTATAACATTGTATTTTATAAGATTCTCTTTCTGCTATTATACTTTCGCTACAAGCCTCAATACATTTTTCACACTGACCAACCCGTGGCTCGCAATAATGGTCTTGCATATCACAATCAAATTTTCCACATTTTGTTACCCAATATGACTTTTGTGCTGATGTTGGGACGGCTCCCACAGATATAGCACAGAAAAGTATCAATCCAAGTATTTCTCTCATTTTCTTTGTTGTTGTTCCTCTTTTTCTTTATGTTTTGTCATAAAGTAATCATTCATTTATGCTAATTTTCAATCAATTGGCGTGATGTTGCAGTGCTGTAGTCGCATTTAATCTGAAGTGTAGCAGTATGATGTAAGATTTTATAAAGTTTTTGGGGTAATTCCATTGTTGGATTTGTCATCAAATTTAAATTGTTTAATTTTAATCAAATATCCATCCAACATAATAAAAATTACATTTGTTGATAAACTTTCAATCTTGAGTGGATCATGACGCATTCATCATGTCCATGTCAGTCTTTGAAATGTATGATGTGAGATTTTACTAATATATTCTATTGTTAGATTGATCATAAAAATAACATTTGTTTTCAAAATTAAAAGGTAAGCCTTAAGTACTGAATGAGGAACTCATGTTGACATCAGTAAATTTAAATGTCTCAACAAATCTTACTGCGCAAAATGATTCTGGTAGGTAACAAATTTTATGATTAATAAAAATCATGTATATCAAGGACGTACATATTTCTGATTCAAATTATTATTACTTCATTATCCCATCGAACGAAGTTCGGAGGGATATAGGGAACGCCTCCGTCCGTCCATCCGTCTGTCCGTCCGTACGTACGTCCGTCCGGGCAATAACTCAAATACCGTTGGCCCGATTTTGTTCATATTTTGTACACATATACCCTATGGGGGTAGAAGTTCTGCTCGAAAGCTGATTTTCAAAATGGCCACTCATTTCAAAATGGCGGCCATTTTAGTGCCAAATTTTCAGTAATTTAGGTGCAATATGTAAAACTGTAATAGCAATATGTTTTAGATGTAAAAAAATTATATAGGACATTAATAAAGCTAGAAATGTAGATATTAAAGAAGCACATGGCAGCCATCTTGAAAAATGGCGGCATTTACTCGTTATTTTACGATTTTTGCTTTAACTCGAAAAGTAGTGGAGCGATTTTGTTCATATTTGGTATGTGAATACTATAAACATTGCACACTGTCTAAAGACACTTTTATTAGAAGGTGGCCATTTTGAAAAATGGCCGCCATTTTAACCTATTTTACTATAACTCGAAAAGTAGTGAAGCGATTTTGTTCATATTTGGTATGTGAATACTATAAGGATGGCACACTGTCTAACGACACTTTTGGTAGAAGGTGGCCATTTTGAAAAATGGCCGCCATTTTAACGTATTTTACTTTAACTCGAAAAGTAGTAGAGCGATTTTGTTCATATTTGGTATGTGAATACTAAAAGCATGACACACTATCCTATGACACTTTTAGTAGAAGGTGGCCATTTTGAAAAAAAATTTGAAAAATGGCCGCCATTTTAATGTATTTTATAATAATTCGAAAAGTAGTGAAGCGATTTTGTTCATATTTGGTATGTGAATACTGTAAGCATGGCACACTGTCTAATGACACTTTTGGTAGAAGGCGGCCATTTTTCAAAATGGCCACCATTTTAACGTATTTTACTATAACTCGAAAAGTAGTGGAGCGATTTTGTTCATATTTGGTATGTGAATACTATAAGTATGGCAAATGGTCTAATGACACTTTTGGTAGAAGGCGGCCATTTTGAAAAATGCCTGCCATTTTTGCTATATACTTTGTTTGTAAAAATGCCATCCATGGCTGTTCGATGGGATTCGCTACGCTTTGGCGTTGCCGTTGTTCTGGTTATACTTTCAGACAAGACATTGATGATTATAGAATAAAATGTTTTTAAAATAAAAAATGTTTGTATTAAAAGTCTGTATACAAGTTTATAAAGGTTAAGTTAATGATTCATAAAACGTAAGTGATAATGTACTTCTCCTTATTATGGTGCTGTTCAATTCAGTTTTAAGCAATTTTTGAAATATTGATCAGTATTTTATTTGGTCGCTTGCAATATATCTTGACCTCTAAGTTGTTGTTCATGTCAAATTAATACAATTTTAGCACAAAATACTCGTAAATATCATTTGTCACATTTCGTTCAAGTTTAAAAGACTAATGCCTGGTGAGGATAGTACCATTTAGGGATGAAAAGGAATTTCCAAATTGATCAAAAAATTCAAGATGGTCACCATATGCTTTGTCCTATGTACTGAACATTAATCAATTTTAAGAAAATATTTGGTTTTCTTAAAAGTTCAATAAGAGACCTTTGATGCTTTTTAAACCTTTTCAAAATAGAAACCGGTATTGATACCAATACTGAAAGTGTTCTCAATTACTAGAGTACAGTACATGTAATTTGCAATTAGATGCACTTCAGAATTTCATGGTAAGGTTGCTCTGGGTGCCCCAACCTTAATATATTGACAAAAAATAAATAAAATAATATAATTTAATCATAAGATTTCTCATGGTTGAAAACTGTGTCAGCCATTAAGACCATACACAGCTAATCTCTGACAGTACCATACGGTACCATTTTGGCTGCAGTATTGTACAGTACCATGAATATGGTACCGTATACTAAAACAGTACCATTCAGTATCATTTTGGCTGCGGTATTGTACAGTACCATGAATATGGTACCATAGACTAAAACAGTTCCATATGGTACCATTTTGGCTGCAGTATTATACAGTACCATGAATATGGTCCCATATATAGACTAAAACAGTACCATATAGTACCATGAATACTGTATGGGACCATCCTTAAACCGTACTTTATTCCTTATATATCGTACAGTACCATAAAGAGTGCTGATTGGGAGTGTAAATTAAGACCCACCAAATAGCTCCTCTTATGAACAGACAGAGGATGTACTTAGACCCCATATACCACCAGTTACCAAGCTGACCTCCCAAGCTGGTCATACCCTATGCAGTGACCAAGACATCCAGCCCATGTTTCAAATTCCCTGCCAAAGTCAATTGTCAAAGTTGTATTGATGTGGGACAAAATATTTTACAGTAAAATTTAACTAAAAATGTCTGTGGTAGATGAACTTTTGAATATGAATGCTGCCAGACAGATATATGTATGTCTCATATATGTATTTTTTATTGCAAAAAGTACTTGAGGGATTTAAACTTTGTCATACTTCAACCAGCCAAGTGGTTACATTTTGTCAGATTAATTCCTTTTTTATCTCACCATCAAAAAATGGTGACAAATTGTAATAACTACCATTTTTGTGGTATATGGCATTAACATTTGTAAAAAAAAAGTTCGTGAATTTGGCATTGCAACTAGGTATTGACATTTTATTGTGAAAATTTTCATTTATTGTAAAAATTCCCTGGTAGTTCTGTATTTCATGTCTAATATCATTGTAAGTTTAAAAAAGTTTAAACGTTTTTAGTTGCTTAATTGTTTCAGGAAGAAGAGTTCAGTAGACAAGTGTGTGTGAAGTAAAAACTTGTATTTGATGATCCTTTGGGGGCACACATACTGAACATTACAATATCTTTTTTAATGAAAGCATCCTTTATTAGATAGACATAACTTGATAAATGCAATAAAGCTAATCAAACAATTAAAATTACTTTTATATTGAATTGATATAAACTCCTTATGATATTATTAACTAAAAGCATGTACATGTAATACACATTGTTTAGTCTAAAAGCGACATTTGTTTATCATTAACCTGCCCCTGTAGCTCTATAGTAATACTTGTAGTTCCAAAGGTGTTGTTCCTTGTTTGAAAAGTGATCATGAACTCTTACTAGGCATTGATTCCCTATGTTACTTCATTATATGCCGCTGACCTATCAACAAGTTCGCTTATATTCCTTTGTCAAGTACAAGGCTACAACATACAGGAATTGTCATACAAGGGAAATTCCATTTAGTAATAGTAAATTTTAATTTTGGTATAATGTACAAATATGGTGATTATACACTTAATTGAGTAACTGTAAGATATAGGGTACTTTACAAGAATTGTCATACAAGGCAAATTCCATTTTGAATGGTAAATTTTAATTAATTTTAATTTGTATAAGATACAAATAAGATATATGAGTAACTGTAAGATATAGGGTAAATGCAAATCATACATACTAAAAGATAGTTCTGTGTCTCGTACAAGGCTACAACTTTGCAAGAATTGTCATATAAGGCAAATTCCATTTTAATAGTCCTGAAATAAATCTTCAACTGAATTCCTAAAGTTACCTTGAAGTACATGGGAATTTTTATCAAATAAAGGGAATTTACCTTTATGACAATTGCTTTAATAAAATTAAAACAAAAACCCAATGCATATCCTTGCATAACTTGGTGTAACTCAACATTTATGACATGTTTATGACCATGATGGAATCACTTGAATACAGTACTGTTTATCCAACAATACAGTCCAACTATGTAACTATAATTGTATCCTTAAACTCCCTTATTCACTAAGTCTAAGAAAGAGTATCTGTGATACTTTTTCATGACTTTTTTGGCCAATAACAAAATGATCTTGTGTTCTTTAGTCTCCTAGTGTGCGACCATCATCTTGATGCTCAGTTTCATTGAAGTCATTGAGATTCGCAACATCAGAGTTAAGAGAGTTACCAGTGGGGGTGTCATGAACTCCATGTTGGTGTTGACCATCTGGAATAGAAGAACCTGAAGAGGAAAATGGAATATTGATTTAAGTGGTATTTAAGTTGTTATTAATCTGTTTCATTAGGCAATGTTACTATGTTTTGAGATTGTAGCTATACCATCATTTCAACCCCTTTTAAAATATGTGTTATAGATAAATTATTCAGATCAAAATCATCACATAACATACCTTGTCTTGAACCTTCAGTGCGCAGATCGCGTCCTCCATCTGTCTTCAACATTTCCATCAGTGTCTCTGTATTTCGTTCACACTCCTTTGGTCCCTTTCTCTTGCGATTCACACAGATGGGATATTTCCGTATCACCATCACAACTACAGCCACACAGAAAACTATTGGAGTAACTATGATGAAAGCAATTTTCATTGTGCTCATTTGTGTAGTGCCAGTCTGTTGGTTGCCATCAGTTGTGGTGTTGGTGGTTGGAACCATCATTTGTACCCTTTGTACAAATATATTAGCTTGATTATCCAGCTTTCTCGATTTCTCATTTTCTTTGTCCCGCATGTAAACTGAGCAATGTTTGTAACACTGTGCTTGATAATTTGCATGTCCTTTTATTCGAGCGTCTGAACAGTACTCAAAGCAGTGGATACACTGATCCATCCTTTCCTCACAAAATTCAGTCCTTGTATCACATGGTATTTTTGATGTACCACATTCAAAGATCCACTTATGCTTCTCTTTAGTAGTTTGCTGATCAATGGCCAATGCTGATACATATGCTTTAATGACAATTAGAGTACAGACAAAAAGTACAAACAATGGCTTTGGTTGTGGCCACATTTTGATCTTTTTGTATACAAGTCCTTCGTTAATATTATTTGAACATCAAAGCTTGACAAGGATGAATTTTCCAGTCTCTTTCTCCAAGTGTTTCTAGGAAGTCTTGGTCTTGTGTCTGTCTCCTATGAATGAACACTATTTCATTCTATTTTTTCAATCGTTCATCCTTTGTTGACTTATATTGGATGTGAATGAAAATCAACCAACACATTATTTTATGAATACTACCAAAGCATCTCTCTTTTATAAACATTGTTACATCCTATATGAATCAAATCTTGGAACTCCCTCTCTCAATACCTCTAATCGATTAATCAACTTACTTTGCATTTGTTTATTTTGCATTGTAAATCACAATATGAAGTATGTACTTAATCAGCTTTTCATGAACTTCACTTTGTGTTTTCATTACGAATAGAACATGTAATATATGGATCGGTGTAACTTATATGTATTCACTATGTGTGATTTAAGGTCACTTAACCACCTACAATATGGCCACTTCATCTATTCTTAATCGTTGGGAATGGGGGAGAAGTTGGAGTATGTGTATTGTTAAATAAGATTCATTTATATAAATGATAAAACTGTAGGAAGGTGTTAACCCTTTTAGAGGGTTCTTAAGTGCCTGGAATGACTATTATTGTTATTATTCACACATGATTTATGTAATGTTACGGTCATTAGTTGCAAAATGGAAATTCACAAAGAACTCATCTTCATGATTGCATGCAGTTTCAGTAACTGAGCAGATAATAATGGCAATAAATGAAAGTGATAGGGGGTGCATATAAATATAGAGGGTGCATACAGGGTGCCCGTTGTCTCCAGGACAGACAGTAGTATAATCATTTTATTTTAGAACAATTAAAATGATTGAATTGAGTTGATAAAACTATAATCAAATGAAAATAAATAAAACAGACATTTCTAGACAATAAACATTCCATTTTATTTGTAATTTCATCATAATACAGATATTTGATGATCGCAAGAAATTTAAAGTTCAATAATGTCAAGTTATAAAAATAACGTTATAAGTGTAAATGCAACACAAACTAAACGTTGGCCAGTTAAAGTACATAATACATGTCATGAAGTTACTTTACTGTATATTCAAGTCTTTCAAACACATAAACTTGTTTATCAATCACGAATATAAATGTACTGCAGTTTTATATTACATCGTACAAAGGTGTTGATCATTGCATTGTCATCATGAACTCACATGAAATATAAGCTATATGTACTTGACATACATGAAAGCTTAACATCCAATGAATTATCCAACTAAGCAATTCATGCAACATTTTTAGAAATATATTTACAGCAATATGAAATATTTTCTTGATGATATTATTACGTAAGTTGGTTCCTATTTTTACTGGCACAAAAATCCCATTTTCAAATGGAAAGAGAACTGAATCATCCAAATGATTTTAAAATGGGATGTCTATGATGTAAATCAAACTGTTGAAATTAATTTGGTACTTAATAATTACAGTATGTTTAATTTAAATATGAATTAATATAATATTTATATATGTACAATAGACTATATAGTTCTGAGAAATAGTATTTGTGTTTTTCTTGGAAACAAACCAATGACCAAACCAAACCTAACTATGAAATATGTGGCCATGTCCATATATGTTTTATTTTGAATTTATTCAACATGATTGGTTGCCGATAACCAAATCATTATTCTCTGCTTTCAACTCTGTCTCTGCTTCAAAGTCATTTTGATTTGCTATGTCAGAGTTTCCACATTTGTGCTGACACTCCGAGAAACATCCGCATGTCTGGCTTGGAACAGAAGAACCTGAAGATAAAAATGAGAATAATTGTGAACCTGAGTTGCTACCTGTTGATCTCACAACCAGTATCACAGTCCTCAGTGGATTTAAAAATGTATTTCTTTCTATTCTCAAAATAAGGTGATACATTTCTAAACATTGTCAATGCATCTCATGGAACTTGTGTAGCCATGTGATGACATTTTGATATTATATTCAATATTAATTATGGAAATGAATAAATATTTCATGAATGCATGAATTTGTATGATCAGTAAGAAACCCTAAAAAGATAAATAACATAATTTACCTGCTGTTCGTATAAGCTTGTTTTTGTCTGTCATAAGGGGATCTCGTGCCCCTGTTTCTACATTGTTTTCACATTGCTTAGGTCTTTTTGTCTTGTGATGTTTCCAGATCACAATCCCGATCCCAATAATAGCCAAACCAAGTATAGATACAATTATACTGAGAGGAATTTTCAAGTCGTTCTGTTGTTCTTTGTGTTCTACGTCACTTTCAGTTTTAGCAGTGATGGTGAGAGGATCTCCAGTAGAAGCTTTTGCTTCTAGAGATGATCCAGTTGGATTGTTCAACTTTCTCGTTCTTTTATTTTCTTTGTCTCTCATAAAAACGGGGCAGTTTTCACGACACTGTGTTTGATAATTTTCATGTCCTTTGATTCTAGCCTCGGAGCAATATTCCAAACATGGAATACATTTGTCCATTCTTTCCTCACAAAAGTTGTTTATTTTGTCACATGGAATTTTTGATTTTCCACAAGGAAAGATCCAGTCTTGCTTCTCTGTGGTTGTTTGTTGATTTGTTGACAAGGATGAAACAGGTGCTTTACTGACAATGGTAAAAATAATTGTCATAAAGAACATTGCATTTGATTTGCGCCACATTTTGCCCTGGTGTCTATGAGCTTTTGAATATAAGAAAAGGCACTACTTATCTCACACAAAATGGGTTTCCAGTTTTTTCCTCTAGTGTTTTTAATATCACCTAGCTTGTTTCACTTTAATGTAATTTCACTTCTCCATTCGTTATATTTTCTCAAGTCTTTTCATGTAATGGATTGCATGGAATGAGAATAAAAAGCATCTGAACTCTGGTTTTAATCATTTTGCAAAAAGTCTGTGATTCAAACCTGGCATTGGAAGCCCAAAACCTGAATCAATGTTGCAACATGGACTTTCAGAGGTGTGTACAGCAAAACGTATGAGTTCAAGTGCTACCTGATGATTTGTGTTACCTTTGACACCATTGTAGACTTACCAGTATAAATAAGTGCAAAGTATAAAATACATTGAAACCTGTTTATAGTAAACATTTACAGAAAAACATTCGCTGAAGTTAGGTTTGTTTTTCAAATTGATGATCAGAAAAAGACTGTTTAAAGATGGGTTATTGCAGGTAAAAATAGTCAGAAAATTTAACGTATGGTCTCACAGACAAGCAAAGATTGTGACATAGTTAGCTGTACACAAATCAAACCATCCATCCGACCACAATGGAGTCATAGTGTCGAATATTGTCACTGGGAAAACCTGGTCAAGACCATGCTTAACCAGAGACCATGTTTTCATACCTGTACCTGAATAAAAAGTATATAGAAAATTGAAAACAAAATTGTCCAATACTGTAGAAGTGGAAACTTCGGCGAAACAAAACTTTAGCGAGATGGTCCCTAAAACTTTATTGCCGAATTAAACTTTCCCGGACCAGCAATCAAGAAAATGGAAAATTACTTGGGCGAGCTTATAAGCTTATTATTAGGTTATCATGAAGCATTTATTCACCAACACGATTGGTTGCATTTTTGTAAACCCCGAGTTGTAAACATGTATATCACAGTTATAAGCTCTATATCAACGTTATTAGCCCTATAATTAAACTTGCCTTTCGAGGAATGGCGTGTCACCATCAAAAGTAAGTCGTTTATGTTTGTGTGTAATCCCCAATCAATGTGCTCAAACCGTCAGTAGGTGTTAATACCCGACAAACAATCAAATAAGTAACAAACTCGGCTAGGCCTAATTCACTATCAAACTTTATTCTATTTATTGTACTATTGTGGGTGGATGTTGACTTGCGTTTATGTTCTGTTCAGTATCTTATGTTTTGTTTAGGAATAAATGCTAGTATAGATCTATTCTTATAAGATAATCGTGTCATTCATGTTAGTGATGAGTTGTCACGTGACAGTAGATGTCCAATCAAATTACAGGTTTTGTGATCGAAAATTCGAAAAATTATTTCTGTAATGTTTTCATCATTTAGGGCAACAAAACATGATTGCAAAACAAAATAGGTATTAATTATGATTGTAAATCGATGAGGAAACACTGAGGTATGTATTATTTATGTATTCGAAACGAAATTCAGCATCTGGATGTCGATCTGTATTCTTCACGGTATTATCGCCCACCGATATTTTTTTCATATTTTTCTACGAATTTTTATTTTGGCGTCTCTCCTTCAACGCTAAATTTCGCCAAAGTTTCCACGTCGTTAAAGTTTCCACTTCTACAGTACATTTTGACAGGTAGAAAATGTAGGTAAATAAATTGTTAATTCTGTTTTGTGTTCACTTAACACAAGTGAATTCTATGTGTTTGTTAAGATATATAGAAATTTTACATAGGAGTCAGTGAGTGAAAATGTTTTTGAAAACTATTTAATTTTCACTAAACGAGGTGTTCATATGATAGAGGTGTAAATGTACAGATTTTACTGTTCTAATACTGAAACCAATACCATACTGCACGATTGTTATAACAAAATGATGAGTCAACTGAATTTACAATAATCAATATACTTTAAAGAACTTTTTTGATGTTGAATGGATATTTTGTGACAATGTTTTTTTATTTTATGTTTTACTTAATTTGATATCTAAGTGGTTTACCATTATGTACTTACTGTTTGTAACCAGTTATTGACTTGAAAATATATGTAAACCTAAAAGTAAGAGGTACCCAGCAAATTTTGGACTTTTATTGAGTTGAATGATTAAAAGGCAGTTGTTTCTAATTTTTAAGCAAGGTCCATCGTGAAATCATGAGATCATATCGTATGTGAAGAAATTACTGTAGATTTAACTCATTGTTCAAGTGCAACCTGGATTTTTAATGCAGCCATTTTAAATTTTCAACCATGTGTTCATAATCAAATGCTCAGATTTCTAGGCAGTGTTGGAGACGGTATTTTTCAAAATCCAAGCCCATGTTTACTAATCTAATTTTTCATGAAAATGTATAGTATGTATAATATAGTCTATTATTTATATCATAATTTTACAAATGCATATAACACACCCAGTAAAGTGGGCATATCAGTGCCTATATCAGTTGTTATGCAGAGCAAACAAGTATTCAAATTACAATAATATTTTATCTTTTGTCTAAGTAAACTATAATATAGCAAACTTTGAATTGTCTTTAAAAAAATAAATAAGAAGAATGTGTTCTTACCATTAGTAATCTAAAAATGCAATAATGTCCAAATTTAGCAGAATTGAGAATATCTGCTTTTTAAATTTCAAGTTAAATTATTAGAAACATATTTTCTGTTCCTGTTCTTTCAGGTTTCAATGCTGGTATAGGAGCCTACATGCCCTGGGCTAACACCCTTGTGACTCTAAAGGTAGGTTGGATATTATGTCTAAGTCTGAGACACAACTTCAGTAAAAACAAATGCATCTTTTACAAATGAATTTTACCGTTTTCAAATACAAAACTCTTAAAATAATTAATTTATTAATATAAGAAAAATGTAACAAGAAAAAAGAAATTTGGTAATATTAAAATTGTAAGTATGAATTAAATATGTTTTACAGCATATGCTTTATTTTGGCATGTTGGTTGTTTTAATGAATAACTTCTTGTTTGCAAGGGTTTTACTGAGACCGCCAGACTGAAATATATGACTACCAGTATACAGAAAAATGAATGCATTAAAACACCCACAGTTTATTGAACCCTTAAGCTAGAAGACTTTGAACAAAATATTAAAAGGAACTGCAATTCAACCAGAAACCTTTTTGCAAGGACATGAAGCCTCAACATTTTGACTTGCATGTACCTATTAGCACTGGCATGTAGCGGCCCTGATATCGATAAATTCTACACGCAATATAACCCGATTTTAGATGCTTGGTTAAAACTTTACACGAAAAAGCCTCGATATCCGGGCATTTACTCTTACACTGAACTGAAAATAGCATCGTCTAAACGTGTATGTCTTGGCTTCCGGGTAAGTTTATCAACATTTATACTCAATTGAAAGAGCAGTCGTGCATATATCGTGTACCAGTTTGATTGTTTTATATGTGTGTGTATTTATAATATGATAGTCTAGTAATACCGTGTCGTTAGAACAAGTGCTAGATATCGAACTGATGACCTGAAATTAGATTATTGGACTGATCGCGCATCTGATATTAGATGATTAATTTGCATTGAATCTGATATTAACTTGCAACCCAATACTACAGTAAATACCATGATTTTACATTAGAATGATAACACGGCCTCATATTCTAATTCATTTTACGTCCATTGCAGGCCAAAAATGTTTCAATGGGGATATTGTAATGCACACGAGAATACATTCGATTCGTATATATTGACACCCCAGTTGTCCGAAACCCAGTTGTCCGAAACCCAATTCCCCGAAACCCAGTTGTCCGAAACCCATTACTCCGAAAAATAAAGTCATAATTTACCAGAGAAAGGGGGGGGGGGCGGGCGTAGCTTACTTAAGCTTACGTCAGTTTCATGCCATGTATTTGGCCAAATTAATGGCATGGACGCATTCTGATATTCATAGATCTCTCTCTCACCTTGAATTGCATCCATTGCATGGCGTTACCAGAATGGCAGGAACGGGAGATTTATTTTACATTGTGATTCTAAAAAAGGTTATTAAAACACAATATATATTACGGAACAGTTTATCTTATCTTCTTCAATCTCTTTTATATAGGCAAAATAAAATGAAACATTTTGAAACAGATAAAATAAGGTATAGAACTTTAAGAATAAAACAGTATACAAATTACGTTGTCAAAATATTTCGTCGCATTTAATTTCTTAGTCTCAGTCTCTTATCAAATCGTAAAAGAATAAAACATTCTAAACTTAATCACTTGGGATTTATGTTTCGGCATTCGTTTCAGGCATTTGTTTTTTATGTTCTTCTCCTGAAATGTATTTGTTTGACAATAATCAGAGAAAGTGCGTATACGTATAAATATGCCACGCAAACAAACGGGTGTGACTTCAATTTCTTGTCTGTCTGAGGACGTATTGGGAACGAGGTAGAATTAAAGAATTCTTATGAACAAATGTATTGGATAAGTTAATTTCTGATGGATCTGGATAAAATATATTTCAAAACTTTGTCAACACTAGATAACTTCATTTAGGCAGATATAGTATCTTGATATATTTGGCTATCATGCGTTTAAAATACGTTCCTAAAACTATGAAGACGTTGGGTGAGAAATATTGCTATTGTACGTTCGAAAAGTATTTGGTTGTATTTTGTAGTTCTCAAGTTACCCATGAACTTTCTTGGGCTAATTAACGTCTTGACTCAGCATATTTAGCCTAATTTTGCAATGATGTCAACGTGATTCAAATGTTATGCTGTCGTGATTCGCAGAGGTTGCGACAAGATTCGTTTTAAGAAATTGTATTTTTTGATAAGATCCCCTAATTTTCGGAGAACTTGGTTTCAGACAACTGGGTTTCGGAGAATTGAGTTTCGATATGCATATCTCCCTCTGGAAAAACCCCGCATCCAAAACCTCCCAGTACATAACCCGTATTTATCCCATGGTTACAAGGATATAGATCGAATATCACGTGAAGATATAATTGATACGTGGATGAAGATATCATATTTTAGCAAAAAATTCCCAAATCATCGAATATCACTTTTGAAACCATCGAATATCACTTTTTGAAAGGTGATATTCGATGGTTTCAAATTGATATTCGATGGTTTCAAAAGTGATATTCGATGGTTTTGATTTTTTCAATTTTTTTTATTAATTCAGCAAAACGATTGTTTATGAAGAGCTCAAAAAGTTCAATCATCTATTTATCTCAAAAAGACCTCAAAAACTGAGCTTGAATTAGAAATATGTCTTCTAAAATCTTCCTCGCCTGGACCTGATGGGATTCTACCATCACTTATTAAGTCTGTAAGACAGTTTTTAATTGATCCGCTCTTGTATATATTTAACTTATCTTTTAAATCTGGTATTTTCCCAGACGCCCTCAAATTGGCCAAAGTAACACCTGTATTTAAAAAAGGAGTCACTACAAATCCTTCGAACTATAGACCAATTTCAGTTTTATCGGTATTTTCTAAATTGTTAGAAAAGCTCATGCACGCCAAACTCACTGGTTTTTTAGAACGTTTTGAAATTATTTTTACTTATCAATTTGGATTTCAGAAATTCAACTCTACCTACATGGCCATTTTATATTTCATTGAACAAATTCGAAAATCAACTGATTTGGGGAAAACGAGCATTGGCATAACATTAGATTTTTCAAAGGCCTTTGACACTATTAATCATGACATTTTGATACAAAAACTTGAATATTATGGCATCAGAGAAATAGCTAAGTCCTGGTTTGAAAGTTATTTAAAAGACTGCAAACAATATGTCACCATTAACAATTATGAATCTAAACAATCATCTCTAAATTGTGGTGTTCCGCAGGGCTCGGTACTTGGACCACTATTATTTATTCTTTACATAAATGATCTGCCTTTTGTTGACCCTAATCTAAAATTTATTATGTTTGCTGATGACACCAATCTTCTTGATAGTGATTATGATTTAAATGAACTTATGACTAGAACTAATGCAAACTTGAATTCAATAGATGACTGGATAAAAGCAAACAAACTTTCACTTAATATTGGCAAAACCAATGCTATTCTATTTGGACCCCCAAAAAATCAAACAAATCTGAATCTCAAAATACGCAATGAGAACATAAATTTCCGGGATAAAATTGACTTTCTTGGAATTATTATTGATAAAAACTTGAAATTTAAAGAGCACATAAAATCTATTGAAACAAAGATTTCTCGCGTCATTGGTTCTCTTTATCACATTAAACATCTACTTCAAATAGACAGTTTCAAAACAATTTACTACTCATTGATACACTCTCAATTAAATTATTGCAACATAATCTGGGGTAACACATTTAAATCATTTTATGATCGTCTACATAAACTGCAGAAACAATTCTTAAGGCTAGCTTTAAATAAGGATAGACCTTCTCACTCCGCTCTCTTATTTGAAGATCTTAACATATTAAATATTTTTGATGTCAACAGATATTGTACTGGTCAGTTCATGTACAAAATCTTTAATAAGCACCCCAGTCTTCCAAAAAATCTATTTCAAGACTTGTTTGATATCAACATTAATATTCATCATCATTACACAAGACAATTGCATTATTTTCATATCCCTAAATGCTCTAAACTTTCCCTTCGCTATCTAGGTCCTAATCTTTGGAATGCTCTACCACATGATATTAAAAAATGCTCCACTCTAAATATTTTCAAATCTTCATATAAAAAACTACTCATCTATCGATAATGTATAATACCAATATCATACTATACTGTTGATTTTATACTGATACCTGATTTTTGTAACATTTTTACATTGTACATCCTTAGATTAATTGTTAATACCATTTTTATATACCTACATGTAACATAATATAAGTGTTTTCTTTTATATGTAGTCTAGATGTCATTTTAATGATTTCTGTTAGACCGCAACATATACCCACTAGGGTGTCTAGCGGCTTGTTTTTATAGTGTATATTATATAAGAATTATGAAATAAATTGAATTGAATTGAATTATATATTTATTATATATTTTTATTTTTTGGGATCCTGTTTTTACGGCGTTCGCATTAAATACAAACCACTCTGTTACGTCACGTATATGACGTTCGTTGAATTATCGCAATCAAAATGTCAGACGAAATGGAATTTCCATTACAATTTATCTGACTATTCAATGTTCGCTGGATAATAATTCCCAATGGGATAAACGGACAATCCTATAGTTTTTCAAAAATAACACTTATATCCACTCATGGATATCAGTATCTTCACCCATTCGCTGCGCTCACTCGCGAAGATATCAATATCCACTCATGGATATAAGTGATATTTCAGAGCCATAGGATATTCCTATATTATTCCATAATTAGCATGATATCCATAGGATAACATGTCATAATAAAAACGGTATTTTTGAAATCAGTGGTAAAATATGATATTTTTGGCAAATTTTCACTTAACCATAGCATACGGTGTTTTAGCCATGACATGCGGCGCCGTATGCCATGGTTTATGGATTTTTGCTACTTCAGACTCAAAACGAGGCTAAGTGTCAATATCGCCGTATCGTTTGGAAAATTCGTTTTAGATCACTTAATTCCCGAAGATTCTGATGATGACTTTAACTATGGAATATAAAGAACATCCTATGATTTACTCGTGATATGGTTTTAATCCACTCATGGATGTTGATACATGTATCTGCACTCTCTCGCTACGCTCACTCGTGCAGATATCATATCCATTCGTGGATAAAAATCATATCACTCATAAATCATAGGATATCCTCTATTTAAGATGTGATATTCGATAGTTTAAAAGTGATATTCGATGGTTTGTAAATTGTTTGATAAAATATGATATCTTGATCCACATATCAAATATATCATCATGTGATATTCGATCTATATCCTCCTTGCAACCATGGGATAAAGCTTTACGTCCCGCTCCAAGCGGGCAGATGTAGTATATCTGCCCGCTACGTCATAATCGCCGCTTGCATATTTGTTCATAATTTGTAACGTTCGCGGAATGACTGTAAACGGCAATGGAGAAAACACAGACAATCAGGGTCTGTTTGATAGTTAAAAAAAGGGAAAGGGCATCCACTTTATCAATAAAAAATTCGAGAAAATGAATATGGGATTATTTGAGAGAACATGAAAATCCGCCCACAGCCAAGAAAACAAAACTGGACATGAATATTCTAAAATATTTCCACGATTTAACAATGTGAACCAGATGACCAAGATTGGTATGGGATAAACATATTATCCTATAGTCAGGATATTGGGATTATCCCTTGGCCAATATATAGGGGTTATGCAATTGGAGGTTTTGGATACAGGGAATATCCCGAGGGATATACAATACATCTTCCCGAGGGACCGAAGGGACCAAGGGAAGACATATTATATATCCCTCGGGATATTCCCTGTATCCAAAACCTCCAAGTACATAACTGTTGTATATAGTTTAGCATGATATGTACTTCTTTCTGTAACTGGAATACGATTCTAATATACAAGCAGCATATACGTATTCCCGGGGAACCATAAATATTTTGTGTAGTGTGTGGACATTTTTCTTTTCATTTCTCTAAAATCAGATTATTCTCATAAAATTCATACAAAGTTGGGCCTAAGCCTCTATTTTCGTATTCTGCATGTTAAGATATTTATAATGTAAAACCTAAGAGATAAATTCAATGTCTTCAGTTGAGAATAAGTATAAGGTAAATGTGTGAATTCTGCTTGTTGTTGCACTATTTTTTATAATAAACAAGGTTCGATACGCAACAATGAATAGACTGCAGTCATAGCTTAGTTGTAAAGAAAACAAAAGAAGTTGGGACGTGGTCATGCTTGAATACGATTTTAAATATATCGCCGTTTACATTTGTTGAAATCGGCCTGTATTAATTTCAACAGGTGATCGGTGTACAAGGGCATATATTTGAGTTATTGGTTTAACGATAAATATGACCTATGAGTGGGTAACGTTTTACAAATGCATGAAACAAATACTCCAATGGCCTAATCTCAATTTTCCTGCATAAACTATTACATTGAAATGATGGTCATTTGCTCTCTAACTTCCGCACCGCATACGTAACTTCGTAACAATTCAATAAGCCAAGACAGGACCGCTATAATCGCTACATGCCAGTGTATTAGACTAATCAGCATTAAACTATCAATTATTTTTGACACAATGTCAATGTTTCCCAAAGCTTTAATTAATCAGCCATGCAGCTGCTGTAAAATATAGAATGGCTTCATACAGTAGGTTCTGATTGGCCAGAACATCATATACTGTACATGTAGAATGCCTGTCACTATATACATTTCACTATATCTTCCAGGAGCTTGGAGTGCCTGTGTATTTCACAGACTACTGTCAGTATAGCTGCGAATGTGCCAACCCTCCAATGGAACACCTGAAGCTGGGAACAGCAACTAAGCCAATGATCAACCCATTCAGGTGCCCTGTGCGCAAATTCTGTGAAGAGCAACTCATGCCATGGTATAGCAATGGATTCATCTACACATTGGACTTTAACTATAAATCAGCTGCTGGTGGCGATGCTGATCGCTAGGACTTGATGGAGATATTCTCTGAGTTGCAACTTATGCCATGGTATAGCAATGGATTCATTTACACATTGGACTTTAACTATAAATCAGGTGCTGGTGGTGATGCTGATCGCTAGGACTCGATGGAGATATTCTCTGAGTTGCAACTTATGCCATGGTATAGCAATGGATTCATTTACACATTGGACTTTAACTATAAATCAGGTGCTGGTGGTGATGCTGATCGCTAGGACTCGATGGAGATATTCTCGGAGTTTGAAGTCATGATATGCTGCATAGTAATCTTTTGCAACTCATGATCTGGGATAGCAATCTGGTCCTGGTGAGCTTGGTTCTGTTCTGGTATCTCTTGCCCAGGATCTAGGAATAGTAATACATTTACATGCAGACTCATTATTAATCTACACTATGGATTTTACCATGTTTTAAGAGTTAAAAGTGAGTTTTACGGAATCAAGTTATTGGATTAGGAGATGGAAATGGAATTGCAATATCCATGTATTGTACTGAAGTGAATGACACTTTTTACATCTGTAAACAAATATATATATTGTTATATATAAATGTATATAACTGGGTAACTGCTTTATGCTTTGAGAATCTGAAACAAGATAGTGCAACATATGTCAACAAATACATTTGGATCATATAGCTTGCATTGGAAGCTATAGTTATTGTACACAAGTCAGGTCTGAGACATCATGATACACCATGACATCTCATTTCTTCTCAGCCCTGAGATGCCATGATATAATGAGCTTGATTTGGCGATCCAGGAGAGCCCAAAATTGAGGATTTTTGAGATCTTTCATCCCAGCTCATATTTCATTTAATTGGGGTCATTAAACTTGTGTACACATGCCTGTGCTAATATCTGCTGTTAAATACAATGCCTATTATGTAATGTATTGACATTAGGTAAATGATTACATGATAACTATCACATTTATTGACAGTTATAACTCTTCCCATCTGATGTACTCAGATCACAGAATATGCCTCATAATATCAGAGCATGTTTCAGTTGAAACAGAAAGATGCTATGAGTATCAGAATGGGTCTGAGAATATTTTTGAATATCAGTACAGTAGAACCTTTGTAAGTGGAACACCCATGGTAGGATTGAAACAAAATTCATCCTATACCCCTCTTCCTCAAAAGAGATTCTCTTATTTGATGTGATCTGTTAATTGTTGTAATTGTAGTGTTTTATACAATACAAATAAACCTGTTAAGTTTGTAACTTATGAGTATTTTATCAGCTTTATGGGTCGGGACAAAATATCAGTTGGGAGTGTAAAATAACTTGACTTTAAAATTACATTAAATCAGTGTACAAAATTCAAAATTTGAAAAACAAACTTATAATGCGAACAACCTGGTAATTAGCCCACTGAATGAAGTTCCTTTGGATATAGAGAAGTCATCTGTCTGTCTCTCCGTCCATCTATTGGTTCATTTGTCATGTGCAAACTCAAATACCAAATGACAGATTTGGTTCAAAAATAGGCTTATGGATGGGTGTAGGACCTCTGCTCGAGAGGGAATTTTCAATATGCCCTCTCAATTCAAAATAACCGTCTTGTTTATAAAAATGTTATCTTTGATAACTCAAATACCAGTTGACAGATTGCTTCATTTTATATGGTGATTTTTCAAGGACATAGAACTTTGTTCAAGAAGGAATTTTTAAGATGGCTGCTCAGATGAAAATTCGCTGATATGGTCGCTCAGTTCCTCATCTGCATTCTGACGCAAGTTGCACCAACCACTTTGTATTTATTTATTTATTATTATTTAATATGGGCAGTTTCATTTTACCATTCTGTTCAGGCCCATAGTCAGGGGGGTGCGCAGGGTTCGGGCGAACCCCCCCCCCCGCCGGCCAAAAATTCTTTCAAAATCATGGCAAATCCTGGCTACGGGCCTGCTGTTTTTCCGCCAATCAAATGTTGAGAATTCTGACTACTAGTATATATTGAGGGGTGTTCACTGAAACCCATAGGAGCCATGGAGTACACAGGTATTCACATGGGCCATGATCAAAAGATTTGATTAGTCCACTGTGGGAGCATGCAATTTTTCATAAAAACACTAAGAAAACTTCACAAATTACTTTATATCGCACTTTGAAAAAGTGCTATATTTTCGTCGTCTTGTGCTGTTGGGCGGGCGGCACATAAACCAAATCTTGTCATCAAATTTCCAGGATAACTGCTTACCTGTTCAACTTGAAATTTTTACAGATGCAAGAGCAGACTAGTACCAAGATCTGATTAGGTTAAGGGCATGCTGGGTAAACTACGTGGCGGCCAGTTTGCTCTTCAAAGTGCGATATTTATCACTGTGTGTCTTGTTAACTAATGTGTTTAACATTAACCTCTTGATTTTTTCACCTAGTAAATGACCTTGAAACCTTGCGTGACGAGATAATCTGTCACAAAATTTTTCACTAAAATTGCTTTAGTGTCATCTAATTTACACAAAAATGTTTTAAAACACGTAGAAATTCTCTTCCGACTAATTTCACTAAACTGAGCATCACCTGCTGTATACATCTATGTTTGTATTATAATGTCAATAGTTGGCAAAAAATGAAAAATTGTCTGGTTTCAACCCAATTTTAGAGCCTGGGATTTAAGGGTTTAAGATTTCTGATACATCTTTTACAGCTACACTTTAGATGGGATATGGGAAAGAGGTTTGAGCAAGCTGCTGAAACTTATTCAGCATAGAGAAGTCTCAAATGTTTCTTCCTGATTTTCCAGGAAAATTCCTAATTATCCTAATTATCTAAAAGATAAGCATGTACTTTTAAAAGGACAAGTTTAAAAAGTACAGTAGATCATTTAGTTATTTCTACAACAGCATTATGTGTTTATTTACCTCTTACACATTAAGATGGTAGCACATGTACTATGATAATGTTGTATTTTGTCACATGATCATATTGACCTCGGGGTTATTCGAGGTTTACTTTTTATTTATGCTAGTCAGGTTATTCTGATACTATAACGTATAAGTTGAGTTTAGATCAGCATAAAGACATTCAGTCTCAATACACCTGGATATTAAACGTGAATATAAAGCACATGTAATATTAAATCAAATTATCGGACACTGGTTATGATCCACTAAGGTAAGTTACATACAGATAACTAAAGAAATTGATCACAGGCCAGATCTAACTGTGATAGGATATACAGCTTAGATCCTCCGATAAACTTTTCTAAACAACAAGTACTTTGAATGTATATTGTGTTTCAGTGTGTTTGTATATGGATATTGTGTTCACATGTAAAACATTCGTTGATCTGTAAGACACTCGATAACTTGTTGTAATGGATTATTTTCTATTTCAGGCGGAGGTTTAGTTAACAAAGTAAATAGTGTTAATTAAAATGGACACCTAGCTTAGTATACTGAATACAAATGCTGCAGTATGTCACCCTAAGGCTGCCAACGAAATGGCAGTGAATGATTGTGCTGTTTGATAACATTGAGGTATATTAACGCATCAAGATGGCATATACCTATTTAAAGCAGCGTGCAGAGCGGATGTCCAGTCTTGGATTCTCGACGACGCATCATAAACGACCATCTTCTCTTAGTGGTAAGTACATACAAATCTTTGCAGGGGACTCAGAGCTAGGCTCTTTCCCGGGTCTCTTTGAATGAGGTGCATCTTGAACTTAGAGATCTATCAGTACAATTTCTCCATTCCCTGTTTTGCCTCACCCAAAAAAGAAATGTCCACTTTTTATTGCAAAAAGTAGATCATGTAGATTTAATGGTACTTAAAAGGATGCAGAATTTTGTATGATGTTATTATTTTGATATTGACCTCATTCAATAAATGTCCTTCAGATCACCCTTTATTTTTATTTTGACATATTGTTATAGTCTCTAATTTTTTTAAGTGGCAGTTGGTGTTCAGAGTTCGTTGTCTGTAAAATGTTAATGCCTTGTTTGGAAATATAGTGATCATGTCAGATGAAAAATCTATTCATTAAGGGGGGGGGGAGTCTTTCTGGTTACAGTTAAGAAATCGAAAAGTTTACCCTTTAATAGACTCCATTCTTAAGTACACTACATATTCATATGAAACATGCCGCCTGTGGTCAAACAGAATGAGAAAGAATGTCCATATAAAAGCTATTAAAATCCATATAAACCTCAAATGTATCTAAAATCTTAATCAAATATTTGGTGGAAGGACATCAAAACAGATGTTCATTTACTTGGATGATGACTGGTGCATCATTTTTATCAATATCAAAATAGTATCAATTTATCTGTGATACTCAGAGTATAGTATATCTAACCCAGGGTAGCTTACCTTTTTTTAATTGGTTCACATTAAGTATTGCTCCTGAATAGACAATGTTATTAACTTTAATTATAAATTAATTGTCAAACAATCAATGAAAATATCAATTATAGTTGATTTTAACTTGGGGCATTACATACATCAAAACATACATACGTTAGGATAGGAGCATAAACGTAATGCTAGATATAAAGGGTTAATAAAAAAAACTGACATTTTTACAACAGTTCAACATTTATTGATTCAACTGCGAACATTGTTGTTTTCTATATACATTTGTAAAACTCTTTACTAGGGCACTTTGACTTCGATCTCTCAAACCTGTTTTGTACAACTCCTTTTCAAACCAATATTCAAATCTCTCACAAAAAGGCAAAATAGTCTGGTCTGTTGCTTTCGTGATGAATTAAAAAAAACGTTTTATGAATAAAAGAATTAAAACATCTAGGATTGAGTTTCTTCATCTGAGTAGATTCAAAAATATTGTAAACTTGTTAAGTTACAATTTATGTTCTCAATGGTATAGGCACATAGTGTTAAATAGAATAGCTATTTGATTTTAATTTATTTTTCAACATTTGCCAAACTAACAAAATAGTCCCTCCCTTTTTACAGTTCAATATACTCTCGACAAAGTACCTCCCTTTTAAAGTTCAACATACCCTCAACAAAATGTTTACCCCCTCCACCACCCACCCCCTGAACAAATTAATTTACTTCTGATTTTAACATTGACCTTGTCACTTAGATCTCTCATATGAACAGATTTTCAATGTAAAAATCAGCACTGTTATTTTCATTTTATTTGAATGTACTGTTATGAATATTAGATTGTGATACACCATATCTAGTAACAGCTGGCAACTTGTTAGAGGATACATTAAAACCTGTCTCATATGAATAACATTGGACAATTATATCTTTTAAGAACTATATTGCTAGCCAGGTTTCATTGTATTTGGACATGATACCAATTTTGAGATGTCAAGATTTTCACATTTAAACGTGCACATAACCAGATGTTTTCATTCAAAGGCATTCACATTTGAAACATCTCACAAGGTTTTCAAGATATTTGATTAATCAGAAATGTTTACATTTGATTGTGCGTATATTTAAAAAGTTTTCACATTATGTGTTCATGATATTTATTACATTTGATGGTGTTTACATTTTACTGTTTTCAGATTTTAAGGTTCATGATTAAAATTGTCCACATTCAGGTATTCACATATCGTAGTGTTCATATATTAAGGCATCCATATTTGGAGATATTTAGCTTGATTTATAACAGAAAGGTTCTAATCGTCTTTATGACATATGTTCATATTAGTGGAGTGTACGTACTACACATGTTTCACTGTAACATTCGAATCAGTCATTACAGTGCAAATGTATGTACAGTTGATGCACTTTTTTGACTCATTATCAAAACTCATTATAATTATAAAGTTCTCATGGTCATTTATACAGCAATTATTAGAGTCATTGACATAGGTGCATTAGTGCAAGTTTTATGTAATATCAGATAACAAAGTCAATGTTACATTTGCATGGTTTGATGAGCCCCTGTAGCTATATAAGGAGACTGTCTAGATACATATTTTTGTTTATGTATTTTATGATGAATATGCTGAAAATGTATTTAAACACTAATGTATTGTCAGGTCCTGCCTATAGTCTCCAACTTTTTTGGATGGTGTTTGGTATTGGATAAGCAGGGGTTAGCGTTCAGTATCTGTAACAAATGGCAGGTAGTGACATTTTGCATGAATGCCTTGTAACAAGGTTGTTGATGGTCTGATTGTTTATTACATTAGTAATTGGGTACCTTTTTTGTTTTTGATGAATCTCATGCATAGATCACTAATCTTATCTCCATGTAGTTCTGGGTGGTCCCTTTAATCTCTCTTTCTACTATTGCACTTTATGCCTAGTGTAGTAGTGAATAGTTGTGAATTGTTGCAGTAGAATCCCTCAAGACAATTATCTCTCCGCTAGTCTTGCTCCAGTTATTGCCTAGAGAGTCCTTATAAAGAATCTGACATCACAACATAACACCTATGATCCTATCCTAGCAAGCTAATTTCAACCATAGTATGCAGTTGCATAAATTTAATAGTTTAATGACCTTGTACTGATTTAATTTTGTTTTGTTGATTTAAATGTACAGATTGTAGTGTATGTTGGAATGTAACTTGGTTATGATGAAAAAATGCAAAGGGGAACATTAGAAAGTACAAATCCAAAATCGAACCCTTTTCAACCACATGATGATCTTGATCTGGAGTTCATTTATGTTACTGTCTCTATTCTCTGCTTTCGTATGGTACATCATTTCACATCAATCATGTATCAGAAATTGTAGGGTACTGGCTGGTTGTTGTTTATTGAATAGGGTATATAGGCAACACAGACCTTGAGAGGGAAAGGAACTATTGATTTTCATACACTTGCAGCTCCTATAGTATACATCCATGTTAAGGGTACAATATTTCTGATATTTGCTGAATTCATGTCACCGCATATTTCCATGGTGCGAATATTAAATCACTAAATATGTCAGCAAATGATATTGATTGAGAAATCATGAAAATATATCAGGTGTGTTCAACTTTATCTTTATGTTATTTGGAATCTACTTCTGAAAGTTCATTTAAGGCTACTAATGTTGTTTATCAAAGATCACAGACTGACAGGTTTTCATGACATTCTTGAGCAGTTCAGTCCCCTCTGCCTCTTCAATTCACAGGAACATAGTTTCATCAGCAGCAGGCAACAGGCGATTTTCACCAGTTGTCGCCAAAATCGCCTGTTGTTTTTATTAGGGACTTTCTTTTTTTTTTGATTTCTGTTAATTTTGCCTGTTGTTTTCATTTAGTTAGCCTGTTATGTTAAATTCTAGTGAAACCACTGAACCTATTAAGCCCTTCTCCTTTCAAAAGTTCAGTCCCTTCTACCTCTTCAATTCACAGGAACATTGTGAGCCCTGCATTTGCTTTCAACAATTGCTCATTTAAGACCCCAAATATCCCCTTCCCCTCAGTTTTTCTACATGGGAGGTCTCCCTGCATTTGATCAGGTGCAACAATTTCAGCTTTTCTTCTATTATAAAGAACTGGAATTGTTGTTTATTGGAAAGCCTCTCCCAGGCACGTCACATCCCATCAGTTCCGTATTGCAATAATTATGCTTTATATTATAGACATCAGGTATTATATTATTTATGTATACCATTTGCTATAATACCTTATTACTCATCATAGATATTGTACATGTACAGTATAACATGCATTGTATTCCTTTATTAGAAAGTCTATTATATTTGGAATTATAATGTGGCATTATATCAAGATGGATTAATAGGTATTAGGTTATAGATATAATTGTATCAATTCTTTAATAAGGAATTATATGGAAGTGAATTCATTGTGGATGCCACTTGCACTTTTTTATTAGTCTGTGCCCCTCAACTCTCTATTATCTCAGTTGTGTTAGAGAGAGCAGAGGCACAGGGGCTTGTACACGACTATTTTAAGTGACTTTGTTCACATACTGTATATCTATCCACTTTATGAATATGGATTATCACTTAGTAGTTTTAGTTATTGACTAGTCTAACATGGGGCACTGTGATCCTTTGATCACTAAGCTCCAGAGGCTTTGTGTCACACATACTTTGCAAGACTCGTTGTGGTCCACAGGCTTCTTTATCACATATTGTTGAATTTGCTTCTAAAAAGAGAGCTTCATGAACTAGCTAATGTTCTATGTCCTGCAGGCCTGTAGCCAGGGGTGGTTCGATGGGTTCGAGCAACCCTCCCCCCACTATTCTGAGCACTTTTTAAGTGATTTTGAGTATTTTTGGACCAAAACTTTTTCCAAAAGTGATTCCCCCTTGGCAAGTCCTGATTATGGGCCTGTCCTGGGACTTATGATTGGCATAGTAAGGGATTGCTATTGTACATTTCGATTAGCAAGTCACATCTCATCTACATATGTTCATTCTTCACTAAGTGAACAAAGATGGTCACAACTCCGGGCACTCAATGTTTTATGCGTAAAGTGGATACCCTTTCAAGATGACTTATTTAATTAACATCATACTGAGTCCTCTTTGGCTTATTCATTGGAAATGTCTTGACAAGTTAAAATGATTGAACATAACGAATTCTAGCTATCAGACCTAGCTCTTAAGAGAAGGTAGGTGTGGATGGATGTTACAGTGTACCAGTGCATATATAACATGCCATCATGCTAGACCTTACACCACTGATTTCTTT